AAGCGCACCCCAGATTCAAGCGATGTGAGCCTCGCATCTATTTGTCCCTTGCCGGAACGGATGGTGGAAGGAATGACGATAGTGGTGCACAATGTTAGTGATAGACGGGTAGGCAGTGCAGGACCGTAACTATTCCGAAGTGGAAGACGATTGCTATAGGATAGACGGCCTTCACTGAAACGTCATAACGGAGTACGATGCAGTTGTGCCTACTCTCCGTTTTAATATATTCCTATAATTTGCTGTGATCCGCTGACATGACGAGTTGTCAGACATGCTTTGCTGCGTCGACTTCGTGGCTTTTACAGATGGGAGATTTCGAAATTCGCATTAGTCAAGCATCACTACGGAACCCATGGTCATTATTGGGACCAATAGATCCGTAGACGAGAATATTGCAGACATGTTTCTTGAATTGCTTTATTCCGACCATCCTCTAACGAGGTCTAATGCTGACCGAGGGTAGGATGGTGAACTCAATTAGTTTCCGAATAGGATACTGGGAGAGAAAGCAGAGAAAAAAAAAATATAGTGAGCATGTTGTGCAACAAGTTTTTGCTGCCGTTACCGAAGAATAGGTTACAATGCGCGAATTACTAGATATACTGACGGCCAATTGGTTAAGAATTGGGAAGACAATTCTTTACTTTATGATGTACAAGTATAAATAAATATCTCTCATGTTTTTTTTACGTCTAGTTTAACCTAGGTATGTCTTCGGAGAGAATTGAGCTACTAAGTTCCAGCTAGTAGGAACCCCCCAGACGCTCGGGTTAGGTACATGCCTTTGCGCAATAGGTACTACCTATACATGAATACTATACCGTACCTACCCGACTAGTAAAAACGGTATACCTACTAAAACCCCCACCATTCTTTAAGAGGTATTCAGAAGGTTAGGTAGGTACATACTATCCGGCAAGCGCTTACCTTCTTACCTCTAGGGTTATAGAGGTACCTGTAATGATACGTGATTAAGCTTCTAGCACAGTGACACTCTGTCGCATACACCGTATATGTAAATCCGCAAGCTGGGTTGTGCTCTTTTTTTTTTTTTTTTCCCTTTTCCTCCGCAACGCCTAGGTATAAACCAATAACTTCCAATTCGCGATAACTGTTGACCTCGTGACAGTCTCACCGGTATTGTAGCTCAATTATAGGCGTTATACCTTAAAAAGCGCTGAAGCTAATGCGATAGCTTCAAAAAAAGATTTTTTTTTACCGCTTGGGAGGCTTGTAAGCGTTGTATGATGGTGGTGCGATGAAAGCTCGCCACTCACCACATATCCGGGCTATACCTAAGAAAAAAAAGCTGTGCGACGGAATGATGGAACGGAATACTGGATTGGAAGACTCGATCACTATGTGCGACGCCGAAGAAAGCGCTGCGCTCTACTTCTTCCAATATAGTAGGTACATGCCGGACATGCGCAACTGTCGCTATACCGAATGTTACCTTCAAGTCCTACTTTGAGCTTGACCTTAGGGATCTTGGGGTCTTTAGGTCTTGGGACCTTCAACCTTTGGACGTAAGGAAAATAAAAAAATAAAAACCCCCCACTCGAAGATTCTTGGATACTCTGGTACTTCGACCTATTATGGTAGGCTCTCGTCCGTCTCTGTCCAACCAACGACGATCCCCTCTCTTACGAGACTCCTGTCAAGTAATCAGGTAGTCAAGTAACCAAGTATATGCAGCTAGCATCATGACAATTACCTAAGTAGGTATTAGTGATGCTGAGCAGGGTTAGTAGCGCCGTCTTCCTGTCTCCTGTTCTTGTCACTCCCACCCTTCCCTCCGCCTGCGGGCGTTTGTCTTTCGTCAGCTCAGCTCCAACCAATATCGTCAAAGTTAAGCCTCCCCGTCGTTCCACCGGGACCTTATATCTCTCTCGTTGTGCCATGTTGTTCCACTCGTCTCCCCTCGTTTATAACGGATCTCATTCAGCGTTAGACTCTTGCATAAACTCCCGTTCCATTTTCAGTCCACTTTCACGACCAAACATTACTATTTCGCCTTACATATTCCATCATAGGGCCCATTCGCTTCTCGCGTTGACCAGCTATTCATCCTACCGGGTCCCGCGTCCACTACCCGGTTCGGGCGCATGTCGAGCAGTTCTCAAACAAACCCTTGCGTCTATAAAGATCACCGTCTATACATATATCAGGCCTCAGTGGGGCTTCTTCGAACTACCACTACTTGAATCCCAAGTGTCCCACTTCCGACTACGCATCCAAAGACCCTGAGATCACCAGGCCGCATATCCTCCTCGCAGATATAGATAAAAGGATCCTCTGTTTACCTTTTATCCCCGTTCCTCATACTACTCCTACTAACCCCTACACTCTATTCTCTCTTCAACCGCATACATGACTTCATATCCTCCTCTCATCATGGCACGAAGGCGAGATACAGACTTCTCTAGTCATTCCGCTAGCACTCGGGATACCAGGCAAAGCAGCGACTCATATGACTCAAGAAGTACTGCCCCTACATCTCTCTATGACAGCCCCACATCAACTAAGGACTCGAGTTCTCAAGCTCGTAAATTCCAGCCAGAATGCTACTACGAGGAGGATCTTTCGCCGGCTACGAGTTTATACCCGCGGTCGTCGGTTGACACATACTCATCGCAAGCTTCAAGTGCTGAATTTTCGGACGATACGGATACGGATGATTGCCATGAATTTTCGGATATTCCTGACTTGCCTCCCTACCGACACGACATCGAGGAGTTCAATGTTAGAGCTTCAACCCCCGAGGAATTCGCCAGTGTATTTCCGTCCCTGAATCGATTAACTATTCGTCACGATGATTTTACGTCGGATGGGAACATGAACCTAAGGGTGGACACCACTGTTCCGGGTAGACGAAAGAAGACGCTCCAACTGTTTCACCTGCGCATGTATGATCTGAACAAGCGAGAGTTTTCTCTGAGACGGTATAGCCGAGATTCTGGTCGCGAAGTGTGCAACTCAAAGCGAAAATACGTCGAGCCGCCCACTATCACCCGCCCTAAATTGCAGCGATCGATGTCAACTGCGGTGAAGTCTTTAGCCAAGCGACCGCAACTCATCCGCATTCCTACTGGAGGATCCGTCTTCTCATCGAGGAGCCGACCAGGCACGAGCCACTCTGGTGCCTCGACCGATGATGACTTTACCGAAGCTGCCACCAGTCCTATTCCCATCGATAAGAAGCAGAAGGCCCGCCCAACACCCACGAATACGATCAAACTCGAATTCTCTAATTATGCGCGTGTTGATGTAGTAAGGCGCGGAAAGAAGAATGCGAAGAAGTACGAGTTCGAATGGTGGGGCCACACGTACTCCTGGAAGAGAGTGGTGGACAAGCTCACGGGTTGCGTCTCCTATCATCTATTACGAGATGGTCACAACCACTCGCCTGTAGCGCATATCGTTCCCGAAACTCGATCACCGACCCAGGTTGCCGCTGATGAGGCTGCTGGTGGTTGGGTGCCGCCTTGTCATATGTGGATTAGTGACGACAGTTTAGTCGACGCTATGACCGACGTTGCTGAGTAAGTCTTCATGAAAGCAGCCTCCTTTTCCCCTTAAACAAATACTAATGATATTATTAGCATCGTCGTTGCAACTGGCATCATGGCTCTTGTCGATGACTGCATCGTGGAGCGTTGGCAAACAAAGAAGAGCCCTCGCGCCGTATTCCCGCTCTTATCTAGATCACTAGATGTCAGCCCTAAATTTCTTGTACAACAAATGTTTACCCGTAGGAATTCGGACCATCATCCGAGTCCATTACGCTTTCACAAGGCCGTACCGGCTTACTGAAGGCCGACCGACGACAGAAGATCCCGATCACTTAGACGGGTTTAAACTATATTTAAGAATGCGGGGCCAGGCCGCCAACAGTTTTGTTTGTTTTATTCTCTATTGACGCATCATCTTGACGACCACAGCACCTCGGACGGGCGGCGTCCCGTCGAGGGCATATACCTTCGCTTCTTTTAATCCGACACTTTCTTATTATTTTTGAAAAGGGAAAATAAAAAGGCACTCCTCAAGCTTGAAAAAATGTCGAGCTAACGACCGATGACGATGATTTGACGACGCAGCATCTCATCCTATGTTACCACCAAAAGTTTTGCTTCATCTACTGTCTTATTTCATAATTTTGGGTTTTTTTATACCTCTTCTCCGTTTCGGCCAACATTATTAGACTGAACGTCGATGGAGAAATCACCTCCAGCATCACTTACGGCATGTTATATATATATATATATTGGATCTAGGGTATGCATTGCATTGGGCGGCAGCGGCAACGGCGAAGGCGCGCGCATGCATACTCACCTAGATATACTGCTTTACACGGTATCGGCGCTGTACATATCATATCCTTTTTGCTTTGTCTGTTCTTCTCGGGCCATGAGCATTGGGGTTATAGGTGCATCGGTCGGCGGCGTATGAGTGTCTGGTTTTTATAAGTCTGTTACACTATTGATTTCCCTTTTCTTTTTCTTTTTTTTTACACTATTATTACTACCATCATACCATCATCGTCCTTACGAGGAACAGCACGCATATCGCCAGCGTTGTTTTCATTTGTTGCTTTTACTTGTATCAACGAACTATATACCTTAGGTGCCCTATTAGGGACCCGGCTATGGGCGGAATCAGATTAGCTCTATAATGCCGTGAATTTGTCAAATATACACATTTTGATATATTCTGTTACTTTACATTGTCGACGTGAAAATAAGAAAATCCGATTTAGATTGTGAAGAATGATGCTGTTCGTATCGTAGCTAGAGAATACGCAGCTCATCATTGGAAGTACATACATGTTCTATTATCTGGCCAGTTGCACGCTCCTTAACTAGGCGAGTATTCTAAGTTGATGGTTTAATGAAGGAGTCTATTGGAAGTACCATTATACTATACCAACTACCAGTTTTCCTGACTAGGCACATGGACTAACGAAATAGCTTGACCTATAATCGACCGTCTCCATCCCTCTAAAACTCATCATCGCCAACCCCTTCCTCCCCCCTCGGTATACCGGCATCGAACCACCCGCCAAAATCCAACTTCATAAGCAGTCTATCGATCCCACCCGTCCGCCTGGGTCTATACCCAATCCCCTCTTCATCGAATACTTCATTGCCAACGTCACTTTCTTCCTCGCCGTCTAACCCCCCGTCCTCAAGCTCAGCCATAAATGCGGAATCAGTGCTCAGTGCTCTAAGGGCGGCGACGACAGCGCGTACGCTATCCTTAACACCGGCCTCAACTTCGCGGATACGCATACGAACGTCGGCTTCCTCGGCAACTAGGTCCGCAAATGCGTCCACGACGCCTTCGTCTGCTTCGAGATCTGCTGCCGCCCAGACCCCGTGGAGGCGGTGTACGAGGGCGACGAGGTGGTCTGTGTTCACTAGAAGTTCATATAGGGGATTTGTGAATGATGGTTGTGTTAGGAGGAGGCGGCGGATAAGGATCCGGAGGTATAGTCGGTGAGCTATGGCGAGGGTTTGAGGATCGTGATGCGGGGGGCTTGTGCTCTGTGGTGTCCGATCTGATTCTGAAGGATTGTCTGTATTGCGAGGGCTATCTTGGCCGTAGGAACCATTGCTATTGCTAATACGCTTATCGCCAGACAAATTTAGGTTATCATGTTGTTCATGGCTTTTCTTGCCTATTATCCAACCATGAAAGTCATCCCAAAGGCCTTCTACGACTTCAACTTGGAGATATGCTTCAGTTTCAGCCAGGAAGAAGATAGCGGCACTGCTCGTACTCCACACGCTCCGCATTATAGACGAGCGCACAGAGGAACGCTCTCGAAGGACGCGTGTCCTTGAAGCACCGCTTCTAGTAGTACTATATGGAGGTCTAGGGGGTGCTGGATGGTGGCGGCGCAGGGCTGTTATTTTCCACAGACCCGTCAGATGGAGGTGGGAGCGGCGGATCGATAGCAGGTAAGAATTAATTGAAGTATAGATCTGGACATCAGATGCAGTCAAAAATAAGTCCAGAGGTGGTGGGATCTGCGATGTGAGGACCACGGGGACAGAGAAAAGAAGATTTCGGAACGGAGTGTCTGTGATACTAGTAGGTGCTTGATGGTCTATACCAGTCTTGTTCTTCATAGGGGTTGAGGCTTTGGTCTTGGATAGATTCAGCCGTAGTACATCTCGTGCTTTCTCTAGACCTTCATCTTCGTCTGCATGCTGACCCTGCATTGAGCCTAGCACAGCCCATGTCTTCGTGAGAACTGCTGCGACTTCGCCTTCTTTTACCATCACATTGCTAAGCCCAACCCGCTTTTCGTAAGCGAGGTTATCAGCACGCCGCCAGCGGTTGCGAATTACCTCATCGGCTTGCTGTGTAAGGGCCATAGCAAATTCACCACGTCCAAGCAAAAAGAAATCGCGGAATAAAACCAACATCTCAAGTACCCTAGATAATGGTAATAGCTTTTGTAAGATTGTCCGAGACAATGTGAGCCGGATCGATGTAATGGCTCTCGAAAACGCAGCGCTCTTGAGGGGAGATTTTAAATCCGCGATGGTCTGAAGTTGAGATGAGAGGTGGCCAAGTCCATTGCTGCTTGGCTCTATACTGCTCCTGGTTTTCACACGATTCAAGGATGTTCCGATAAACAGCATGGATGTGGCTGCAGATATTGTAACAAATGATGGCAGTAACCGCTGGTTAATGGAATATCCCTAGTTCCATCAGCTACGGTAACTTTCAGAGTTGGTGGGGATGAAGTTTCTCACCAGTTCGTCACGCTCATTCTTCTGGATGAAGAAGTCTGCATCCCCTAATATAGGTATGGTACCGTAGAGGACCCAAGCGGAAACTTGCTTCAGCCAAGCAGTTTCGGCAACTCTGACGAGGCTAAGCGCAGTCTCCCCAATGTCAGCGTAGCCAGTCTGAAGCTCATCGCGTAATTTGTTAATAAGCTGCGCTGCTCGACAAGGAGAGCCCTCGTTCTCTCTGAGCATGAATTGGACCAAATCCCATAGCCATTCCATTCGACGAGTCCAGCCCGAAAACTCGCCAATGACGGCGGTCAGGGGGACGATATTATAAGCACCAACAAGGGAGGCATCTTTTCGAAGGATGCTTTCTTCAACCTCTAGGACTTTCCTTTGGAATGCGGCGAGATAGAGAGAATTGATAGCGGTTGATACTGCACGACATATAATAGAAGGGTGAGAGGCGCTGACTTGGGCAGTATAAGTAATGAGTTTGCAATGAAGATCACTTAGATGACCGGCGGTCCTCAATAGTTCTCTCTCTGGTGGTGATAGGATGGATTGTGCTCTGGGCTCGGTATAGTCATTCCTGAGAAGGGGCGAGGGGTGCCCTGATAGGGAGAGCAGGATCTCATGGAGCATTGTGGAGCTGACGAGCTGTAAGAGTGTTAGAAATGCGCTTTAGAGGCTTTAGAGGCTTGCGAATTCATTCGACCATAGGAACTTAACCCTTGTAAGATATGTGGAGGCTTCTTAGACCGGATCTTATCACCGATATCCTGAATTAAGAGAATAATGGAACCGAGGCATTCGTAGCGGCACATCTGAACGGGTAAACACGCCGACAGTACTGTGTATTGTAGACATGAAATGATGATCTAGATGAAGGTAGTTGTCGATAGAGATCAAAGTCATTCTTCACCTTTTAATTAAAAAAAAAAAAGATTTTTTTTTTAATTAGCCAGAGCGACTCGGAATTTTAGACATCTTTATATTTGCATAAAAGCAATGATGATAGAATTTTCTTTGTAAATGGGACTTTAATGGAGCGTACCTTGTTTATGAAGCACTTATCTCCTTTCTCGACTTCTTCGTCGCGCCTGCTTTCAAATCTAAGCGCGTCAAGCGTAGCAGTGCACGTGACTTTATAGCTAGGTATGAGGTAATAATTCTACGTCACATTGATATAGTATTAAAAGTATTTACTTTAGGTACATAACCTCATGTGATTAAATTATACTACCTATTATTAAGTATACATTCATGTTTGCTATTTTTTTCTTCTTTTTTTTTTTTGCTATCATCTCATTAAATATTTTATTATGGTCGTAAACTTGGGTAAACTTGAGCGACTTCTAAATTTATATAATATGTCGCTAACGTTTCGGTGCCTTGCTGTTCGATTCGCTACTAATGCTTGCTGAATCTGGAACCAAATACGCCTTGGAGCTGTCAGACCTCTTCACTGATGTTCCACCACTAGTATCATCCCCTACAATGATTTCACCTCCCCCTTTTACTTTCCCAACTACCATACCCTTTCCTACCGCTTTTATAACGGCCTTTCGAGAGACTCCTGTAACATCGATATAGACTAGGCCGACATTCTTGACACTCCCGCTTAGGTGCTTAGACAGCTCTCCAGCTTCGGCTCCCCATTTGTGGGCCACCATATTTGTCGTGGATGATGATGCCGAAGTTAAGAGGTTGCGTGTTGCCTGGTCAATTCCATCCGCCACAGTCGTAAAAGCCATTAGACTCTTGTTCAATAGACCAGGCTTGAATGATTCAATTGGCTTCCCATTCTCATCGAATCCCCTTTTTCCTTCTTTAACACCGCGCCCTGCGACCGTAGCCCCCACATTCTGGGCCAACCTGGTCACCTGCCCGACTGTTTTAGACGATAGCTCAGCTACACCTCCCGAGAACGTGCCTATCCGGCGGACTCGTTCATGTGTTGCAGGCGTAAATGTCACAGCTTTACTGGTGGGTTTCGTTTTCTTAACAAAGCTATCTGAGCCGCTCTGCATAGCATTGGTGACGAAATCTGAGGTGGTTATGATTAATCGAGATGCGTACGCTGCTTTCGATACGATGAACGACTTTTTGTAGGCTGGATGCAGTTCCATTTCCAAGGTTTCTGGCGACGCAGGGACTACAGCAAGTTTATTTGTTCCTTCTTCCGGAAGAGTAATCTCGACAGGATCTATTATTGTGTCAATTGTTGCTAAACAAAGCTCTGGGGAAAAGTGATCCATCCATACCTTTAGAACCTGGCTTGACGCCAGACTCGATGATCTGGAACCCATCCGATAGTTCTCCTATGACACTACCATCTTCTTCATCGATCAATACAATCTGGCCACCTGGCTGAGCACTTTGACTGCCCTTTACGTAGCCCTCACCAGGTTTGTATGAACCCGGATTATATGCTGGAAGCTGCTCTGAAGATGCAGCCTTAGACTTTGATGTTTTTGGCGATGATTTAGTAGAAGTCGGCGATGTTGACGACGAGGACTTCTCTTTCTCCTTTTCTCTTCTTGCAGCCTTTGGCGGCGGTGCTCTTTCGAGAAACGCAGTACATTGCGCCAGGATTGTTTCGAATGTATCTATATCCTCTTGAAGTCCTTTACGACTGCCGACTGAAGGGAATTCGATGCGCGTGAAGGCACCGCTATCGGGACCGAGATCCCATCTTGGGATGAGGTAGCTTCTGGGCGGCTGGTGGTAGATCTGAGTGGTCGCGGGTAGCGGAAGGTCTAATTCGGGTGGTAGATGTAGATGAAGGTAAAAATCTTCAGCAGCCGGTCCATCCTGGCCGTCTGGCGAAATTGGTTCAGCCAAAGGAGATGATGTCGGAACCATTAACAGTGATAATGTCTGCGGTCCAGCAGGTGTAAGGGACTCTTCCTTTCCATAGGCGAGGTGGTAGGCTGAGACGCCTTGAATAGCGTATAATAGCCTGGGATCCTGTTGGGGGGCGCGATGTTAATACTGCAGTGCTACAGTATGCATAATGACAGCATCGTAGAGTGCACCAACTTACATTGTGTCCAGATGCCATATTTTCTCGAGGCACAACAATATAGCGGTCTGGAATTGATTCCTAATAAATTATCGTTTGGTAGCGAATGGCTTACTACACAAGAGACTGTCGTGTATGTCGTGTATTCCGATTCCTAAGAGTAATAAGATCTAGATGCAGTAAATTTGGCGGCTATCAGATGGGGAGGATTGGAATTGGGATGGGGGGTATGGAGATATCGAGATATGGAATTATGATTATCTAGCGTAGCCAACAGGAATAAAGAATAAGAATAAACAAGATTGAAATGGGGTTGGCTCTGGTATATTTCGTGCACAATCGCTAAAGTCAGATAGGCAAGGTGAATGAAAGAGCTTCCAGCGCTTAAAGACAAGCGCCGTGTGGTTGCAAGACTGGAACGTAGTTTGTACGAGAGGCCTCATAGCAACGTCATTGGGTGGTTTCAGTGTGATCGCCACTGTGACTCCCTGCCAATACCTGCCAATATCCTCTAAAAAGAAGTGCATACATCATTTGATGTATTGATGTATTGATGTGCTACATACATGTTTTTACATGTACCTGGGTATCTTCTCTGGAGGTGCTTCCATCAGGTATGTAGTTATCCCTTCCTGTCTAGGCAGTTTCGCGTGACCTTGGCACACGAGCATACGAGATAACTTAGGTAAGTTAGACCTACTTCACACCTAAAAGGTGAGGGGCAACTTTTAGTCTAAGTATACCTCAGTATATGGTAAGTCTTAAAATACATCCTGTATTGGTGGGGGGCTGAGGGGTAGAGAAGAAAGAGGGCGAAGCTCACTTAAGGGCTAATTAGTCAGTGAGGTCCTGCCAGTCCTATGAGGTACTCCGTCCCTTCCCCCTCACCTCCCTAACCTCTGCGGCGGGTTAACAGGGCGTTAGTGAGACTTCTCCAAAAAAAGTAAAAAAAGAAAAAACAAGAAAAGAAAGAAAAGTCCAGTCTTACATTCATTCAGAGCCTCGGAGTATGAGTTGTTGGTGACCGGTGCAGTTGAATCCCTGACGGTTCTTCTCTTATTTGACCACATATTACAAAATACATGGCCAAGAGCCTCATAACAAGTCAGTGGCAATAGAGGCTTCTGCTATTGCTGCTATTGCTGCTGACAACGACGCACCCCTTTATGCGCTGCGTAGACGAGGAAGCCGAGACAATTCAATATGATATATTCGAGATAGCCATGACAACATGTATTGGCTACTTCTTAATCTGAGATGATAGATCCTCAAAGATCTGTCTCAAGGAAACCGGAAAGGATTCTATCTTCAGCTAAATCGATCCCGTGCGGTAAACGTGCATATATGCAGCGGAAACCATGAAACCGGTCAAAGTTGCCGAAACATGTGCAATAAATATACCTATCTGCATTGGTCGGCAACTTAAGGCCCTTATACGGCAACTGGAATAAATAGAACGGAATATTGACTCATTCGTCATATTTTACTTTTGAGCAACCTAAAAACATCAGCTTTAGAAAAACTCGGCGCCAACATTTCTTATCCGAGACTCTTTTAAGTTAGTCAATATTTGTGTTAATAATAGAGATGACCTTCTGCCGCCAGAAATCAGAACAACCCCCCCACGAGTGTCGGATGCAAGCGCTGGTGGTTGGACCGGGATTCAAGTATGTGTCCCGAGGAACGTTACAGCCTACCGCCATTGTCGACTTACAAGTCGTAAAAAGATGACCGGTATTCCACATTCCACATTCCACACCAACACATCACTAAAGGATTTTATGAAAAATGACTGTTGGAAGTTCTTAATAAACTGTTCTGCTAATATCTAGGATAATATCTAGGACTTACAATTATTCAGCCTAACATAACCTAACCTAACGTACATTTGTTAAATGCAGCCTTCACAGTACCTCGTTGCCCGCTTTAATAGGGGAGTTTATCCGTACCTATGTTAGGTATGTAGGTACCCTTGTCAATATTAAGAGTAAGGAGACAGGCTACCTACATAAGTACATAGGGTGACGGATGGGTAACATCTGAGCACATCGGCCCGTGGACGTGTCAGAAAACGTTAATACGACCTACCACACCGAGTCTTCCTTCAAACAAGTACCAACAGACGAGAAGGGTTAACGATCCAAGGATTTGCTTTTTCTCCCCTTCTTCATATATGCTAGTTATTTTATCTTTACATTATAGTCTGCAGCGTCATATGCTGTCGCAAATAGCATATCTTCTCATGCTGTGTATCCTCAGTTCTCAACTTGTAGCATCGGAACCACCTTGATCAAATCATCGGCCCTGATATCTGTGTTCGTTCCCTTTTCCCTAGGAATAAGGAAGCCCTCCCCGGGCGACGTGCATATGAGCCTTGTCGGGGACCCGCAACCGCGGCCTGTGCACCAGATGAGCGCTTTCGATCAGGTCTAAGCTGCTCGTTCATTGGATATCCAAGGGAAAGCCGATCTTCGTCCGCCCTCCAACAACTGCTTAGCTTAGGTAGATTGGTCTCTACCCGACCCGTCCGTGTCCGGGGAACTTTTAACCCTTGGAGCCTTCTAGGCTTGCTTTACCCGACAAGGACGAGCTATTTCCCTTTCTCCAGTGCCCACTCCGACGCAGACACTGTAAACTCATCCCATCTATCTTCGTCTGCCAATGTCCCAATATCAGATTGATACTCTCAAAGCGTTGCACGCTTAGGGGTTTATTTTTCCTCCATCATATTCTGATATTTCTCATATTTCTCATATTCCTCATATTCCCATTTTTCGTATTACTACAGGTCACTTATTAGGCCTTTTGTATCCCGATATTATAGCTAGATTGCCCCCCCTGTCCATAGGTAGCTATACGGCTACCATATAGGTGTTTACATTCTTAAGTGTGCTTATGCCGAAAGACGACGAAGCTCTATACTAGATAACGTTAGGAACTCTCAGCTACGATCGCGCTCCTACAAATAGCTGTAGTTTATGAGTCGCGCCCCATTTGCGGACAGTCGCAGCTCGATGCTGTAGCACATTACCAGGAATCGCATCTGACCATTCAATTCGATTGAAAGACGATACAGAAAGAGGCCCCGGAACACAACACATAGTTTTCCCGTTACTCAAATATCAATCATCTTAGGAATACGAGCACGATCGTCTCCACTCAAACTTGTCTTTTGAAGTATCGTGTCCGACCCCGCGGCGTCGTTCGCTCCGCGAGTTGTCTCGAAAAAGGCCTACTAGGCCGTTTGCAATCCATCTGAATCTTCCGGGTCTGCCTTAGACCCAACCGTCACCATTTCCACTCCAATTCGTATCCAGTCGATACTCTCCTCCCCCGATCGGTTAGGCGCCGATGAGAATTCGAATATAGGACAGTATCAAGCTGTTCCGCAGAGACAGTTTGACGAAGCGGTCCCTTCCGCGGATACTACCCTTACGCACCAAACCCCGCCAGTGCCGCCCAGTCAACAGCTTTCTAATATCGACACATCACGGATAAAGGCTCTTGGAAACGTCGCCGCTCGGGGGCTGGGGGATGACGAGGCTAAGGCAATGGTAGCAGGCAGCATTGAGGGGAAGAAACCCCCAAAGATGCGCCCCCCAATGCGATCTAGTATTGCCTGCACACGTTGCCGGAAGAGTAAAATAAAATGTACGTCAAGTTGGCAAGAATAAAGTTGCGAACATAATTTTTGCTTTGTACCTTCCATGACCAGCTACTAATCTAAATAATTAGGTGAGAATACTGGCGGTACAACTCCTTGTGATGGCTGCATCAAGACGGGAAAACAGTGCCTCTTCAAATTGCCCGAACCTGCACCTCCAAAGAGAACCGAGCCACCTACGCTTGCCAGGCAGGAACGAGATGGAGGATCTGATAGGAAGAAGCTCAAAAAGATAGAAGAGATATCGAAAGGCGACAACCAGAAAGCAAGTATTTACGCCGAGGAGGTACTTTCAGCACCTTTCTTAACTGAAGACCTGTGGGAGCAAGTGTTAGATCTCTACAAGTTACATTTTGCCCCGGAACTTCCCTTTTTACACTTACCCACAATGAAGGAGAAACTGGGGCGCAAGTTCAAAAGTCAACAGTCGGATAGTAACCCGGATCCCAATTTCAACTTAGTGCTACTAGGCGTCCTTACTCTCACCGCACGCTTCCACCCAGACCTCGTTAAATATCTCGCCCATATTTGCAGTAACCAACCTGGCAACGCTAGGACTAGACCAGTTCAGATGCCGCTTGATCCCGCTACAGCGTCTGAATATTATGCCGACGTTCTCACCATGGCTCTGGGTCCGATACGAACGGCGATGAAAACTGCCTCCGTTGAGAGGGTGGCAGCCTTGCTCATGTTGGGGTTATACGACTGGAGTCAAACTCTGCCTAGGACGGGAGGGCTAGGCGCTTGGATGTACGTTGGTCTTGCCATCAGGATGGCACAGTATTTGGGGCTTGGGTTTAGTGACACTCCTGACTCACCTGACGACCTGTCTAAATCTTTGTCTCAGAAAGCGTTAGAGAAAGAAGTTAGGAGGCGGACCATGTTCAGCTGCTTTATTCTAGATCGCATGCTCTCTTGCGGTAAGGAGCGAGTGTCTATCATACAATCAGAGGATATAAAAATCCAACTTCCATGCTCCGAAGATAAGTTTGATTTGGCGATGGAAGCTCGCACAGGCTTCCTCAAGGATAGAGGGCGGCATGGCATGGATGATAGTGTACTCGCTCGGTTTATTCAGTTGGTGGATATATGGGGAGAGATTTCGAAGTTTAGTTCATCAGGTGGACGCCTCAACGAGAAGGAAAAGGATCATCCACCATGGACTCAGGGGAGCGCTTTTTATCAGCTTTCCGAGAAGCTTGCAGACTTCGATGCGGAACTTCCTGACACTTTTACGTTTTCACGGTCTAACTACTTCAAGCATGAAAATCACCAGGCTTCCAGTGTGTATGTGCTGTTGCATATGCTTAGGTGTGTCTGCTTAATCATGCTGCACCGAGAATATATACCCTTCGTACCTGTTCGGTGCACAGAGCCAGAAGGACCTCTTGATAATCCCATATTTCAGGAGGAAAAATTCGGCCCACCCCCTAAAGACTTTTGGATATCTAGTGCGGAACAGGTGTTTAAGGCGTCCCGTGGAATTATTGATTTAATTGAGATATGCCAAAGGAAGGGCAAGTTGCCCCAATCAACCATCGTCCTCTTCGCGATCTGGACCGCCTCTTTTGTAGGGTTGTATGCCGAACATTTCCCTCAAATGGACACCGAAAAACACATGTTGAAATATGATTTTGAAAATACACGACAATCCGAATCCGAATCCGAATCCGAAGTATTTAGGCGTGGGTCGGTGGCATTCGCATTCGTAACGCTTCATAAGATGTCTATGTGGCTTAAGATGGCATCTGCATATGTGTCGATTCTGCGGCAGATGGACGAGTATTTCGAGAAAATCAAGCGGGATTACTATAATTTTGCGACAAAGAATCATGGAAATAAGGAGAGATCCTCCCGGGTTCGCGAAGGTGGCACTGGCGGAGCGCTTGAAGAATATAAGCCTATGACTGGGAAGCTGAAAGACTTTGGGACTCTCCAAATACAGAATGAGCATATTGAGAGTCCACATCGAACATCGCCCGGTCCCATGCCATCACGAGGGATAGAAGCTCCAGATATGTCGACCAAGAGCAAAACACAAAAACCAGTTCCACCTGGATCTTTTACGGCAATCAATCATATTCCAGTGGTGTCGGCGTCAGATGTTGGACGTACATTCACCAACGAAGCAGGTTATCCAACACCTCACCCTGAGGTGTACGCCGAGGCTTGGCGATGCCCGCCTCAACAGCAGCAGCAGCAGCAACAGCAGCAACAACAACAGCATCCGCCGCCCCAGGCCTATCCTACGTCGGAAGAACTGTTGGATACCACGGCCCTCGCCACTGAAGCCCATGATCGACTTTTCTGGGACAATTTCAAGAAGGAAGAACCGCGCCGTATCAGCACGATAGGAGATCTTGGTTACTTCTCAAGCGGGGACTCCCAACTCCCCATGACCGACATGCCCTTCGGAGATTCGGATTTAATCCACGGCCTGCCAGATTCGTCTTACCAATACCTACAGCAGATCGCGGAGTTCTAAGGGTCCAAGCAGCAAGAAGAGTCAACAAGAGAAGTGTTATCAGGTGGTCCAATCACGCCAGGGGGGGTTCGGGGTTGCATGATAGCGAAGAGGAAAAGGGGACATGACGTTTTTTCATAACTAGGCGTTTAGTGGGTGATTACCTACCTGATATGCCGGTAGCATATTCTTCTGTTGTGTACGAGATGATTCATATCGAGGTTGGCCGGGTTGTGCCACTCTAATGGTTGTTGTGTATTTGTCTCGTTTCTCAGATATCCAAGGTAGTAAGCTGTATGGTTAGCAGTTGCTATTGCAGCATCCGGCTTATCGGTCGTGCTTGTGAATGTCGAAAAGATTAAGACCTAGCAAAATGTATTAGCAAGTCAGACTGGCTTGTTGCGGTATTATGCTGTTTCCTTCTCTCGGCCAAGGGGACGTGCGGGTATTTGTTGGTATAGGGAGGTGTAAATATCGACGCTACGGTAGTTGTATGTTAGTGTTGTGGCAATATGGGAAATGAGCAATAATTACGTACAAAACCAAGGTAGGTAGACGAGTAAGCAGTCAAGCTATATATCCTATGTGGACATATCCGCGAATAAACCTTCCTTTATATATATATATCCCCGGCAGCTCCGCCGGCTTAGGTACCAAGGCGGGCCGATCCTGTGAGAATCGCCGCTCGGCTATTGACATTGATATTACTGCTATATAGGTGATTTAGATGATATGACAGACTCGTGCTGATAGGTTGGTTAGGGCAGGGGGTTGGGAAGAAGTGCTAGTGGTAAAGCGTCTGGGATAAAGTGAGATAGACTGCCGGGCCGGGGTAGCAGTGGAGGGTAATCTGCGTAGGGATTGAGAACGATGGTTAAGACTTCGAGGAATGCGTCTATAATGGTAGATATACATAATGGGATTTTGTAAGAGCACTGATAATTCATCCCCCTAAAGATGATATGATATGATATGATATGATATGTATTTAACTATGCTGTCGCAAAATCCTGTGAGATTCGTTCGCTTAACTACATTGTATATAGGCCGAAATTCGCAATTCGTTACACACGGGCTGCGCCGGATTTAATATATCGTATAATATACCCTAGGAAGAATATCACATCGTTGAACCTAGCGCGGGAGGCGTATGGCTTGTAGTTATTTCACTACCCCCTTAAATTTATTCTCTGGGACTTGTATGGAAGTTGCCGAGTACGTTTATGTACCTCATGAATGATAACTGAGTCTACAACAGAGAAGACAATTACAGCCTCATAATAACTTAGACGGGTTCACGCATGAAGGCTGATTAATTGTGGTCTGATGATTACGCTGCGGAGTAGGATCAATTGCGTGTCTCTGCCGCATCTCGCAAGATACCCAGGTGGACTACAAAACCAGGGTTCGAGCGTAATTCCTCAGTTAAGGCGTTATTTGGAATGCGCCATGTCTGGAAATACCTGTTGAACTCCTTTATCCACGACTCAAATATTTCCGGATCTCTAAGTTGTTGTGCAACTAGACAGACGGTAGACTTGTCGGTACTACTCTTGTCCGATGCTCTCAATCTACACACGTCAGCACAGGTTTGCACCAGTGGTTGGATCAGCGTGTCGTTATAGATGCAATCGCAAGCAATGACGAGGTCAAAGCTCTTAACCTTATCGCTTCCTGTAAGGGATGGTGTCACCTCATCTAATTCCCAGTCCAACGGCACGAATCGTAGTTCAGCCTTAGGATAGACAGCCGACGGCTTGCCTTTTCGCTTTTGAGAAGTAGTCTTAGTCTGCTTTGGGTTTCCTAGGGGACTATTTTCGGCAATGTTCTTCTCTACTAATCTTGCGACGTAGGACTGGTCTGTGAGTGTATACTTTGCGACCAATGGCGCAAGAACCAATCCTACTAGGCCGGATATCCCGCAACCCAATTCCAGCACATCGGAACAGGATGATAATATGTTAGAGGTCCAGAGGGGATTGTCGGAAGCGACTAACCAATCGGCTATGAGCGGAGTGATTTTCCATACAACAGCGCCTGTGGTACTTCCTGGACGATTTAAGATGGTTGGTGATTGATGAATTACGTAGTCCTTGCCAGCAACGCTGAGGTCCAACGTGGTCGCCTGAGGATCCACGAAGCCTAAGTTCTGGGACGGAATATCCTGGGAGTATAGTAAGAAGGTTTCTGATAAGGGTCGTGTGTTAGTAGGAGATGAAACGGGAGGTCGGTATGTAAGAAGAACGGAGACTCGGTCTCAATCTTGCCTTCTTCCGGGTCTGATATCTCTGGACCGAGCCGATCAAGCAGGGACGAGAACGCCATCATTTCTTGATTTAGCTGTAACGCCTCTTGACGCGCAAGTCTGCAGCCACATGTCAGGAACACTGCATTTTGATTCATACTGAATCATGAGAATTGCTTACAGAAATTACGTGTACAAGACGGTCTGGGGATCTTATAGATTGTCCGAACCTTTCCTAGAAGAAGAATTGCGGCTTATTACCTTAGGTATGTATATAGCGTATAGTATATAGCTGAATATGTAGGTGGTATTTGTAATGTCTTGGCTGAATTCCCCTGGGGTGTACGGGGTGTAGCATTCGTTCCTTTTGTTGTAACCAAGCCAACCGAGCTCCGATGTTGTTTTTATGTAGGTAGGTATGTATGTACGTACGTATATGCCGGTGGTGGTAGAATTTGCAATTGTAACGCTATTTGAGATAAGCTGTCAGGAGATGTATATTCGAATAGATTGGTTCAACAGAATAAATAGATGAAACGATAAAACCGCTTGTTCTCTTGGCGCTCCAATACCGTTGGGGATTATAAGAAGGATAGACTCAGAGACAACTACCAAGTAAAAAAAAATCGAGTTTGTTGAAGGTTTAGATACACATGTCCATGTACCTACCTAAACAACACACATACATGTATGTATGCAAGAATGTAGCGTATGAGGTATTGTACATATTGTACATACCTACCTAACCTACAGAGCAACTAGTGCCGTAGCTGTGGGTATAGCGACCAGACGCTAAACTCATCCAGGGTCTAGGGTATTAAGTCTCGGCACCTCAAATTGGCAAGGGGTATGGTTTTATTGGAACGGAGTAATACTAGTGTCGTCATGGGGCAAGCCTAGAAGGTAAGAGCTTAGCAGCCAAGTAACTAGGAAGCAGCTTAGGATCTTGGATGCATTGGGGAAGCCCCAGAAAAAACCCGCCTACACCTTCGACTTACAAGAAATAAGAAACGTCCATGACTTCTTCATCTCTTCTTCATAACAATTCAATAAGCCTTTAGGTAACTAAGGTCACTTGGATAGATTAATGAATAAATAAGACACATTATTACCTTTCTAGCCGGCCTGACCCCATTCTCATAACTTATTACATAGTTCATCATCTCCCACCTTCTGTGGCCTATACCAAAATCTAAGCATTCGTGGCCCTTCGTTTACATCATCGTCTACATCATCGTCCGGATCTCTTAAAAGTCCCCCAAACCGAACCTCCTGTATTCTAACGCGCAACTATGCCGAGCACAGACGAGTGGCGAGAAGCAAAGCTAAGGCATGTGGTCCTTCAACCCAAAGCCACTGCAAAGCCACCATATTCCATTGAATCGCCGGGAGCTGAAGCCGTTGCGGGCGAGACGAAACCCCGTAGACATCCGTTGACAAAGGATGGACTCATCACCAAACCTTCCGATGACATTACTACCGCCTATGAGCTCCTACGAGTGAGCGTTGCCAAGTTCGGCAATGCAAAAGCCATGGGCTCTCGACGCCTCGTGCGCACCCACCAGGAAAGCAAAAAGGTCAAGAAGATAGTGGATGGTCAAGAGCAAGAGGTGAACAAGGCTTGGACATTTTTCGAACTTGGTCCCTACGAATACCTCACATACAACGACTTTGAGAAGTTGGTCTTAAATCTCGGTTCTGGTCTGAGGAAACTTGGTATGAATAAAGGGGACAGAGTCCATATCTTCGCTGCCACTAGTGCCAACTGGCTGGCTACCTCGCATGCCGCCTCCTCCCAATCGATGCCAATCGTAACCGCCTACGACACACTCGGTGAGGAAGGATTGAAACATTCGATGGTTGCGACAGGTGCCAAGGCTATCTTCTTGGACCCTCATCTAATACCTACTCTTGGCAACGTCCTCAAGGATGCCACCGAAGTCCGTTATGTCATTTGGAACAACCAACACCAAGTCAGACAGGAACATATCAACAACCTAAAGAGCGCCTACCCCCACATTAAGGTCGTGAGCTTTAAGGAGTTGGAAAAGCTTGGTAGAGATGAACCGTTTGATCCTGTGCCTCCCACCCCCGAAGATCTCTGCTGTATCATGTACACCTCGGGATCCACGGGCACCCCTAAGGGGGTCCCCCTTAAGCACAGGAACATCGTCGCTGCTGGTAAGCATCGTTATTCTAGAATGAGATTATACCAAGCTAACCTGATCAACAGTTGCGGGTGTCAGTGTTGTAGTCCAGCCCTTCATTGGTCCCGGTGATGGTCTGTTAACTTATCTTCCCTTGGCTCATATTCTCGAGCTTGTTTTCGAAAATGCCTCTTTATACTGGGGATGCACTATGGGTTACGGAAACCCAAAGACATTGTCAGATGCCTCAGTTCGTAACTGTTTTGGAGATATTCGCGAATTCAAACCCTCCGTCCTAGTGGGTGTGCCGGCAGTATGGGAGTCTGTCAAGAAGGGGATAACCTCCAAAGTCCACGATGGTGGTCCGGTTGTCCAGAATATGTTTTGGGGTGCATTGGCATTAAAGGCTAGACTGTTAGCCACTGGCCTGCCCGGAACTAGCCTGCTTGACTCTATTGTCTTCAAGAAAATTAAGGAGGCGACCGGCGGTCGACTAAAGCTCTGCCTCAATGGCGGTGGCCCTATCGCAAAGGACACTCAACGATTCATCTCTATGGCCATCGCACCGATGATCATCGGTTACGGCCTTACGGAAACCAATGCTATGGGTTCCCTTATGAACCCTCTTGAGTGGACATCCGAGACGATTGGCGCGATGCCCTCATGCATTGAAGTCAAGCTAGTTGACTTCCCGGATGCGGGTTACTACGCGACGAATAAACCAAACCCTCAAGGCGAGATTTGGATCCGAGGCGCCAGTGTAGCAGAAGAGTATTACCAGAATGAGAAGGAGACTAAAGAGAATATGGCCCCTGGTGGCTGGTTCAAGACAGGAGACATTGGTGAATGGGACTCCAATGGTCACCTAAAGATTATCGACCGCAAGAAGAACTTGGTCAAGACCTTGAACGGCGAATACATTGCGTTAGAAAAGTTAGAGTCTATTTACCGCTCGACGCAGGTTGTGGCCAATATCTGCGTGTACGCGGATCAATCGAAGGCTAAGCCTATTGCGATCATCGTGCCGGCAGAACCAGCGTTGAAGAAGCTGGCCGCCGAGAACGGGATACATGGATCCAGTCTAGAAGAGCTTGTGCACGATAAGAAGCTAAATGGCATCGTACTAAGAGAGCTTCAAAACGTCGGACGATCTGGTGGCCTGTCCGGTATCGAGATAATTGAGGGAGTCGCGTTGTCAGACGAGGAATGGACGCCGAATAACGTAAGTCACTGAATCATTTATAAATTAGTTCCACGAGCTAACTGTCCTATACAGGGTCTCGTAACCGCAGCCCAGAAACTCAACCGTAAAGGTATCCTCGCCAAGTACGAAAAAGAGGTGCAAGCAGCGTACGCCTCCTCGAGCTAGGTGTTAGGAGACAACCTCGAGCCTTTTTAGGTATCTTGGCTAGGTTGGTGGTGGTGGTGGTCTTAGCCAAAGCTATATGAGTTAGGTAGGTTCATGTCGTTAGAACATCATAACACAGGGCGGCGCGAGGGAGAGATTGCAATTATAGTTGACGATCGAGACAACTCTGCGCACGTTCGTTTCACGATGGATGCTGTATTGGTTTTTATTCTGTTTGAGTTGAGCGTTTTTATTTTTCGTGTTTGTGCTCGCGTGTACATTTGCAGAAGAGTAATGGTACGAGGGATGCATATGCTTGTGCCCTGAAAGCCGACTAGGGCGGGAAGGAAGTAGACCTAACAGATAATATATAAGTCTAGTTATGCTTCCTATTGCATATACGTGTCATGTAGTATATATTCCTAATATGCCTCATTTAAGGGTGAAGAGCGCAAAATACCAGATTGGAAACAGAGGGCTCTAGGAAGACAGCTGAGTTGAGTATATTGTGTAGATAGATGTTTAATTAAACTAATTGTATTAATGACAAGTAGATTACGCCGAATATGATGGATGATAACTGCGACGACTGCAAGTTGCAATACCTTAACCAGACTGTAACTGTGAGTAGCTTCTATTATATATAGAGCGGGAGGACGTATAGCGTATCCCCACCGTAGCTTGAGTAATTGATATATTTCGTAAATTGGGTTATGTTATAACCACATTATGTTCTGCCTAGTTAGTTATTTAATAGTTAACCCGTCTTTATAGTATAGAAATAGTTTATTGTATAACTACTACTATTCAACGTATAGGTTAAGTCTTTTATTTATACGCGGGTGACTAATAGAGGTATATATTATTAGATAGGCAATATTATTGGCTACCTACATCAAGTCTAGTATACGATAGTAGGTAAACGGGTAAGTTAGAAAATAACTTAGCACACATGTAGGTACATATACTGTACACTGGGTCCTTCTTGCAGATCAGAGTACTATTTGGTTTTCCTAATGTATTTATTTATACTATGAGGTGGGCAGATCTTCCAACGTGCATGGCGCTGTGTATGTATACCGGGATTGCATCAGTACGTCATTTTAGTAAACTCAGCCTGGACCATAGCCTTAAAGCTATCTAGGTATTCGATAAGAAGTTATCTACCTACCTAGGTACCTTACCTATCTATCATAGTATATGTATGACTCCGCCTCATATATAGGTACAGATAGATAAAATTGAGAGATTTCCCCGGCCTCAGCCACCTTGGTCAGAGGGAGGTAAGGAGGCGAAGCAGTTTGTGTATTGGCATCTTTAAATTAAGACGTGTAGGTAAGTAGGTATAGGATAATATCAAGTTAACCATCTCTATCAAATCAATAATCCAGAATAAACCAACTTATATCTTAACTAACATAAAAGCTCGAACACGGGAACTGACGTCACGTCACATGTATAGGTATATATAAGAAACCCCAGATCTGTAATAATGTATGCGGCGTTAAGTCTAATCTCGTACGAAGTAGAGACTGCCTATCTATAAGAAGGCCACTCACTTGCTTTGCCTGCTGCGCCGCGTTCTAGAAAACCTGGGAGCGATTACCGCTGCGGCTGCGGTAGCCGAGGGACCCGGTCTATCTTGGCCTGCAGTCCCAGTTCTGGAGGACGACATGCTTGGCCGGTGCTTTGCTTGATCATCACATTAGACTATCCTTAACCAGAGCGCCAGAAAAAAAAACCGTCATCTGGCCATCAACATACAACCGCGTTTACCCTTCTCTTGGGATATAGATGCCCGTGTAGGAGACAGAGAAAAGAAAATTTGATACACTGGCAACAACCCTCCAAACGGGACTTTCATCACGACTTTGTCGTCTTTTGTTTTCTTTCTGGTTTGAGCTCTTGTTCTCTGCTAGGTCCTCTCTTCATGTTCCCGAAGCCGTCTACTCTGGAAAGCCTCATTTCTGTCTAACCACACTCTTACGCAATAAGAATTATACCAACCCGTCGTATAGAGAGAGTGCCGAGACGATTGTCTCATCGCGTTTACTGCCTTCTTTAAACTCCTCCATATCTAGACTACCGTTTTCGTCCTTATCCATCATGCGGAAGATCTTCTTAACACGTTTTTCGGGGGTATCTTCGTCCTCGGGAAGCTTCACCATCGAACCGACCTAATTCGAACCACAGTTAGCACGCGTTGACTATTATTGACCCTAAAATGGTGTATATTATATACCATTTTGTAGATCGCTTCTACAATCTTTAGCATCTCGTCATAGCTAATCTTGCCGTCACCGTCGATGTCGTATAATTGGAAAGCCCAATCAAGCTTGTCCTCCATCTTTCCTCGGCTTGTGACACTCAGAGCGCAGATGAATTCCTTGAAATCGATCGAGCCGGACTTGTCGGAATCGAAGACGTTGAATACATAATCTGCAAATGAAGATGGATCACCAAATGGAAAGAATTGTCGGTAGATTTTCTGGAATTCTTCTTTCGTGAGCATGCCGGATGGGCAGTCTTTTAAGAAGCCTATGACGCGATAAGTACAGATCCAACCAATAAATTACAGCAACACAACGACATAGAGGTAACCAACCCTTGTACCATTGTTGCAGTTCCTTCTTGTCAAAATGCGTGGATTTCTGGAGTTCGGCTAGTTGCTCTTGGGAGAGTTTCGATTGACTAAATAGTTTTCATTAGTCGGACTGGCCGGTATTTCAATGGGAGACAATAGCAATGAAGTTATCTCCGTTGTTCTCTACGTAAAAGGGAGAGGAATTCTCGCATCATCATCGCGCAGCCGTGCGTGACAAAGATATGATGCAATATATTTTAGGCAAACTCACGATTTTCCCATTTTCGATTTAGTAACGTTGTGGTAGCAACTATTCTATTAAGTATGATGTCTCTCGGAGAGGCGGAAAAGTTGGTGTTTGTCGTGTGTCAAATCTCGAATCTCGCGAGGCCGAAGGTGAAGGGGGGGTTGTTGATTATGCGACAAGTTCCAAAGCGAAAGCGAATGATGGCAAGGTGGGGTTTTGTCGCAACGGTGAAGATAACAATAAGTCCGACTAGGTTCAGGAGTCTTTCAAGTGTCGCAGCAGGGAGAAGGTCTAATGCAGAAAAATGTTGAAGCGTGAAAATGTGCAAATAGATGAAAGGAGTTCGAATACCAATACCAAAAATAAAAAAGTACGCTTTAGCAATAAGGGAAAAGGTAGTTTATGTTGTCCTGTGTTTAGGTTTGAGGCAACCTAGAGTACACTGATGTATGCAGTCCGGATGTATGTAGGGTACCTATGAGGTATGTATGTATGTATGGATGTACTTTATGCAGCTAAGGTACATAAGGTCATATAGGTGGAAGACCTGTATGTATTTATGTACTTCGTACCTCTATGCTTTGTAAGTTGAAAGCTCTAGATTGGAAATATGTAACACGGTACATAGGTAGGCTACTTAAAAGAGCTGGTTTGGCCAGTGATCGAGGCTTAACTAGGCTGGCTTTTGCTGAGTGACAATAAGGCGGCCGAATGACGGGATTGGACTGCGGTACGCAGATGAAATGCGAGCTTCGCACTTAAGATTGAATTAATCCTACAACTCGTGTGTGTAATAGGTGCAATAAAAGTTGCAATGGGGTACAATGGGGTGTAATACATGTACGATAACTAGGCAATCTACCATCTACCTATTAGGTATCGTATATAAAATACAACTAGATACGTACCTAGGAACTAGGCGAAAAAGGGGTGGACCTCTTGGGATCACTTACATGATCTCTTTGAGGGTCCGCCAACTATTGCGCCGATCACCTAGGAACAACTGCGACGATGTAATGCAAGTTGAGGCTCTCTATTTTTAATTGTGACCTTGAGCTGTATGTTCCCGTATGCTTAAGTGCGATGCGTTCCGGCAAATGGGATATTTTGTAAAGAGTACTGTAAATAATAGACGGTATAGACTCGAGAGGGAAATGATATAGATTTGGCGAGCGTAAACGTCAGTCAATCTTAGGTCTTAGGTTCAAAGAGTTGGAAACTTGGAAGAATGCAGTTAACAGGTTAGGTAACTTGGGAGGGAGGTAGGAGGTATGTACCTACCTCATGTATTAGGACGGGTTTAGTATACCTATCTGGACGAACTCAGTTCTGGCGGGGTAATTAGATCATACCTACCTAGGTACCTTACACTAATCAATGGGGGGTTAGTATCCACAATTCACCTACCTATCGTCCCTGCCAGCTGCCAGTATTAATCACCAGTACATATGTACCTAAGTAACTACGCGCGTACATGTATGGACTTGACACAATTGGTCACTAGTCCTAGTGCCTGTGTCCTAGCCTGTGTCCTAGCCTGTGTTACCCTCTCTGCTTCTACTTCTACTTCCATCGAATTACCCCAACCGGATTATAACATTCGGCTTTACTTGAGAGCCTTTGTCTAGCAATTCAGCCGAATAGTTAGACATACATACACGCCTATGTAATAGATTGGTTTGATCTAACTTGACGTCACGTAAAGTCATCATAATCAACTTATACGCTAATAAAAGCTATATCCAAGGTCATTGTATATCTACATATCTACATAACAGCAAGTAACGAACTACTACCACCCGGTTTCCTCGTAACATATAAATAGGCAAATCGGAAACGATCTTGCTGATTGTCATATCTCAACGTTGATCACTCACTTCAGCATGCAGGGTTACGGGTCATCCCGTCTTATCCGCAAATTATCTAGCTAGGTATCTAGTAGGGTCCATGCTCTTAATTTTATAAGAGCGGTTACCTGTTAGATAACGCCGGTGGCTTGGAGCTTTGCGTCATAGCGAGCGAGCCTTCACTATCATTGATAGATATGATAGATTAATATTTGAATAACCTCTTTGCTAGTAAGTGGGATGTCACCAATTACCTAACTTACTTATATACATGTAACTACGTCTGTGGCTAGTGATAGTATACTAATACGACTATATTATATACCTGACTATTAAACACCTTTAGCAATGAAAGACCCGGGTCATGTTCGATGAAGTATGCATATATTCCACGATGATAATATGTACCTAGGTATGTATCAAATAATTGAATGAACCACCCCTAACTCACAGCTCGGCGGAGTATTTACAGAGTCGGAACCAAACGCCAGTCCAATATCCCGTCCGTCGTTCATGCATCGTCCAAGCTCCACCATGCTATAGCAGACGCCTATATCGCTTCTCATGAGGTATCTTCAGCGGCCAAAAAAAGGGGCACATATTTCGTAGCTTATTAAGTAGAACGCTAAGTCTTGCGTCAACGCTCTGGAGTATCTTGGTAGATTGAAAGATTGTCTTGAGGAATCATCCGACGACGGTCTTTTGACTTAAGCTCTCAAGGAACCCGCCAAGGTCATCCTTCCGAACCTCAACGACGCAGTGCTCAAAGCTGTCGATTCGCACGCGGGCGTTTGTCTCGTTAACCACATCTTGGAAGGCGGTGCCGAACTTGTTTAATCCGTAGCCACGGTCTTTATGCTCTTCAACTTCGTCCTCTGAATCCGAGTCTGATCCATCGCTGTCTTCGGATTCTGTTTCTTCCTCGTCATCGTCCTCGCCGGCTGCAGCTCTTGCAGCGCGCTTCTCTTCCCTGATCTTCTCCCTGTTCCGTTGCTTCTGTTCCCGCTCCTTGAGCTTAGCTTCCTTGGCAACCTGTTTCTTTTTGGCTGCTTCCTTATCTAGGAACGCGAGATCAGGTCCGCCGCCGCCACCGGTACCGACTACAACATAGACACCTCGCTTCTCGTTCAGACTTGCTACAACGAGCGGTGTGCCACGTCCGCCATGTGCTAGTTTCCCATTGACATCCTTTTCCTGCTCAGCAAGGGCCTCGCCAACCCAAAGGGCGAGCTTCGTAAGCGCAGCGGGGTGTGTAAACAGAGGGACGTCCGGTCCGTCTTTAATAACGCAAAGACGGAAAGCATGTAAATGCTTGATTTGTCTTTTGCCAATCAGGGTAGTTCCCGTTCGAAAGATAGCACGATGAAGTTCTTTCGCTGTAGGAAGGCCGGCTTTTAGAGCATCGATGCTGGATACCATTAGTTTCTTAGCCTAGTTTCTTGTTCATGGAACTTACTTTTCAAGAGCATCATACGCTCCCCAAAAGCGACTGACCCATTCCTGGGTTTCGGCCACTCCACCTTCATCTTCGATGTCCTGTATTTGACTTGCTCGGTAGCGGCTATCCTCGCCGGCCACCGTATTATGTTTGCCTACTTCGAGCAAAGCGCCAATGATCACTCCGACGTCTTGAGCGCTGAGCGTGGCTCGCCAACCCCAGCTCCGGACAAACCCCCATCCGTCTTTAGCCCCTGCTCGATCTCTGACATCTGTTTCCACCGCAGGTACCATATCGTCGAGGTTGTATAAAGATGCATACTTCAGCAGTTTCGTACGTAGCTCCTTTTTCAGCATCATATCCATGTGTGTGTAGCTCTGCTTGCATTGGACCAGGCTCACGCCCATTTTGGCAAGAAGCTTGTGTAAACGTTTGATACCGCTCTCGCTCCAGATTCGCAGCCTTGAGAAGAGATATGGTGAATGTAGCATACTATCATAAAGGCTCCAATGTCTAATCAGTAAGAATTTTGGTTCGGGGGATAGTCGAATACTCGTGTCCTCCGGGTTCCGAGCTGTAGTAGGGATAATTCCAGCACCATCTGATACTGAGAGTCTGCCCATTTCCGGTGGGTTAAGACGCCTCACTTCGTCCCGCAGGAGTTGCCGTATCCGGGCGCCACGGACGCCCATCCAGCCATTTGACGGCCTAGAATCTGAACCGCGGACCATAACAGCTAAGCCGGCTGAAGAGCGACCATATAGTTCCATGGACGTGACGCCAACGATTGTTAGCCAAAGCAAGTCATTGTCTTCCCGACCCAACTCTGATGCTAGAGAGTAAATCATTGCACTGATAGGCTCGGAATAAGATGATCCCATCCTGTAATACTTCCGAAGGATACCTTCATTCTCATTTCGCATTCGTAGTAGTCGTCTCCGAAGGGTGCGGGCTGACGGGCCTTTAGGAGGTTGTGCTCCGGAGGGCGGATTTTCCAGGTCGTCCGATCTGATCAGATCGGAATCCCGTATTGAAATCAATCCGCGCTGGGCCGGACGTTGCGGGGAGTCCGGAATTGGGGTAGACTAAGAAAAGGTCAGTGGGGGAGTTTCCAGCTTTGATTAGAGGGTATCGTACAGAATTACTCCTTCTCCTTTGTCGAGGTCGGTCATCTTCCTCACCGCTACTCTCATCATCCCGATCCGACCAAGACTTCCTCTTCTTACCAGAACGTAGAGAATGAACCTCTACTTCTACCTCACCTTGACCTTCACTTTCGGAATCACTTTCCCCATACGGCTCGCCATTATCTTCAATATCAGGCATGTCAATTAGCGCCAGGTACGCGTCCCGTTCGGCTTTGAGCCCTTCTTCGATGTCACCGTCGTCGAATACAATAATTCCACCCTTTCCAGGTTTATACGAGTTGCCTACTCGGCCCGAAGCTACACCACTGGGGGCACGGGCCTGGTAACTCGTAACGGCACCGGAAGTGGGTTCAAGTGGATATCCGCCGAAAACATTGCCAAGGTTCCACGGCCGATGCGAGTCTATAACCCAGACTTCAACACCACTGAAACTCGACTCCTCGCCTTCAGTCTCGAGGCCTAAAATAGTTCCCATGTCCACCATACCACCTACGCCGAGGCACACGACAACTCCTCCACTCCCCCCACGGCTCTCCATCATGGGACCAACAAGGTCCTGGCCAACGCGTTCGAGGTCCCCATATCCGGACACTGGGTGAATCTTGTGTGGTATATAGTCATGTTTGAGAAGCCGTGTTAAAATGCGACAGGCACAGAGGGAATCGGGTTCAAGGGCGACAAGAATGAGGACCGGAGGTGATAGGGGATGTCGGGTGTTCTGAAGGTGAGTGTAGAGTTTTGATATGAGATCGCGTGGCAGATACATAGTTTGGAAGTATCTGAACGCGTTTTCGAGTCTGCTACGGTGGATTCATAGGACCGGTAACAAAGTGTAGCTGCAACGAGCTCAAGCCTTAGGTACCTAGGTAGGTTCGGATTCGAGGAAGGTAAATCGAGTTGGTACACGCCAATTACTTGACAGGTAAAATATTAGGAATTGAACTGGCGGATATATTCCATAAATAATTAACAAAAGACTTTGAGTATGAATGTTATCATATCGTGACGTTGGAGGAGCGACAGGTAGAATTGATTAATTTTAGTGTGGACAAGGTATAAGTGTTGATGGCCAGAACGCGGTTTAAAGTGGGCAAGACGCGATTTGGTACATCGCGGGCGTGTTGGCGTAAAGCACCTTGCAGATACACTGTGCGCTGCGCGGGACGATTCCACTTTTATGTGAGTAAGTTCAACCGGGTCAAGGTACCTCTTACATATCAGACAGAGATCAGCCACATTTATGCACCCCCCTGTAGCTAAAGACCTGAATATCCCTTCAGCCTTATAAGTCTAATCCATTTAATTGAACTTTAAGTAATTGAACTTCAAGGTGCGCAATGTTCAATATCTCCTCATATACTTAGGTCGTAAATAAATATAAGCGCATATTTATCTCTGTGTCTCTGTGTTCAAGTCCCCTACAATTCTGCCTGATTGGATATTTATATATTGATATGCAATGCTTACTATTGGCCAAAAAAATACAGCTGTGCCGTTTAGAAATTTACATAGTTTACCTGTAGCGTAAGTATAGTGGGGTTAGCTTAGTACGTGTAACCACAATTAACTATGTACTTCGATTATCTTAATTACCTATTTTAATCATTACCTGTATTACCGTAAGGCCGACATTTGATGAGGGCCGTCAAAGCTTAACGAAGAAGACCACGAGAAGCAGGTATCCGTTTTCTGCTAGCTGAATTATAAGGAGTAATTTAACAATGACATCATCCTCCCCCACGAAGCAGCTCTTCGAGCTCTGTGTTGAAGCAATATCAACAATTCAAAGCGAATGCAATTCGATACTATCCGTGACAGATCCACCCAATGAATTGTTTCCAACAGGATTAGTAGGGTGTGGCCCTGCTTTAATTGATCTACTATCTCGACAGGCGGCTCAGATCAGTATTTACTATCAAGAATTGAAGCCTACAGAAATAAGCACAGCTCAAAGTCCACCAGAAGAGCAAAAGTTATCGTTGGAACGATTATCTGATCTTGTTTCAATTTCTTACTCCAAGTTCTACGCATATCTTTTCAAAGACCTCCCGGTTTGCTGGCGGCAACTCTATACTGATGCTAGCATCTTGAAATTCTGTCTTATCCTCCTCTGGACGCCTTGCATATATGATCGTGCTGTAGAAGGTATTAAAACTTCTCGTGGGCAGGTAGATAAGGCAGGCCGTCAGATTACTCAACTCGTCAAACTTCTCGATTTTGCATTAATTCTTGCTGGGGCCGCTGGTGAACAGAGAGGCAGAAAATGGATCAATAGAGCTATTGAGCTACTCCAAGAGGTCGGGAACGAACTGGGTATCGATACAGGTGCGCTGGAGGAACTCAATGTTATATTTTCGACGATCGAACCATTTACACCACCTGTAAATCGCCCCATCCAATGTACCGATTCTTTATCCATCGAGGCATTCCAGGCATATATGGATAATCACCGAGATTCAAAATTAGGACCGGAGCCGCTTATCATACGTGGTGTTATTGGTGACTGGCCAGCTTTAACTAAGAACCCCTGGAATAAACCATCGTATCTTCTCTCACAAACTTTTGGGGGTCGTAGGCTTGTGCCGATTGAGATTGGCCGTAGCTATGTTGACGAAGGCTGGGGTCAGAAACTTATCACTTTCGGTGAGTTCTTACGCGGATATATTGATCCTTCCCTTCCTCCTGTCTTGGATAGCCTCGTCGGTGACAATATTTCTGCTTCGTCACAAGGGAAATCAATTGCATACTTAGCCCAGCATCCTTTATTCACTCAACTTCCCGGTTTAAGGAACGATATCCTCATTCCGGATTATTGCTATACCGCTCCGCCTCCGCACCCAACAGATCCCAGCATTGACCAGCCAGAACTTGATGAGCCGCTTCTTAATGCTTGGTTTGGGCCTCCGGGTACTATTACGCCATTGCACACCGATCCATATCATAATATATTAACACAGGTGGTGGGGCGTAAGTATGTACGGCTCTATTCACCCTTGAATACGGAATGTATGAAAGCACGAGGGAAAGAGAACGGTGTCGAGATGGGAAATACTAGCTTAATGGACGTTGGAGTAGTCGAAGGGTGGGATGAGATACCCGATGATGAGAAAGACGAACTTAGCGATGAGGACTTCACTAGTTTTAAAGAGATACCGTTTCTAGACTGTATCCTTGAGCCTGGTGATGTCCTCTACATCCCCATCGGGTGGTGGCATTATGTTCGTGGATTAAGTGTAAGTTTTAGCGTGAGCTTTTGGTGGAATTAATATGAGATGAACTTCCTATGTGATAATCTCGAGACTTGAATTCTACGTTTTCAAATATTAAGTGAAAGTGTATTTAAAATAGGAGACTGCTTAGTCATAATTTTTTTTAGTGTAAGTAATCCATATTATTCTCTTATCGAATATATTTATGAATAATTATAACTTTACCGCCAAATATCAGGCACCTAAATAACTTGGAGGTTGTGAAAAGTCGCTGCCTGTCTAGTATAAAATCGAAAGAGACCTACGGGCATAACATTCAAAATTTAAATATTTATGACTCTATAACCCGTTTTGTTTCTGCTTTTACGCCGTCAATCTTGGTTCATTTCTTTAGCAGGCCTCTATCGAGAAACGAGTTAAGAGCTTTGGTCATTACACCCTGCCACTACAACAGTTCTATAAGGCCCTCGTAATAGTGTGATTCTAACCTTACCCTGAAGATGGATGCACCTGAGCAAGATCGGGATGTTGTCATCCAGAAATATTCAGCAGACCTAGTCACTGATTTTGATCGTTCTCTGATACCGTTCCTGAAGAAGCCCAACGGCCAACTTCGGAGACGCGTGCGTATGAGGGAAACGTCAAGACTGATGTCACTTGTGAGTGTCTAATATATCTAGAGTTATAATAATCAAGCGAAAACTAACAAGCAATATTGAGGTTCTGGAACCATTCCAAGAGCTACCACAGCTGCTCGATCCGCATCTGCCCAAGTGGTTACCGACTTTGGCGGAAGCATACTTAGGGTGTTTACAAGACCACCGTAAACATAGATCGCTATCTATGCGGTCTCAACTTCTACTTCCGTTATCTGATGCAATATGCAAACTTCTTTATACATTTTGCAAAATTCGAGGGGAGAAAGTCATCGTTAGATTCTTAAATGTAGAGACGAAATACTTAGAGCTTCTCCTGCTCGCCATCGAAGAATCGGAGCGTAATGCTGATTCGGCTACTTCATGGACCTGGCATGAAAGATATATTACCCTACTATGGTTATCCCAACTATTCTTCGCTCCTTTCGATCTCTCGACTATATCATCTGGTGACGCTGACGATCTCGATCGGCTCACCGTTTCCGGATTTGAGTGGCCGTCCCAGGTTCCTGGTATCGCCTTAAGGGTTATTCCCCTGGCGGTCAAGTATATTGCGTCGCCTGGCAAGGAAAGGGACGGAGCAAAGGCTCTCCTGGTTCGAGTGGCGATGCGGAAGGACATGCAGGAACTAGGAATACTCAACGCTCTAGTAAAATGGGCTTTGTCGACCTTGAAGCCATCGGAGGATGCCCCAGCTAAATCTCCGTACTATTACATTGGTACCATTTCATTCTTAGCTGGGATCCTCAGTGCCGCCGCAGATACGTCCATCATGGATCCGCATCTTCCTTCTATTTTCAGTACCACACAAGCTATCGCCTCCGGGGAGGACCCCGTTTTCGACGTCATTGTCGGTTCTGCGCTAGCTCGGAAAATGCTCATTAAAGTAATACGCTCGATCGTCACTCTGGTCTTGCGGAAATCACAGCAAGTTGATACTGATACTGAAGTAGTAGAAACTTCTATCGGATATCTACTAGAAAGATTAGCAGATAATGATACGCCGGTACGCCTTGCTGCCAGCAAAGCTCTTAGCATTGTTGCACTTAAACTCGAGCCTGACATGGCCTCACAAGTCATTGAAGCCGTTTTAGAATCACTTAACCGAAACGTGCTCTGGGTCAAAAGTAAGGCGGACCCATCTGCTCCTCCTACGCGAGATATTACGGCCGTCGATCCACTGGAGTGGCATGGGCTGATGCTCACTCTTTCACATCTTCTATACCGGAGGTCACCACCTCCTGACAACTTATCCGATATTATTCATGCCTTATTGATGGGACTTTCTTTCGAGAAGCGAAGTCCATCAGGAGGGTCAGTCGGCACCAACGTCAGAGACGCATCTTGCTTTGGTATATGGGCACTAGCTCGACGTTACAGCACTTCTGAGCTGCTTCAAGTACAGACACAATCCGTGTTAGTTGCTAGGGGGCACGACCCCGCTGCATCGATATTACAAGTGATCGCTACCGAATTAGTAGTGACCGCTTCACTTGATCCCGCCGGGAACATTCGACGTGGCGCATCTGCCGCTCTCCAGGAACTAATCGGCCGTCATCCTGACATTGTGGAGAAGGGTATTTCTGTAGTACAGATAGTCGACTATCATGCCGTCGCTCTTCGCTCCAGAGCGATACATGAAGTCGCCTTGCAAGCGACTAGATTATCACCACATTACGGCCGCGGGTTATTGGAAGCGACTCTTGGGTGGCGAGGTATAGGGGATATGGACGCAGGGGCTCGGAGAGTAGCAGCTAGTTCCTTTGGCGCCCTGACAGCAGAGCTGGTCGGCGTCAGAACCTCCGACCCCTTAGGCTATTTCAAAGACTCCGTTGACTTGCTTCTATCTCGGCTCGGAGCTCTTCAAGTAAGACAAGTAGAAGAACGGCACGGACTCCTATTGAGCCTTGCGGCTGTCTTTGATCTCCTTCCACAACTTGTAGACAGAGAACCCGAATCACTCCAGAAAATACCAACAGCTGAGATCTGCACCACTTTAAGAAAGATTCTACAAGATTTCAAAAACATCAAGTATAGAAAACCAGAATTGATTGCGGAAGCTGCTGGTCGACTTGTGGTATCATCAACTCCGGTCCTTCTGTTAAGCGTTGCACAGAGCCATTTTCTAGGCCCTCAAAGCACAAGTTTGCAGTCAGGTCTCTTTATTGTGGACGAAGATAACTCTGCACATTTGAGTTCGATTGCGGATTTATTGGATACACCACACAGCGATCGTCCACAACATGTTATCGAGCTATTAGGAACTTTACAAGATACTCTGAATAATTGGCTCGACAAAAATGATATTGAAGTAGTCAAGACTTCATCGAAGGCTGCTCTAATTTTACTTATCTTTGCTACCCGAGAACGCCGCGCTCAGATCATCGAAGAATGGTCTAATAAAGTACGTCGTCCGCAAGCACAACGTGCCAAGCATGGAGATGGCTTCTTCCATGCTCTTACCTGCGCGTACCAACTTCAGCGGAACCAGCACGATCGTTCAGAAGGCATCCTAGCAAGTAAAGTGCTTGCAGAACGATGGGCACAAGACAGCGATATAGAGACTCACGTCGCTATTCTGCAAAGTTTAGTTGGCAGAGCCATCCTTCGAGACAGGCCATTAGACTTTCTTACCATCGTCTCAGAAGGCTTGGATGACTACACGACGAACGCACGCGGAGACGTCGGCTCCCATGTTCGATTGGAAGCGATCAAGGCAACAAAGACTTTGTGGGACTCGAAGAGAGATGACGAACATGTCATATCAACCCTCTTCCCACGCATACTTCGGTTAGCAGCCGAGAAGTTAGATCGAGTTCGTACCGAAGCGCAGTCGGCATTGACTCTACTTTTACATCCAAGGTTCGTAAATCCATCCCATATCAGGTTGATAATATGTTCACTCATCACCACATAGATATGCTCAGACCTTTAGCAAGTTATCTTTCTCCTCGAAAGACTATTTCAATTTCCTACTTCGGCTCTGCGATAAAGAGCGATTAGATCAAGTCGCGGCGCAATTTTGGACACTCAGCGTAGATGACTGCACATCCATACTTTTAGCCGGCCTAGTAACCTCAGCTGACACAGGGAACGAAGACTTGGTCATAGTCAGTAGAGCCTCAGTCGCCAACTTTTGTGAGGAGTCAACAGAAAATCGGAAGCAGATATGTACTGCTCTCCTTCGCAATCTTAGGCAGTATCAAGGCCAGGACCGGGTCATAATACCTACGTTAGAAGTCGTGGCGTATTTGTTTCACGTTGGCGTTCTGCAGCGGTGTCCTGAGATAAACCTGCGGCAACTGTGCGTCCTCGTGCAGAAGGCGGCGTACAAGACCGGCAACGTGCGCAAGCTCGAGGCCTGCATCAAGGTCTACGGCGCTATCGCGGCCGTAGATGCGGATGATGACGTGCCGGACATATCGCCGGAGCTAGCGATAAAAAGACGCGAGGGCGTTCTCGAGGCGAGAAAGAGGCTTGGCGTTCTTTTAGTGCACCCTTGGCCTAAGGCAAGATGCTTAGTTGTTGATGAACTCTGGGGCTTGGTGTATGACAACGACGGAGATACGAAACGCGCGAAGCTCCTCTCCGTGGATTGGAGTAAAGCCGAGAAGGCATACGTAAAGAATATAGTGGGAGAGCTTGGACTTGAGTAAAAAGTATCTATTAGCTACGCCAGGAACTTGTATACTTGCAGGTAATATTTCTACATCTAGATATATCATATGGCACTGGCCATCAGCGGGACTTTAAAAAAAAGGGAACTATATTGCGATTGGATGAGTAGTAACTAAAATAAGAATTTCACAAAATAGAAATATGCTATTAGAAGGCGGCAGAGATTGAATATGAGGATCACCATGCGTAGGTATGAAACGTAAACTACTTACACATGATCTAGGTACCTAAGTTACCTAAAGCTTGAGGGTGGAAGAAATTAATAGAGGGAACGGAACTGAACAGAACATAAACATGGCATACACCCTCGTGCCGATATCCGAAGAAAAAAGGCCGAAAAGAGATGAAGGTTTCATTGGTATATTTGTATGTCTCCCGAATTGGAATAATAACGCTCATCATTTTGGGCAGTTCGGGGCACTGCCTAATACATTTTGTTAAAGCGGTTTGAACTGTCTCTCGTGACGTGGGATTTGTCTCAAGTTGCCATCAGCATTTGTTGGATTGGGTATAGATATATGAGTTGGACATGTGAAGGACTGCAAGAGTATAATATAAGTGGACGTGCGTGGGAGGTTTCAGTTATTTTTGTCAGCAGGACGATTTCCTAAGGAGGCAGCTCGTGGGAATAACGGCGCTCGCTGTTATGTGACAACGCAGTCTTTGCCGCATACGCCTAGGTTAAATGCTTTATATATTTATATATGTACATGAAGTATATACTTGCGGTAGAGAAAGCTACCTAATACCCATACCAAGGTGAAGAAGCTTGACATAGGCTGAAAGAGAAAATAGACACGGAGCTAGGATTTTGTGTCTGAGGTAAGTTTAGAGATAATTATAACTGCTTAAACGAAATATCAAAACGAGCACTTTTGGGTAGGATGCTCCACGCGTCTGGTCTAGGTTCTTACGCTTATTCTTACACATGCAAACAATATGCAAACAATATGCAGTTAACCACCATGATGTACACATGGATTCCATGTACACACTTTGCCTCAATGTATCTCGACGTACCAGCAAACGGATTACCGAATACGTACGTGATAGGCGTTTTTTTCTTCTTATCCCCAGCGATAAGATTTTGTCCTCTTAAAATCGAGCCCGCCTCTACGGTATGTATTGCGGGAATGGGTCTGCAGGGCGCAAGACATACAGGCGCATAACGTGAGGTGAGAGACAGAATCTAGACAAGCCTCAACTAACACGTTATTAGCCTCATCTATCGAACGTGTCTTACATGCTTGAAAGCTTTGACCGGGCCGAAGAGCTCTTATCAATGCAACGCCGTATCGCCCGAGTTTACATGGCAAGATATCCTTACGCGGCTCAAGCCGCCTCATCAGCAGATGATATAAGACGCGTAAGATTATGCACATATTATCCTGGGGAAACCCGGACCCCTACTATATATGTACTATATATGTATAAGTATACGCTGACGGGCTTTGACGTAGAGTCGGGATGGCTTTTCCGTGTCTTGTTTATAACGGAATAGGTAGTAGGTAATCATTGTCATTTTTACCGTGATTTGACCCTACGAGCCGTCGCCGCTATAAGCCGGAGAGAGGAAGAGAGAGAAAAGAGAAAATGGTTGGGGGATCCGGTAAGGGCTAACCGAGAAAGACAAGGTCTCACGTGCTCGTACTTACATATGTACGCTTTGCGCGGGAGTTCTGCCTTGATTCGAATTCGGTGAGTTTGGAGATGGCAAAGGTGAAAAAGCTAGACTTAAGTTGGAATAGCCGATTGAAACGTCTGGTGGACGTCGAACTGAGAACAGTAATAATTGTTAGTAATAACCGTGGAGTCGACATGGGACCCGCTGTACAAAGTAGCCACTTGGCCAGAGCTTTCGAGATGACCCCTTGTCGAATTGCCCCGCCAGACCCGCTAATTGAACCCCTGTCTTAAGATGCGCGCATCGATCTGCAGGCCTCCCCCGGTCCAGCCAGCTTTTCCTGCAATGGGAAGCTCTTAAAAAGATATCGTCGAGCAAGCAAACCCTGACATTAAAGGTTTATCTTTGGTTACGCCTCCAACGTCGTTTATCTTTGCACATATTTTGACTATTTTGAATTCTCAGAACTGCTTACTTTGTATGTTTATATATATAGGTAACTAACTACCTATATTATAAAGGACGCTTTTAAGAAGCTATGGTAATTTCGTTGATGGGTAATGATCTTATACGAGTAATGCGTTTAAAAAAAATTGTATATCGCCGTATTGAATGACGAGATCCCCGACAAAATTTTCGTTATCAACCACCCTGCCACCCACATCTCGTAATGAATCGCCCCAAACGGCCGGGTGCTGGTTGGATGTTGGTTGGATGCATCTCGTTACAATTAACGCATGTGTTAATTACCACGTAGTACATAGTACACTTCTTGTGATGAAGAGGGACGCAAGGATAAACGTGGGAAGAGGCTAGTACAAATCTCGAATGGAGTTTATACTCCAGGTACGCTACCTAAGTAGATATTATTCATGTTATTGATGAAAGGCCTAGACTCCAGACTAGACGCCGCAATATTCATGTACATTTCAGCCTTCGCCTCAGGTTGACTTACTCGCGACTTCTGTTAAAAACAGGTATGTTGGATGATAACTGGTAGGCCTGTCATATTCTTGCATTTGAAGGAGCCAATTGTTATCATTGGTAGGAAGCCAAGCAGCGGACCAACCTTACCTCTATAGTAGGTGTCCCGAAAGACTAAACATATCGCAATACGAAAGACCTTATAATATTTTTTTTTCTCCGTGTGATGGACATTAAGCAATTCCATATATGTAGCTATACGGTGACTATTACGAGCGAAGGTGGTGAATGCGCCTTAAACACTACATAGTAAGTACTTCTCGACTGCAACCTATTGGGTAGGTACTTGATCTTTTTATAGTTACCAGCCATTCAATGCTGTATAAATGAGGTTAAGCAGATTACAATGCACCTAGTGTAGATAACTTCAAATGCATCACCGCTAAAAACCAAGCTACATTAGCTTGAGACTATCTCAATAAAACGTGTAACGCTAATCGGTTACACTACATTACCTGAGGTACCTTAGAAGTTTGTATATATTAGCCCCGATAGATTAATTAAAGCAAATAGACATAATGCACATGACAATATAGCGGTCTGGAATATTGAAGTTCTCTATTAACTTTGCCCAATGCGTCTTATACTTGTTCGGTTATAATTTTTACCAATTAGGTAGTAGGACAATAACTTATTGGTCGTAATCTACGAATACATAATGTAGTCTACTGATTATACGTGCCTATAATATTTCGTTATCTAAGACTTAGCAGGTGTTAGAATAATAGGTAGCTAATATTAAGGGACAAAATCAGATGATTATTCCTTTGAGTTCTGCGCCGCCAACTTCAAGATGGGCATAAGAATAGATAAGTCCCGAAGTAGTGGCTCCTAGCAAACATCTTGCTTATCTACCTCATACTTATCTACTATTCTTATGCGTCAGACTAACGTGTGCACAGACTCGGCCCATGTCTTCGGGTCCGATACGTGGTGCTCAAAATCCTATCGTCCAACTTCCTGTAGCTCACTGACCACATTTACAAGTAGACAAGCTTAACCCAGTCCTCGCGTGAGCCAATTGTCGCACGCTTCCGGCCATAAAACCTCGCTTAACGAATTTATACTAAGCCAATCACGCCAATTTGGAGATCGTATTGGTGACAGAGGAGGCGCTAGGAAAAGCGTGGGGACGGCATATGTACAGATGTACGTTACATGCTGGTAGGCCCCGCGCCCTGCTCGCATCGTACATGGGTTTAATAACATATCTATTTGATCATGATACCGCTAACCCAGCCTCTTTACTTTGCGCGCGGAGGTGACAGAATAAGGGTCTGGCAAATCAAACTCCGTAATGGGTAACGGCGTCGCGCGCTTCATGATGGCTAGGATGAGGATAAGAAATATTGGCGCTGTAAGATTGAAAAGGGCACTTACGGACTTTTGAACTTGTTAGTATTAGTACGCTAATAGGAAAACGGCACTTCGATAAGTTTGTTTGATATATCCCACGCTATTAACTTATATCGATCGACTCTATCGAACTGCAATCGTCCGGTCTTACGTCTGTACCTTTCCTTCTCGACACGGACACGGACATGGAAATGGTGTGCTCGCACAACATATGTACGTGCACATAGTACCTACGTTAGACGTTGTATTTCATCTCACACACTTTACCTGGCCGAGGTCATCGTGCATATTTCCGAAGTATTAGATACAGGTAAAACATCTACGTACGGAAAATGATGGCCACAAATCTTGGGCTTAGACAGATCCCATCTAATTGGAAGGATCCTAGTTAAGGTTGAAATTTAGTATACCTTAGGTAGTGTAAGTATGTAACACACAAGCGTACAAGGCACATAGCCCCTTGTAACTCAAGCAATCCTACCTTACCTGCCAATCTTCCTACCTACAGTAGTGTTATCTTTCTAAGTACGCTGAGCCGTGGTGGCGGATATACTTTGCGCTTGCACTTATGTGCATAGGTATCTACTAAGGCATATATCCCTGCTAGATTCATACAGTACATGTGGGATATTGAGCTAGTAGTTCTATGTACACTTGAATGTACATGATAACGTTTAGCCCGTCCGCCAAATCCCTTCTCCCACATCCATGCTACCATAAACTACAACTTCTCTAGTCTCCCCCATAGACCCATAGGCACGTTTTTCTCTCGTCTTTTATCTGTCAATATCGAACGCGACATTTACTACCATGCGCGATCCAGGGTACCTGATGTCATATACCTTTCACGTTCATCACCGGCATCGTTATAACTGCGTATTCCATGTATCGTCTAGTAGACTTGATGCGAGTGTCGTTGGTAGAGGATCACAGTCCACTTATTCATCGTCATAAGTCGGATACAATACTCTGGATCCCTTTAAGCCAATTTTTCGTAAATTGGGTATTCTCTCGAAATACAACAAACAACTCTCACACGGCCCCTTTCGTCTGGATCTTAACGAGGAGGAGGAAAAGGAAAGACTTCCAGTTGTTACAGTGGTCGACGAACTCATGTTCCGGTGGGCTAGACTGACCCTCCGTTTCGACTGTGAACACCGTTGCGATTCTATTGCAGTCGGTGTACTCTGAAGACAACGTATCTATCCCCGCTCGTCCCCTCTACGGAGGTTGACGAGCGTGGTCAAGTTCGGGCACAGGCAAGATGCCCCTATACTCGTCGCCACCCCCGTTCCGTTCTCCCGATCAGGACAAGCCGACGCTTCTGGTTTGTTGGTGGATTACGCTATTTTGCACCGTCATAATTCTATTACGCATCGCCGGTCGTTTTATTCGATCTGAGAAGCTGTTTAGGGAGGACAAGACGGCCGCCCTAGCTATTATTCCGCTCTACCTGCGCATGGGATGTGTTCACGTTATCCTGATTTACGGGACTAATAATGCACACTTGCACGAGATGACGCACGAAGAGATGCATATGAAGTCCGTGGCAAGTGGCTTGGTGCTTGCTAGCCGGATCTTCTATGCGGCAACGTATGTACCTTGTCCCTTTGAGCGGACGAATTCTTCTTGGTGTACTTCACTTAGCAAGCCGTCTTGCCATCAACTATTTATATGCTAACTTATTGTCGATTTAAGGCTCTGGACTCTTAAAAGCGCCATTCTTGAGTTTTTCAAGCGTCTAACGAGTATCACCTGGAACCGTTCGCACGAAATCACCTTGATATTCATACGAGTTACTCTAGCTGCGACCTTCGTGGCTGTTCTAATAGCAGATTTAACGGAATGCCATCCGTTCGTTCACTATTGGCAAGTTATGCCTGATCCTGGAGGACAATGCCGTCAGGGATTCGCCCAACTCATCACAATGGCAACTTGCAACATCTTAACTGACCTCCTCCTCGTTTTCTATCCGATTCCTATAATCCTCACCAGTCATATGAGTACTAAGAGGAAGGTCCAACTAACATTACTGTTTTCTGTGAGCCTGACGGTTGTAGCGATGACGGGATACCGTATTCCTCGCATAATCCGCGCGCATGGAAACCAGCAGTTACGCTCTCTGCTTGCTTCCGTCGAACTTCTTTTCGCTACAGCCGCTGCTAATACGCTTGTCCTCGGATCATTTGTCCGGGATCGAGGCGTGAAAAAGACCAGATATAGACACAACTCCACAACGGCCGAGTCTGTTGACCACTCGATCGAACGAAGGCCTACGTATCAAAGGCACTGGGGTAGTGATGAAGATCTAGTGAGAGATTTGGGCCTTGGTGTAGATCGCGAACTTCAAGATGCTGCAAGACAACAAAGTCAGGCCGAAAAGCCAACTAGGCCTATCTTAGCTGTGGATACTTGGCAGTTTCCCCAACATCGTCAAAGCAGTGTAGCACTTGATCTCTTAGACAGGGATCAAATTACTGCATCTCGAAGTAACTCTACCATAACCCCTCGCAGAGTTTCTTTCTTCGACGTTGGCGGGCTACTCGATGGAGAGCCGGATCGAAGTATACGGGATAGCTATAACTCAAACCTTGAACCGCCGTCTCCTCTCACTCTAAGCTCCCCTTCATCCACGAAGCAAGCGACAAGCAATGGCTTCCGCCGCGGCTCTCAAGTAATTTTACAAGATTTAGGTGGCCTTCTGAATCCTCTCAACGCCAGACAATCTCGATCGAGTTCCAAGAATGGAACCGAATTAGAATCAATACCTCAGCATCCCCAAGAAACACTACACGATCCTACCAATAGCCGGAACAGTTCAAATGACACAGAGGTTGACCAAAAAGATTCGGGGGTTGGCAGTTCCCGTAAGACTTCGTTACGGTGATTTCAATATTCGGATTAACTCTTAAGGTTTCCCTCAACAGCCGGTACAAATTTTTTTTTTTGCACAGTCGCTTCATCAGCAACCATCTGTGTTGTTACCATTTAAACACCGTGATCGAACGGTAGGGAGTCAAGGCTGGGATTCAGGGGTTAGGAGTTTCTTTACAACTATTCGCCGCAGAACGAGGAATCGACTTAGGTTAACAGTCGTAACTTACCCATCGCCCTCCATGTCACAACATTATTTCAGCTCAATTATACGACATCAACATGATAATTACCTGCTTGGCGGATCCACCTATTCCAGAATTTAATATCTTAAGAAGATAACAGCTTGCCAGCCCTATCAGAGCGTCTAGTGAGCTCTAGAATACACAGGACGGGATACTAATACGCACGACTGCGTGCGGCTTACGAAATTTACGAAATAACACGAACATTCTTACCTACTAGACTCTATCACATCATGATATTACGACGTCGATGCCGGGGATCTTCCATACGTTGTATAGATACATACCTTATATACGGAAAGTTTAAACGGCATGAGATCGGATAAATATTTAATCATACATTTTCTCTAAAAACAATCGAGTTCGTCCCAAGACTAGATTACCTGGCGTTTTTTGGGGGGGAGGTGGGGGATTGAGATAGGGGGGTTGTCACAATGGCATAAGTAGGGGACATACGGGGCTACAAATGGTCCCTTCGGAGTTTGGATAGGTGTGTGGTGACATCAAAATAGGCACTCGAGGCATTCTCTGGGGGGATCAGGGGTTCTGATATTAGAACATACATGGTCATGTTCATACTAGAGCCTTTTGTTGCTGTATTTTTTGCCGTCGTTTGCTGCTTCGTACCAGATACCCCCGAGCGCCATGCGCTTATTCTCATAAGACATTAAAATTTAGATAAGGACATATAGATGTTAGATTATACATCTGATTTATACTTCAATGCTTAATAGATACGTTCATACCTCTGAATCATTGTTTGGTTGGTTGGTAATCAACTTAACTTTGCCCTTGGTGATATGGCTCTTCCATTTCCTAGGCGCTGTACGTTAGTTTTGGAGACGCAAAGCCGATAACTCAGCCGGAGAAAAGTATTGTAATGCATATAGTGTTCACGAAAGAACCATGTTGTTGAAGAACGGAGGGGCCTTAGTATAAATCTCTAATATGTCTACATCTAGTAACTCGCGATAGAATAGTAATAAGAACTTTAAGATAACCATAGTTACCTATGTAAGATAAACTTACTATAGTAAGTTTAATAGGTATTCTCGATTACTAGACTACAATTTCCCTTTTTCTTGCGCAGCGGCTCTATGTTCAAATTGCAATAAGAGCTTAGCCTCCCCTCTTCCTCGCTTAGTAGAAAATCAACCTCTTAGTAGCTGCGGGAATGAATTTTAGTGATCTCCCGAGCTGCAGACCAAAAAACGCCGTCCTCTGCCAAATCAAGTCATGCTCGTAGACGCCGGTATTTTGCAAAGCTTTGTTCCCCCTCTCCTCTTCTTCTTCCGCTATTACCTGGAGATGGCCGCGGGGGGCGTAGGTGTAGGTATAAGTTCGGGTTTATACGCACAGTCTGTAACTTGCGTAACGACCAGCCGTCTCGCTGGTGCGGATGATCTTGACGACTTGGCCGCGCTTCATGCCGAAGTACTTAGCGACAGGGTCCTTCTGCAGGATACGGGGGAGCTGTGTCTCCTTGAGACGATAGCGCTTGAGCAGAGCGACCTTCTCTTCTCTACTGAGAAGGACGTGACGAGGCACGAGCTCGTGGTGAGTGATATTGATGAGAAGGTCCTCCTCGAGGAACCACTCAATGGAGGTCCACTGGGCGAACTTGGCAATCTCCTTCTTAGCCGAAGCCGACACGGCCACATGCGATACTAGGATTCCCGTGCTGTGGTTCTCCTGCGCGCAGAACTTGCCGAACTTGCGCATGTGCTCCGCTCCTAGCGAATCCTCGTCGTGGAACTCTACCCATATCGTGCCAACTTCTGTTTTCGGTTCCGAGTTTGACGGCGTGGTAGGAGAGGCTAGTTTCTTCATCATCTCTGGGCTCGGTCGCGCCGAGAATTTGAGCTTCGAACGTCTTTGTAAGGTAAGGCGTATGTTAGCTAGCTATTCCCATCGGAGATAGGTTGCTTAGTGTTCTCGAATACGTACACGATAGAGCCGTCCATGTTGCAGTAGACGTTCTTGAACGACTCTAGCGAGATGTTGACTTCTGTCTCGGAGAGTTCGTATCCCTGGTAGCGCATTAGTATAAATGTCGTGTTTGCGCGGCATACGTAGCAGGTTGTGCGGTTATTGGCTAGGAGCTGAGGGGTGATGAAGGCCATAGTCGCTTTCTTACTCGGTCTTGGACCATCTCATGAACGGTTCTCCATGCTCGCCACGTCTTCACCGCGGTCTTCTCGTTTACTTCATTGTTAGGGGAGTTTTCCTGATCCGACATCGTGGAAGCTACGCGACTTTAGATAATTGGTATTCGACTTGGTAGATATTTTACTCGTGTAAAGGGTTCGTCGCGACGCTTTCACGAGGTGGATGTCAGAGTTGAAGAATTGACAAGTAAAGAAAGACAATGCAAGTTCAGCCTTGCGTTACGAAGATGAAAAATTCCAAGGTATCTCGTACCTGTCTGGCTTTATCTGCAGGGGTTGATGCAGATAAGGTACGTACCTGTTAATTGTGACCAGTACATATATACTTCGTACCCTTGCATCAGTACAACCCACTAGTCACACAGTAAGGCTAGTAAGCAGATTGGTGGGATGCTGAGTGACGGGAGAATCTCGGTTACACTTCCAGTTAAAAAGAACCTTACACAGTGCACAGGCCACTGAGCCCACTACAGCCACAGCCACTAGTAAATTCAACTAGGTTAAAGTCCATTGTTGAATCAAAATCACTTTTTATTTTATTTTTATTAACCTAAACTAGTGGTCCGACTCCGAAAAATTCCTCTGCTGAACCTGGCAGGCCTTTAGGACCCTGAGATCTGGCCTCCTTTCCCCTTGGTATCTCTTGGGTTTGCCAGTCACTTTTTTTTTTTATGACCTATCTTCCTACCTAGGCATTACTCTCTTTCTTTTTATATAATAGATCAAGACTCATTTTCTGATCCTTGTCGTTTTACCTTATTCCATTCATTCTCTAACCCGTCCCTACGTTATAGAGAGCGACCATGGCCGAGGTAGCTGCTTCACCTACTCCCGCCCCGGCGGCCGAGAACAAGAAGCCTGAGAAGCCCAATACCGAGCTCTTCCAAGAGCAATTGGTTAAGGCAGAGAAGGAATACCAGGACGCTTTTGCTAGATACGTAAGTTGCGCATCCAAAATGAATTACGGTAGATATATATATATATATAGATATTAATAATGAAATATAGAATGTTGTTAAGCAAAAGGTCGAGCTCGTCACGGGAAACAAGAACAAGGACACCCAGTCTCCCCTCCAAAAGCGCCGTCAGGAACTTATCTCTCAAGCCAATGAAATCCGAAACAAGCAAGGCGCCGGCAAGAACACTCGCAACACCAAACTGGATCAGATTAAACGCCTCGACGAACAACTGCGATCCCGAATCGCAGAGCAGAAGAATGCGCGTGGCAAGGTTAACTTCAAGAGCGTCGAGGATCTCGACCGCGAGATTGAGCATCTGGAAAAGCAGGTCAACGGCGGCATGATGAAATTGGTCGACGAGAAGAAGGCTCTGACGGAAATATCTAACCTCCGAAAGCAGCGCAAGAACTTTGCCCAATTCGACACTTCACAGAAAGGAATCGACGAGCTCAAGGCCAAGATCAAGGAAATCAAGGACAGCATGGACGACCCCGAAGCCCGTGCGCTAAGCGAACAATACACCAAGATCCAGGCTGAGCTTGACACCATCAAAGCAGAGCAAGATGAAGCGTTCAAGAACCTGAATTCTCTGCGCGACGAGCGAAGCAAGCTACAGGCCGAGCAGCAGGAGAAGTTCCAGGCTATACGTAAGCTTAAGGATGAGTACTACAGTGCGAAGAAAGCTTTTGGCGAGTATGAGCGCGAAGCACGCCAACGAGCCCGAGAACGTCAGAGAGCCGAGCGCGAGCGCATCGAAAAGGAGAAGAAGAAGGAGCGCGCACAAAAGCTGCTCCAGGAGGCCAGTGACCCTGCTTATCTCGAAGAGATCCGGAGAGCCAATAGTCTGCTGCAATACTTCGACCCGTCCTCCGCCCCTGCTGAGAAGGCTCCTCTTCTAGCTGACAGCGGTCTGAGCGCTCAAGCTTCGCGTAAGGTTGACGACTCGGGCTTAAAGGGTACTAGGTTAGTGCGAAAGGAAGACCGTGGCGACGATTACCTACCTGCCGTGAAGAAGGGCAAGAAGGGTAAGAAAGGCAACCACGTCGAAAAGGCCGGCCATACCGAGAAGGGCTTCAACCTTCCCCCTGCTGTTATCGATGACTGCTCATTCTTGGGAATCAACCCTCCTATGGGCTCTGAAGACGTTGCTGCCGCCGTAGAGAAGGTCAAGGCTAAGTTAGAGCACTGGAAGTCTGACCAACAGGCCCAAACTCAACGTGTAAGTTGCGTTCTTAAGAGTCTACATTATAAAAATATCGCTAACGAAACTTAGAACATCGAGAAGGCTAAGAAGGAAATTGAGAAGATAGAAGCCGAGGAGGCTGCTGAAGCTTCCGGTACCGCAACCCCCAACGGTGTCAACGGGGACAAGAAATCCGACGATAAGGTGGAAGCTGTCACGTCGGATCTAAAGGAGGCATCATTGGAGGAGAAGTCGGCTTAGAAGTCCACCGCGCCATTAATTGCCAACCACCAGTCAATCGAGGTTATTTAAATGGATTCTCGGATCGGGGAAAAGAAAAGAAAAAAAGCCTCCACCGCCACGCAATATGTTAACTCGATTTCCTATTTGAGAGAGGAAAAACGAATTGCTGTTTTTGGTTTTCTTGTCGGGTGGGACGAGAAATGAATGAACAAAGGGGGAGGGCTGGCTGGCTATAGGGAAAATAAATTTTCGAGGGTTAGATTTCACAGCATCATTACCATGTATTTAGCACAGCATTCAAACGCCTACCTAGTTACCCTATTCCCGCATCTCTCACACATATTATACATGTATATCACCGTCCGTCTCGTGTGACTCGTTCCCGCCTATCTATCCTTATGGTACTGTTTATCTGACTTGATAGAAGATAGTTGCTTCTGACCATATCAATGTAGGCAATTAATATATTAATATGCAGCAACGACATACGCTAGATATTTTACGTATATTATATATTATATATTATAAAAAATAAAAATAAAAATTCACCAACCAAGCAAACAAGCTACATAGTAGCGGCATCGGCCGAGCAGCCTCGATTACATACATACGCACACCCGTTCCTCCATTCGGCGAGCTGCCTTTCGTAAGCTTTGTCTCATGTCCTTCTGCTGTCCCTATATATTACGTGATGCTCGCGGGACCTTATTTTTTTTTTTTTTTTTCGGTCTGAACAGGTTCGTTGATTCGCCCTTGCTGGGGGGTTTCCCACCCACTAATACATACATACATACATACCTACATATATACATTGGGGAGAGGAGGATGTGTGGTTGGTTTAATGGGATGACTGACTTAGTCGTGCATAGGCAATGTCTCATAAAAACATTGGGTCGGGTCGGGACTCCCCCCTCCTCCTTCATCGTTCCAAGTGCTCGTGTTGTTTCGTCCCGGCAGATGCGGATCCTGTGGAGATGGGGACAGATGGGGACAGATGGGTAGATTGGTAGATGGGTAGATTGGTAGATGGGTAGTAGATGGGTGGATGGGAGGTATACATATGTATGCATGTTCATGTATGTATACATAGGTAGATAGGTGGGTAGGTCCATAGGTAGGTAGTAGGTAAATATGATACGTCTACGATGACTGCTTGTCTAGCAGGTACCTAATGCATGCATTCACATGCTCGTACTCATATCGATGAACTTTAGGTATGTGGGTATGTGGGTATGGAGATAGTACATACATAGGTACATACAGACATTCAAGTTGTTCGTAGCTCGCGAGTCGGACATCATGTTATACCAGCTCATACAGGCGAGCAAGAGCACGAAGGTGTCGTGTAGAAAATAAAAAATAAGAAAAAGAAAAAGGAGAAAACGTAACTATACCGATCTATCTTACCACTAGGTAGGTAGGTCGGTATCTCACCACATCTCCTCCATCTCGCAGCATCAAGTCCCCTAGCCCAGCAAGCTCGCTCGCTCCATCATTGACACCCCTCCCCCTCACCCCTCGCTAATTTACATCCCGAGCCGGGGACCGCTTATCACATATCACATATATATGTAATGTACGTACATACATATATATAAAAGGCTCGCCCACTTCCCGTCGCCTACGTGTCAGCCGCATCGCCATAGGGCGAGGGAGCACCGAGACGCGTGACTGAACGGCAAGCTACAGCTACAGCAAGCAGAAGCAGCTCGAAACTCACTCACTCACTCACTCATTCCTGCTGCCGTGCCCTACCTAATCTGATCTGATGCTTTTGATGCCCGGCTGGAGGGTGACCACGTCTGTCCACCCTATCAAACCAAGCCCGAATACAAAGGAAGAGAAGGAAAAAAGAAGAAAAAAGAAATGCACATGCGTTTGCCTGCCAACGCCCATACCCGTGGGTCGTTCCGAGCCATGATTTGACCAAGACAATGTTTCATTAACTTTGTTGTATATTGATTTGACTAAAATACCTCGCTCTGCTATGCTCTGCTTGGATGATAAGTCGATAGGTATATCGTAACTCCGCTCTCTCCCTCTCGCGCAGGTAGAAAATCTCCGTCCCTATGTGCCGACAGCGGGCACGGACAACAAACACATCATAGAAGTGAAACAAGTGAGCAACCAAAAGGCAAGTGAGAAATGAAGCTTGCCGGATCCTTGCCCTTGCTCGTCCAACCAATACCCATGGAACACTCCGTACGCCCAATAGAATCCCGGGGAAGAAATTGCCACCCGTCTTAGAAATGACTCCCAAGGTCGAAGTAGAACCAGATCCTCAAGGAAAACAGGAACAAAATGAATAGAATACGTGTTGAGTTGCGTCTTGTGTGAACAGTTTGTCAAAAAGAGCAGATGTCTCGCCGCTATGCAGAAAAGAAATGGTATCTGGGACGTTTTCCCTCCTTCCATCCATGCAACAGATACGGTAGTCATGATGCGCTTTCGTGGTCTCATGAATAGGTTAGGTGGTTTGGTTCTTCTTTTCGAATTAATTCAAAGAAATAATAAAATATGTCGTGTGTAGATATGCAAGTTGTGCTGTGATCCGGTTTTACAAGAGTGGTGGAAGGGGTAGGATAGTCCAGGCGTAAAGCTGTCGAGGTCACGGCTGGCCAGATGAGATTAAGCTCTTAACCATCTTCTCCAACTATCACTCCATCTACGACTTAAGTCAGTAGGTCTGGAAGTAAGCAGTCGGCGGTGCGGTCGGCGGCCGGTAGGTGCTATGCCTTCTTTGAGGACCGGGTGGCGGTGCAAGTGGATTCGCAACCGGTCCCGGCGTCCTCCTATCTATCCTGTCAATTCTATCCATGGGGGGCGGGGGTGTCCTTCTTGCAAGAGGGTTCCGTTCCCGCTCCCTCTCGTGAAAGGTATCCCCTGCCACCGTAGCCGTTGACGCACCGCCCCGTCTGCTAACCTTCCGTGATCCGCTTAAGGCACTCAACGGAGGGTCTTTGACTGCAGGTTCGTCATCAGGTGGGAGGGTCAATTCCACCAAACTGTAAAAATATTCTAGCACTTCTGGGTACCGCTGAACGCTAGATTGCCAATCCTCGTCGATTCCTCTCTTCAGAGTCGCTTGGGCCGCGGCAATCTCGTTGGGGTGCGGGGGAGCGTGGTAGTAGTGGTATGCGTGGGCTGTTAATCGTTCAAGATGTTGCGAATGTGCAGCCTTGCGTCGTTCCGTGAGCAGTCGGAAATACTCGAGTATGTAGTCCTGAGCGTGTGCTCGAACCCAGGAACTGGTGCATGTTTAGTAGGCTGCCATACGAAGGCTTAGAGTCGCCCGAGGATAGGTACGAAGCACTTACCGTACGTCATTATATACGGATTGCATCATGCGGGACTCTGCTTGCTCGACGGCAATCTCGAGCCCTTTAGCCTCGCAATCGCAGGCGAGGCTGGCAGGAGCGTGGCAGATAGCACAGTCCGGGTCCATTCTGATGATGGACTTGCGGGGTTTATGTTCCCTGGTATACATCTTAGCGGCGTGAAGCCGGAGGTGGCGGGCAGGAAAGCCGGTATGTAGAAAATGGTGAACATGGGCGGAGGTGTAGAGTATAGATGGGATTATTGTACGACGACGCTGTTCACTTGACGACCCGAGAAGGGTCCATGACAAGAGGGAAAGAAGAGGGAAGGAAAAAGGACCGGGGGGCTAGGGCGAAGGCACAAGGAATGACTGACCTGTATTATGAACAATAGCAAAGAAACAACACAGCAGGCTTGACAATGCGCAGAGTCGCAGCAGGACAACGTGGGAGCAAGAGGGGGAATTGGTCGAGAGTGAGAAGCAGTCAGTGGCTGGCTAGCTTCAGAAAGTTGGCCTGCAGGAGCCAAAGGCTGACCGCCCTGTTGAGTGCCGCGATAGTCAATTGAGGGCAGCAAATAAGGAGGACCGTAGTCAGTTTGCGTTCCGATGGCACCGATATCTGGGCGCGCAAGATACCGCTTGTATGGAGCGTGGGGAACGCGGAGAGCGAGAGAAATTCCAAGAACCCGAGACGGGAGAGGCGAGGAATACCTAGACTTGTCGGTGGATCAACGGGGGGGCGCTCCCCTGTGCGGAAGTGAGATAGTGAGGTTTTGAGAGGCTGGTGCTGGTAAAAGACTGATCTCTTTGGACTAGGAAGACTGCAAGACTGCAAGACTGACTGCAAGACTGACTGCAAGACTCGCACAAGAAAGAGATAGATAGAGAGACTAGGGATTGGGACTTGCAGAGCCTACCTGCAGTATCGACAAGCCCACAAAAAAAGGAACCGGGAAGGCCAATTGCTGGTGGGGAAGATGCTAGACGAAGAGCCCAGCGGAGCCCAAAGACGAGCTTAGCGAGCAAGGAGGTTCGTGAGGGGGGACGACAGTTATGTCCACGTTTGGCCACAAGGAAGAAATGTAGCTGTCGTGGCTCGAATAGGTGGCAGGATTACTAGTAGCATGCAGTGTGCATGAGAGTAACCCAATCGAGAGTTTGCATAATCCGGCCGGTCTGGTGTTGCTGCACGAGCCAGTAGCTAATCGAATGTTGGAGAGAAGATGTGACGGGGGGAATGTATATGTATATGTAGATGTATATGTAAGGTAAGGTAAAAGGTAAGATATATATGGTATGTATGTATATGTATACGTATATGTAAATGTAATGTACGATAGTTATTATTTATTATTATGTTGTTAGGCACGTATGTAGAAAAAAAAAGATGATGATGTGTTTATGTGTTTCTCACCCCTAGATATATTGTAAGACGATGGCTTACCAAACAATCATGAGAGGGCGTCAAGATTGATGATAAAAAGGGATGGATGGATGGATGAATGGATGGATGGCTAGATAGTTAGTTGTATGAGATTAGACCCCTACTATGTGATAGCATACCATTCATATATATATTTATATATATGTCGACCAACAAAATAAGAGAGAAGATCCCTCAAGCGCTTGCTTGTCGGCTTTATTTGGGTCAACTCAACTCCAAACGTGGCAGCGGTAATAGCGGTGGTAGCGGTGGTAGCGGTGGCAGCGTCACTGATCACTGATCACTGATTCTCGATACAAAAGGAGAAGGCCCGCAATCTCGAACAGTGTGTTTGAGGCTCCGAGATGGTCCCATTTGACTGGCCGGTCGCCAAGCTCGAGTTGCCCGCATCTTGCTAGGACCCCCCAAGTTGTACAGCAGAATGGCGTCTTGTTGGCCCTAGCATAAGCTCACCGCCTTTCGAGCGCATCCAGCGGCTTTTGAGACTCCGGTTGAGGCGAGCCATTGGCGCCTATCAATCCAGTGAAGTCCTTATTTGAACCAACTATATTAAAGGACGATAACTGATCAGAGTAACTACACGTCTTCGAACGGTACTATATTAAGGTGTGTAAAATCTCCTCGATTGGATGTGTTCTGGTGATTTCGCACTTATACATATAACTATACGTTTGTGTTGTATGTATTGGTTTTTTTTCGGGTTGGGTTTTTTTTTGTGCGTGCTGCGCTGTCGTGTGAGGTTGGGTCCCCGTCCACATCCCGCCTTCCCCCTTCCCCATTCCGGAAAAGATGTCCCGTCGACCATGTGACCTGCCACTACACCTTTAGCCGAAGCCGGCAGCCGGCATTAAAGCTAAAACTTAAAACGAAGCGCTAGTCTTATCTTATCGACAACGCGCCACCTTATCGCTATCAGATAAAATTTCATTTGGAGAGAATGAGCCGAGGGGGAGGCTTCGGTCGGGTTATCCAACCAGTTCCGTGGAAGCTGAAGAGGGCGCAGCTTTGTAAATTTCACCGACGACTATGAATTTAATATAGCTTCAATCGATACCCAAGATGCCTCCTAGGTGCTCGCCGGGCTCCGGCATATTCCTACCATTCTTATACCCGACTCTCTTCCGATCCGCTTCCTCGCGTATAATCGGCCGAGCGAGTATTACGACCACAACCCTGCACTCATCCAGCTCCTCCAATCCCAACCCCTCCTCTTCGAGTAGCACTGAGCCCTCGTCCTCGAGCGACGCCCTTCCGTCCTCACGCCTCAACCCGGCGCCGGACGATTACGCGCTATCGGCCTTCGCGGATAAAGCGCGCATTACGGTTCATGCAGGCAGCGGCGGTCATGGCTGCATTTCATTCTTGCGGGAGGCGTACCTAGATAACGGTCCCGCGAATGGAGGCGATGGCGGGTATGGTGGAAACGTGTATATCCAGGCCGTGCACGGCGAGACCTCCTTATACAAGCTGGCGCGACGCCGTGTCTTGCGCGCGGGGAGGGGCAAAACGGGGCAGGGAAGCAATCGAGGCGGCGCCCGCGGGGACGATTTCGTCATCCAAGTGCCGGTGGGGACAGTGGTCCGAGAGCTGAACCGTATAGACCCAGTTGTCGAGGAAAACGCAAGGTATCGCGAGGCAAGAGAAAAAGAACGCGAGTATATGCGACTGGTGAGGGAAGCCGATGCAGCGGTTGCTGAGGCGGAAGATGTGGAAAGTGCCATTCGCGCCGAATTGCCTGAAGCTCCCGAACACCCTCACCTGAACAAATTCCTACTGTATCCCGGGATATCGCATACCGAGCGACGGAGCTTAAGACTTCCCCGCCTCCCGCGCCGTGAGCGCTTGTACGTGCAACCTGATGGGCCCATTCATTTGGACCTATCGGCACCGACGCCGCAGCCCATATTGCTAGCCGCAGGTGGAATAGGGGGTCTAGGGAACCCGCACTTCGTATCGAAGGAACGTCCACGGCCCCTTTTCGCGACCAAAGGCGAACGCGCCGTAAGTCTACAACTAGAGCTAGAACTCAAGCTTCTCGCAGACGTCGGCCTAGTCGGTCTCCCCAACGCCGGCAAGAGCACGCTCCTGCGCGCCCTATCAAACAGCCGTGCCCGCGTCGGTAACTGGGCATTTACAACGCTCCAGCCCAACATCGGTACGGTCGTGCTCGACAACCACAAAGGACGCCCCGTCGTCGCTCCCCCGAAGCCCTCACCCCCTCAACCCCACTCCGTAATCCACGACGCGAAGTACGGGTCAGTAGTGATCTCGCAACGCGACCAGCTCGGTGCGCCAGCAGGCTTTACACCAGAGCCACGGACACGGTTCACCGTCGCCGACATCCCAGGACTAATCGAAGGGGCGCATCTAGACCGCGGTCTCGGCGTCGAGTTCCTGCGGCATGTGGAGCGCGCAGGCGTCCTGGCTTTCGTTGTGGATCTAAGCGCCGGCGACGCCGTAGAAGCGCTCAAGGCACTGTGGACGGAAGTAGGCTTGTACGCACGGATGCGCGAAGACGAAGAGCAGGAGCGGGAGGTCGCGGGGCGGATCGACTGGGAGGGGGACGGTAGCAGTTCCCCGAACACCCGCGGCGGAAGCGGTAGGATGGGCTTCGGTGGGCAGATGGTTGTAGCAAATTTCCCGGAGCCGATGACCGGTGGAGAAGGGGGTCTGCATATCGCAGCGAAGCCGTGGTTCGTAATCGCTACGAAGGGCGATTTACAGGGGACCGAACATAACTACGCCAGGTTGAAAGAATACCTAGATGCTGTTACCGATGAGCAGGAGCCACATCCTAGCGGAGTCGAGGGTGCGTGGGTGGAAGACTGTGCTGCGATACCCGTAAGTGCTATTCATGGACACGGTGTGGATAGAATTATACACTGGACAGTAGGCCTACTAGACGAGTGATGAACAGAGTAGTTTAGATCTCAGAAGCCGTTGGTAGCTGCATTTTATACATCTGTATGCTGCTAAATCCGAAATTGTATATAATGTACATAGAGCGACTGTTCGTATGATGGACTTCATAACAAGCAAAAATGCAAGCCTCCCTTTTCCAACACAAGTCTACGTTTCGTTCATAGCTTTGTGTTATGTAAGTCCTCGACTAACTTGAGCTGCAATTCATCGATTCAGACAAATTCAAATCGTTTGATACGATGGATGGACCGCCAGATAGGTAACGAACCATCTCTTAATTAGCCTCAACTTTAACATCCCCCGTTACCTCGTCACCGTTCTTTTCATCAGGCTGCTCGACTATCTCGTTTTCTCCATTAGTTTCCTCGACTGCGGGGGCATCTTCCATAGTCTGATCACCCTTAACCTCTTCATCCGCCTCAGTAGCATCCTCCTTCTTCGCCGACTCCTTCAACGTTCGGTTGATAACCGGCGAATTATCATTGAAGACGCGGAGAAGCATTGCAGACCGATCCTCCTTCGGCAGCATTAGGTTCAACGAGTGGAAGCTCTTCCATAATGGAAGCACCATGCGCTCCGAGAAATCTGGATCGCTTCCATCCGGCTCGACGATAAGGATACAACAGCCCATACCAATCTCTTTAGCCCTCTCGCCAATCTCGTTGAGTTTCTTCCAGTCGTCATCGATAAACTTGGGGAACATCTCCTTTAGGAGTCTACGGAAAGTCTCCTTGTTCGTCAGGCGGATGACGCGCTCCGGGCCGACGTAGCCTTCGATGATAGGCATGCCCTCTGATTGTATTCGCCATCTGCAAACCTCGGCAGACGGCGCATCCTGCTTCATGAACATCTTAACACCTCCATGCACAAACTTAACCCCACGACCTTCGTTTTCAGATAGGATGTCCCTAAGGAGCGCACTTGTGTAGTAGATGGCCTTTGCCGGTTCGCCTGTGGCATTTCGTACCATAAATCGATCTGAAGGGAAACGTGACGATACTTTGTAGAATCTTTGAATGTCCTGGATAACGTGGTGATCCGGTGGCAAGTACTTGAATGGCTCTTCGTAATTGCCATCTGATGGCTTGACTTTTCGGTCGGCTTGGGTATTGTTTTGAGAAGTAGTTTTAGGCTCCGGTTTGACTTCTTCTGTCTTAGATTCCGAAGGTGCTTGCTCTGTTTCGGTAACCACTTCAGGTTGGACTTCAAGCTTCTCGCTAGGAGGCGAGGCAGTCTTTTGCTTCTTGGCGTCTGGTTTTATCTCCGCATCCTCATCATCTAAAATCCTCTTGGCTCCAATAGTCGGTAGTACATCAGTCGGCTCACCTAAAGCGGCCTTCTCTTCTTCTATCTCTATCTTAGTCTCTGTTTCTGCTTTATCAACGCCATCAGAGCTGGTGGTATTGGCGGGGGCCCGATTTCGAGCCTCTGGCTTAGCTTTAAAATCTCCCAACTTTTCTAGTACTGTGATGAAAAAACCACCGGTATCCTGTTGATGAGCGTACACTCGCATGCAACGGTCCAGTGCTAGGGCAGAACAGTCGCTAGTATCTGGCCTGGGGAACATGGTTTCTGAAAGCTTGCCCGGTATTTGTCCCTCCGTTGTCAGGACGTGCTGCTGGACTTCTTCCCAACTGCTCCAAACGCGACCAGACTTGTCCATAATTTGCCATTGATGCATTCCCGGGCTTCGCTTCAGCAGAGGAAGTCTATCTTCACAGTCGACAATGTTAATTGTATAGGGACCGCCGCAGCGCTCAATCGCGGAAACGATAACCGCTTCATTCTCAACGGGGTTCATGCTGCACGTTGAATATACAACCCTACCACCAACTTTCAGCATCTGGAGAGCACGAACCAAAATCCGAACTTGAGTAAGATGAAGTCCCAACGCGTTTCCAGGTTGCCAATCCTTCCACAAGTTGATGTTCTTCCTCAGAGTTCCGTCACCTGAACAGGGCACATCCGCAAGTATCCTGTCAAATCTTAGGTACTGTCCCTTGTCCGGGTGTTTTGGGTCTGGCGGTAGCTTGATAGCTGGGTAAAGAGTTGCGTCGTGGTTAGTAACGAGAAGATTCGGCGAAGAAAGTCGCTTGAGTTGGTGGACAAGCATGTGACTCCTCTTGTAATCCGCATCATTGGCGATGAGAAGTCCAGTTGCGCGACCATCGTCATAAGAATTCACTGGAAGTTCAGCATTCATACCGAATCTCTGCATGTACTCCTGAATTCTTGCCTCCTCTCCAGCGTGGACCATCTCGAGTAGCTGAGCAGCCTTGCTTCCAGGCGCTGCGCAGAGATCTAGAACAGTCATCCCAGGCTTAAGGTCCATCAGTAGAGGTGGTATCATACTGACAACCTCCTGTCGGCTAATGTTGCCAATGGTGGTCTCGGAAACTAGGAATTTCTGGAAGGCGGCGAAGGGGGGAAACTTGCGAATGACATGCTTGGGGGTGTTCATAGAGTAGGCAAGCTGGTCGGGGTACCAGGGGACTGGTTGAGGGGCCTGTACGGGCTCGCCATCATAGCGCTCGATCTTAACAATATCAGGCACATATCTTGTTTCTAAAAGTCTCTTAACCGCAAGCGCGTGGCCTTTAGATCCGCAGAAACGGAATGAATTAGGCAGCTCCCTCTTCAATGCTTCCCAAAATTCGGGTCTTTCTTCATCTTCGAGGGGGAGCGCGCTGTTGTAGTACTTTTCCAGATTTGTGTTCTCCTTCACAATCTCGCTATATGATCGATACGGTGCAGGACCGTCGCCGCGAGGAGCGCGATTGGAACCGCCTTTGCGACCACCCTAATAGTGAATAGTTAGACCCATTTAATGTGAACACCAGATATTATTGAAGTAAATATTTACCCGAAACTTTTTGCGCCCCATTCTTAATTGTTCGCGAAAGCTGTTCGAATTGAGAGCTTGTCGAGAACTGTTGCAGGTAAATGTTGAAAGTTTTGAAGTTGAAGCTCTTCAGCAAAAATAGACGTCTGAGAAAGCTTAGTTGGTACCCCACTATCTTATCTGCCCCACCAAAGCTTTTACATGGTATTCAGCCCATTATTACGTAGAATCTGTTAATGTAATATATACCTCATTTAAGCATTAATATTCAATTAGGAGGATTGGTATTTCTCAACCCCGATTACCCGTAGCTCTTAAGAGTTGTTCTAGAAACATTTTGTTCCCGGAGAAAACAGTATATTTCAAAATAATTACCTGGTTACCTATGATTCTATAAGCGCTTAGCTTGCTCGAATAAGATAGATATAATAGGTTAACCAGGTATTCAGTACCTAGTTACCTTGTTGTCAACTTATTGGGATCTTAGTCTTAGGGATGATCAGAGAAAGTCATCATAGCATACTGCATAGCATTTCTATCTTACGACATTAATTACCCAAGCCAATGGTGTATCTAACATATCATATATCCTCCAACTTAAAATCCATCCTCGACTTGCTTTAATCTGTGCCTCTCAGCACCTTCAAGGCATGCTCAAATTGCTCAATGGCGTGTCCTAGCTTCTCCCTACGCACTTTTATAGGCGCGTCCTCGGCTGCAATCATGTCCAGCTGATCTTCGTTGAGGTTCAGCACCATCCGAGTACTAAAGATCTGGAGCGGGCTACCTTCGCCTCGCAGCAAGTGGTGGTTGACCGCTTGTTGGCAAACTACATCGACGAACCGTTTGCGGGAAAGTTTGTAGTAGCTCTTGAGCAGGTCATGCATATATTCCTGGACGTACTGCGAATTCGCCATGTTGAACGAAAAATTCTTCAACTGTGCCCAGGTCAAGTGTATCCCTGGCTCCGATTTAACGATAACGCCGTTATCATCCGGCATACCCAGGTTTTCCTCTGTTCCTAATTTTTCTATATTCGAAACCAAGCGACCGCTCTGGGCTTTTTGGAGAGTATCGTTGAAATAATGGTTAAGAGTTAGCGGGATGCCTTCACGCTCGATACTAAGTAGATATTTTGCTTTGTCCATAGCTTCACGGTAGGACTTTTGAAGCTCCTCAAGTAGGTATCCGCTCCAGAGCTCTTCACGTACACGCTCGTCGGGGCAGGTGGTTTCGAGGGCTTGAACAATAAAATGGTGAACAGCCCAAATAACTCGGCTCACGTAATCCAATGTGATAGGTTTCCATTTCTTGGACTGCTCCTTAAACATAGTCGATACAAGTGGACCCCCAACCTATTCAAAGTATAAGCTTGCTGAAATCTTCGAAGTATTGCATCCAACTTACCATCCCGAGTTCCAGCCCACGGCTATCCCTGTAAACTCCTGAGATATAATCCATAATGTCGTCCTGGCCGCTAATATCAGGCATAACAGTGTCCAAGGGGTCGAACATCTCTTCGAGTTCAGGGTAGGTGCCATCTTCAGGCTCGGGAACTTTGGTAGAGCGGTTCTTATTAATCTGTGGTATGAATCGCGTCTCGGTATCATCTTCCTCAGATGTAAAATTGGAGGCAAAAGATCTAGTGTGCCCGTTGATCGCCATGTCGTCTGAGTATTTCTCATTGGCTTCAACGACGCGAGTAATTAGCCTGAGATCGTGCCTTTCCTCGAATATCTTATTCCCGGTGTAGTATGCGTCGAGGGCGTCTCTAGCCAGTGTCTGGAATGCCTCGCTGATCCTGTTAAGGTACGCCCTCTGCGTATGTTGATTGCTCCTCGATTGTCCCATGTCATCCAACTGTGTTCTAAATCCTAACAACTCCCTGGCGACTTCCGTTTTGAGCTTTGGGAATTCCTTCTTAATAAGGTCAATGAGTAGATCACGAACGCGCGCCTTAAGTGCTGTGATGCCAGCTTTCCCGGTGTTTCGAAGAACTACCCAAGGACTTTGCGAGAAGAACCGTTTTTCATCGGCTTGACCTTGTTCGAGGGTCTTATCCGCATCATCAGGCCCACGATTCTTGACAATGTAATATCCAAGCAAGAGATCACTCCTGGTGCCTAGGACATGTGAAATGGCGATATTCTGCATTGTGCTCTCGATTGCCAGGTCGGGTTTCGTTAGAACGGCCATGGTACGGACCATTGAAGGGTCAGCTCTTTTAGCTAGCTTCAATATTTCTTGGGTCGCTGGATCGACCTAATGTATGAAAACATCTCGTATCAGCTTTGCATTACTACAATTCTAGAATCTTCACTGTTCTTTTTTTATTTAGTCGAAATGATAGGGCCATCACACTTACTACTGAGCGTTAGCTACTGTATACCTAGGTGGTTCCGAAACCGTTCTAGAAAGGGGGTTTCAAAAGAATAACACGGGATGTTTTCATACATACCATTGCTAGGCATGATTGCTAGTATGCTGAAAAGTGGTGATCATATTAGACAAGAGCCACTATCATAATGTAGGTTGTAACTTACATAGTTCTAGAGTCCTTCACTATAGCTCTAAGTTAGCAAACTATGATATATGTATATTAGATTGTGAAGAAGATTAGTTAATACAACATACTATAATTCTTGACCATGTTCATGACGAGTTCTATGTCGTCTTCAGTGGTGACGCCTAAATATTTCGTCAGTATTCTGTTCATGTTACTAGCATATTGGATCACGGCGAATCCTCACCTTCAGTCTCCTTGCGGAAAATTCCAGGAACATCAATAACCGTAAAATGCTCCTCCTGTAGTGCCTTATTAGCTATTTATCTCTAACGAAAGTATTGTATTATGTCACAGAGCTTACATTAGGACCAAGTTTCTCAATCTTGAGGATGTGCTCGCTAAATGCCGGAAGGGTAGAACCATCCGATAGTGTAGTATTTGTAGAGCTCCTTATCCCCATAGCTTCATTTGCCTGAATATTGCCGTTAGTAAATATGGATAAGATCTAAGCATGTCAGTCACTAACCTCTTTAAATAGCTGGGCAAGGCTTTCAGGTGACATCTCCTTTAGGGTACGATGGAATCTCTTGACACGTTCCTGCTCAAAGGCAGGGGAATCGGCGTGAGGTATGATAGAAACATTTATGCTTTCTACATTCTCACGACGACAAGTGATCTGAGTTGCGTAACGCGTACAGAGCTCGGCGTCTCGAGGGAACCCGAAACCTGTCAAACCTTCAAGCACCGAACTCTTTCCCGATGACTGATCGCCCACGACTACGAGCTAGGAAGTATCAGTGCTAGTCTATCAATTTCTTCGTCGGTGGATTCTCAACTAACTTACCTGAGGCAAGGCGACCTTCGTTCCAATGAGCTCACGCAATTTATCTACCTTAGTCAAGATGGCGAGGTTGCCATGGGTTGGCTGATCTTCCAGCGTAGTCCTTTCCATAGTGCTGCCCATGTTGATGATCTTTGTCATGGATTTAAATGTAGAAAATAACTAATGAAGTTGAAGTTTATCGAGATGGGTCAAATGCTTTAGATAATGAATGGGAGATATGAAGCAAGCGAACATTACGGGAGTTCTTGAATATATAGCCAAAATATATCGACAAGAAGCCCGGGTACCATAGCCTACTTAGTTTCCAAAGCTATTGCCTTGTCGACTCCTGAACCAAAGTTGACTTAACGTGTTGGCCAAGCATTGGGTGGCTGTTGTACTACATCTCACCCGTTTTCAAACGGAATAATTCGACCACATTGAAACAACGGGCTCATTGATAGGTTAGCTCCTGTGTCAATCCGCATATGGCATCCAGTTAATCAAGAAGTAAACCGGAAAGTCTGGGAGCCTTGCCTATCTACATTCATCTCATTTGCTTAGGCGATTGACTGCAAGGTGTGATAAGTGATGTGTAATATGCAAGTAGCAAAGGTAGTTTTTACACAAGTCTTTCTATGGCTCGGCAGGACTTTCTATCTTAGAATTGAGAGGGCTCCGACGAAGCCTTATGAAATGTTTCAACAGTTCTCCTATGGTTGCATGAATTTGCGGCCGAGTTTACGGCCAGGATAAATCATAGCCGCCGAGCAAGGTTCTAAGCCACATATCGAGTACCAACAACAAAGATATCGTTACCGAGTTAACATATATTATTCAGCTTCCTGTGTTTCAGAAAGTACCTAAATAAGCCATGTCGGCTATTTCGACCGGTGTAAAAACAGGTGCCCGAAGAGTCGGGATGCCGATAGCCCTGCCATCCCGCTTATCTACATCGACTTAAGAGGCGTGGGTAGTGGCGTTTGGAGGTCTGATAACCCGAAGGATGAGAAACATGAATAGGGCGGTTATAGCGTGCGCTCCATTGTGTTTTAGATTATATTCATAACAATGTAGATAGTTCCCGTCCCTAGGTAATTTCCAACCCAAATCATAGCCTCTATGACATATGTAACGGTAGTAACTATACACTATTTCCATAGCTAAGGCTGCCTAACTAGGATATTGAACTGTATCCCCTTGATAATAAAGAAGGCCTATGCAAATAGGTGTCCAATTGACATGGACTATAGGGCCTTTTCTCTCGGACCGGTAACCCTCTCGAAAGTCTCCAAGGCCATCGTCAAGGTATGCCGTCCCTGGGTCTTTCCCCTGAGCTGGGTATCGTAGTCGAGCATCTCAACAAACGGTACCCGAGCCGTAATCTCCAGCATCCGCAGGCGGCCCTTCCGCGTCTCCCGAAGCGTCGTTTGGAACTCGTATGGGTCTGGCGGGGCGTAGATATTGGATACGTTGACAATATCGCCTTCTTGAGCTTGGGTTTCTTGCATATCCCTGACTTCGAGGACGTGCCCCCCGCGACCTGTGTGTATGTCGTGCTGAACGGCACCTGCTGACACTTCGGGGCAGACGATTGTGACCCTCATAACTGGCTCGAGGATGCCAATCATACCTTGCTGGTGAGCTTCTTTGAGGGCTGATCTTACTGCTTTATTAGCTGCACCAACCAGGTGTGAGCTTGGAGTTGAGCTGGAATTGATCGAGGCATCATACGTGACTGTAACAAGGCACTGATGCATTGGTGAATTGCGACGAGGACCTCTCGCAAGTGCTGCTATTACACCATTCGTGAGATGTTGCCTTGTTTCCTCCATATTAGGTACGAGAACCTCCTTTGGAAACACGACCTGAATGATGTTGCCGTCTCGCTCGAGGTAGGTTCCTGATAACGTATCGTTATGATCCTCTTGTAGAGGCTCGATTACTACAGAACATGCCGCCTTACCAGATTTACCTGCTACCACCCCGTCGAAAACAGCTTGATGAGGAGTTGTCCGCGCGGTTAAACATTCTTTGTAATCAACGGAGATTTCGCCCCAGTAAGCCTCGGCTTTATAATGGTTCTCCAGACGATCACGCGCAACTTCTAAGTGAAGTGTACCCATCCCAGAGAGCGTATATTGCTCTGTTTTTTCATCTTTGGACCACCGTAGACTCGGATCTTCCCTGGAGAGATTCTCTAAGGCCGTCTCGAGAGCCTTTGCACCCGTTGGGTTGTACGCATCGAGAACAATAAAAGCCACAGCAGGAGGTATTTCAGGCGGTCGTACTTGTATAGTAGCAAGGTCTGTCTGTGGTGTTGAATTTGAATTAAAAGCAAGTAAGGTGTCTCCAGTCCTCGCAGCCTTTAGGCCCGTGATTGCACCTATTTGCCCCGGAGCTAGGTGAGGTATCTCGATGGTCTTCCCTGCCGATATTTGCATCATATTGAGAGAGCCTTCAAATTGCTGGAGATTAGCATTCCACATGCGGGTGTTTTTCTTGAGAACCCCGTAGTAAACCCGCACAAATGTGAGCATTCCTCGACGGGGGTCGTTGACTACTTTGAAAACCGACGCCAATGCTTCGATACGCGGCGGAGGCTTTTTAGAAGGCTTTGGTGCTTGAATGACGTGGCTAAGGGGTTGATATGTTCGACCTACCCGGACTTCGAGCTCGGGACGTTCTGAGGGACTAGGCAGATAGTCTGTGATCGCATCAAGTAGAGCGACAACGCCGGTATTTTTCAAGCTAGATCCCGTAAAGACGGGTATTATAGATCCATCGCCGGTATTAACAACACGGCGCATACTCTCTTTAATAGCTGTGTCAGGCAGGTCATTTCCGCGAGCAATCCACAGTTCCATTAACTCATCGTCTTTCTCGCAGAGTTGTTCAATCAACCGCTCCCGTGCGCGTTCGACCTCATCTTTGATTGTACCCTCGAGCGGTTTTCTTGCTAGTTCTTCAGGGGCGTCTTTGGTTCCCATCCAACTGACAACAGAACGACTGATTACATCTACTACGCCTTTTAAAGTCTCATTTTGCCACCAGGGTATCTGACAGACTAATGGCATACCGTTGAGCTTCAGCCCGATATCTTGCACGGACTTCTTAAAGGAGGCACCATCGCGGTCGAGTTTATTAACGAAGACAATTCGAGGTACTTTAAATTCTTGAGCGGATGACCAGACTCTCTCTGTGTGTGCCTCAACACCTTCGACTCCGTCAATGACGCATACGGTCCCATCAAGAACGGGTATGCAGCGTTCGACCTCAAATCTAAAATCCACATGACCAGGGGTATCAATCAAGTTGATGATATATTGCCGGCCATCTGGGTTTAGGCGTTCTTTAGGTGGCCAGTTGAAAGTAATAGCAGCAGATTGGATTGTGATTCCTCTCTGTCTCTCCATTGGCAAGAAATCGGTCACAGTGTCTCCCTGATCAACGTCTAGGGTACGCATCAGTCATAATATGTCAGGACGAACGTCTACTTAACTTGTTTTCTCTTTCTTCGAGGGTACTTAGACATAGATTATACATGGCTAACAACTTACTTCCTGCACGTTTTAAAGCGCCACAATTATAGAGCATCTGCTCTGTAGTAGTTGTTTTCCCCTATATAGCCGTGAGCGTCAGGGTGTATAAGATAATACTTATATCCATAAGAAACATACTGCATCGACGTGGGCAATGATACCTATATTTCGGACATATTCAATACCAGTGTCCCGGGGAGTAGCTGTATGGCTTGAGAGCCGCCTGACACTGAAGCGTGTCCTTCCATAGTGTCTTAAGTACGTTGACGAGAATATAGCCAACTGAGAGCACCTCAGGGGAGCTCGGCACGTGAGTGCGAGTAAGCTCATACCCGCAGATTCTAAGAAGCGAATGCCAGGTTCATTACTAGGTAAACTACCGAAAACTAGCAATGGATAGACTCGGCTTTCTATAAGCTATTCGGATCGAGTAGTTTCCTGTCGTTATAATTAACCTTTTGTTGGAGTTGGAGAAGTTTGAGAGGAAAAATGCCTATCATATAATTCTCTTGCAAAAAGCATCGCAACTCGATATAAAGTGCACAGACCAATGAAGTAGAAGTCATTAAGTAAGGGATAGTTAATAGCACTGTAACCAATAACTAATGACGCACGGACCAGTGCTTGAGCACCTAAACCTACCTAGGTAGGTACCTCTACTTTGTACTGCAACTACATTTTAGGGTAGGTGCATACAAGTAACAAAGTACCTAGACGTAGGCAGACGGCAGGACCTATTCCCCACCGATGATGATTTTAGTTCTACTTACGAAGGCAGCCCGTGTCCGACTTCATTATCATAACTTTTAAGTTATTGCTTGTTCTCAGCTAGTTTTGGTGAACTAGCTCGAGCATTGAGGTTACAGTTTAGACCTGCAAATTCTGATTATTACCTATAATCAACCATTGCCGTTCAGTAAATTTTGTGGAATGCGACCCCTTATCTAAATCTATTCTACTCTCCTGCTGGACCTTTTAACTTCTACCAGCCTTTCTTCCAACCGCCACTCTCTTTCAGGACGCAATGGATTACCGCTCTACGATAGCCGATGATGAGCATCCCGCAGGCGCTTCCCCTTGGGGATCATCATCGCCTGCGGCCTCCCCGCGCCGTAGCGAATCTACCTTTAGCTCTATAGGCAACGAACCACCGCCGTCCTTACCATATCAATATACAACCAACGACTCGAGTAATGGATTCGCGCATGATGACCCAAGCGTTAACGCTTTCAGACGGCCAGACACAGCCAGTAGCACGGCTTCTACGTCAGCATATGATCCCTCAGAACAATCAGCACCCTCGGAAGGACAACAGGAACAGCCTACCGAAGCTGACGCGAAGCAACCTCAGCCTCAACCTCAACCTCAACCGAGTACGCCGCCGAAATCGCAACCACAAGTAAGGTCAAGAGGCCCTCAGTACAAGTTGCAAGCAAAGATCACAGGATTGGAACGTACGGGTCGCAAAGATCCTATCTTGAGATTCGACGTACATGTAGGTTTCGACGTGAGGACGGTTTGCGCCTTATAATACTAATTTATCTAGACAAATATCCCTAAGTTCCGAACTACGCAGTTCCGCGACGTCCGCCGTTTACATTCCGAGTTTGTTAAACTCGCTGAACACCTCATATCTGCCAACCCCGATGCTCTAGTCCCGGCTGTGCCGCCTTCGGTTACATCGGCAGGCGCCGGAACCGATGAAGACGAGTCGAGGGTAAAAGCTCTCATGCAGAGATGGTTCAACTACGTGTGTAGTAATGAGGTTCTTATGAGAGATGACGAAATGGTTTTGTTTGTGGAAAGTGATTTTGGGTATAGTCCCATGGTCAAGAAGAAGCAGCCAGCAACAGGTGTACGGAGGAAGGTATTGAAGCAATTTGCACCACCCCCTGACGACACACCGGAGCTAGCAGAAGCACGACCAATAGTGAAGCTATTCTATCTGGGCTCGATGGATGCGGGACACAAGGTTGACAAACTCGTCAAGTCCCGTAGAGGTACGTCTACTCTTTTCTACGAGATTATCCTTAGTTAACATGACAATTAGGTCTGGGATTATCGGAGTCCGATTTCGGCGTCAAAATTGGCGCAATGCACATTCAGGAACCGCATCAAGGCCTAGCAAACGCATATCGGAAACTCGGCAAGATCGTACAGACGGTGGGTGACTATCATGCAGCCCAGGCGACTGCCGAAGCAACGACCCTTAGCGACCCGTTTCAGTATCACTCGCAGGATGCCTTCATCGTCAAGGAAACGCTGACGAATAGGCAACTGCTTATTCGCGAATTTCTACAAGCTCAGGAGACCACGAGGACCAAGCTTAACGCTGCGGACAGGCTAAGAGCCAGCAACACCGTACGACGGGATAAGGTAGACGAGGCCATCACCGCTCTAGACGAAGCGAGAAATGTCGAGTTAGAGCTAGCGCAGAAGACAACGAGAGTAACGCAAACGTTAGTGCAGGAGCGTCGTAAGTGGTTCGCGAGAACCGCCGCGGATCTGCGCCTAAGCATCCGCGAGTTCGTGACTCGTGAGATCGAGGCGGAGCGGCGCACCCTCGCGCTCCTGGAGAGTGTTCGGCCCGATATCAGAGCCATCGACGCCTCAGGCGGCCTAAGCAGACTAGGTCGCGAGGCCCACCCAACAATCCGCCGCGCCAGCCTTGCAGCAAGCCAGGGACCCAAAGGCGACTCTTGGAGCGGCGTGCCCCGGCGCACGGACAATAGGAGTATGTCGGGTAGCTTCATGTCTAACGTGGCCGAGGACGAGGACGGAGAGAACGCGCAGCGTCCGGGGTCGAGGGCGCTCAGCGGCACCACCATTAATCCGAGCCTGGCCGGTCTTACAGAGGAGGATGACGAGGACCGCGTGGACGCCAGAAATGCTGCGAGTCGGTTGGCAACGAGCACATTCTAAGACGCCGACACAAACGAAACTGACTTATCGGGGAGGCGGGTTACTAATAAGAGCCGGAATTGCCCCCCTTTCTCTTCACCGCAACGAAGAAAAACTTTTGTCGTCGTATACCTATGTAGTCATTGTATGTATGTACGTGGGATGGTTCTCCTCCCATAACCCTTGATCCCAGACCAGTTTTTTTCCCCCGGTGTTCAATGAAATCAGAAGCGTAGCTTGCATGCTTGCCCCTCTTGGCTAGTTGATCTCTTCTCGCCTGTTCCTCGGCCGTGATCCTGAAAATTACAGATCAGATATGTACCTGGCAAGGAACAGCAAACCCTTACGACGCCTTGGTGTCACCCCGAAAGTAGGATCATATTCCGAGCACGACCGGACGTAGAGAGCTTGCTTGGCTACCTTTTCGGTGCGACGGTATCTGCGGTGCCCAGCCGCACTACGGTAGTATGGACATGCAAGATACGGCGCTCGCAGTAGCCTGTTTCATGCGGCCGTCGCTCATGCGCGTTCGTCAGCTTCTCGTCAGATCCCTCTAGACGACCGGTATTTCCTATATAATACGTATCTGCAGCTCACACCAATATGGAACTATAAGGTGGCAAAGATTTTTTGGTGATTCACCACCAATCAATCCTCATGTAAGCCTAGAAAGATCAATATAGTTATGTGCCGACACAATTATCCTCTTCGTATTCCTACTCTCTTGATGTGAAATTTATGTATGGCGTCATCGGGTAGCTACATGGGATGCAGTATATAGTATCGTCGTACCCCCGCTGCCCTCGAGAGCTCGGATCATCGTCTTCTTGCTTCTATAACCGTGTAGGAGAGCTACACAAGCTAGACATGCATGCACAGCACATTTCCTATGCATACTAACCTTTAGGTTAAAAAACTTCGATCCAGTGTGTTAAGTTTTACAATCTATACATGTATTCGTGGATATATCGTCAGACCTAACTGTTTTTGCCTCCTCGGCCGAAATTGGACACTGCTGCATATAGTTGGCACTGAGAGTTATGACGAAGCTGAGCCGATCATGATTTCCATAGCCTGCCGGTAGTCTCGATGTTGTTGATCGTGGGGTTAAGTTGGGGGTAGTGCGTAAAACTACCAAATATGGAAGCATGGAAACAGAGACAGCGGCAGCGGCAGCGGCAGCAGCAATTCCATATTCAGAACGCAACTCCTAAAGGGACGCTATACTAAGTGGCGATGATGAATATGCGTAGTCACATACTTCCGGCTATACCAATATCCAACAAGGTGCAGATATGCTTTACATGCCTGCGTACACTTACTTGCGCCAGGGATACTAATAAGATATAGAGTATAGGGTTATATGCAGCGCCTCCCTGGACAATTGGCGTATACATACTAGGTATGTACACGTACATGCACGATCATGCTACTGGTACTGTGGTATATCGTTCGCTTTTATCGGTTTTGTTGCTACTTCATTAAGATCCGTTGGAGCCATGGTGTTATAGCGTTGTCCTTAAGAGACAGGTATATTCACGATCCAAATGTTGTCATTCGATCGATGAGATGGCTGATTTAGTACGCATTAACGCCTTTAGCCGGCCCGAAATTCGCTAGCTTGCGATGCTGTCAACCTACGTTCGAGGTGAACGCTTAGCAAGCGTCATAGCAGAGATCCTCGCATCATTCATGTAATACGACACAAATGCGGTATGAAACTGCTGAGAGATATGTAAGCGGGATAAAAATAACTCCAGATATGTCAAGATAAGCACCAAAGGCTGGAGAATTTTGCGAGGACATGCATAGTAGTTTTGTAACCCGCTAATGCTGGGTAACATACCATGGACCTCAACGTCGGTAGTTCAACATCATCGTATTTAAGTAGTCGATATGACCAAAGTCGGGGAGTTAAGTAGTGCTGGCCCGGTCTTGTGGGTAGGATGTAACTCTGTATAAGATATCCAGGTTGTATGTATAGCAATTCTTTAGCTGGGAGACTGGGATTGTATCAACCTTAAGCGTTGCGTTATCAGCGTGTAGCTTGGAATGCTCCGGAGTAAAATAGACTACCTATTATCAGTAGGACCGGGGTAAATATACTTCACCATCGAAGAGCCATTTTGAGCACAAAGCTTAGCTGCGCGACGACCTATCACAATCTCAGCGAGATCGGTCGACGTGGCGTACGGGCGTTTCACGGCGTCCTTTCCGTTGGATAATGGTGTATGGAGAATGCATGCTTGCAGTTCCGAGCAGTTCTAAGCCCGTCCGACGTCTTACAACTTGACGTAGAGAAGCTTATTCAACCCTACCGCCGAAATTGCTCCCGAGAGCCCCGTCGCGTTGCATGTGCGTAGCCTCATGGATCTTGAAGATCCATTTACGGAGTAATAAGACAGCTTGTAATATGCCTAGCTTCTTCGGAAAACAGGGTAAACAAAGCAGCAAAAGACGGTGAATTGCTAGGTCTAGACCAATCTTAGAATATTATGTACTTTACCCACACGCTCATGGTGAAGGAGCTGGATGTATGATCTCCAATTTCTCCAATTCTGTCCAGCCGGACGGAACCCCTCAAAACAGTCAATTGGGGCAAAGGGACCATTTCATCACCTATCTGTCGAAGATTGGCAAAATATGATAAGATACCAACTGCATGATACTGTATGTAGTAAAGGGAAAAGCATTCCGGCTTCCGAAATGACTGTCGACAAAGCTCAATTGGCTGTATAGAAGCGCGCCCAGAATTCCGTCAATGGACAGACAGATCTGCGCAAAACCGAGTCACAGTAACACGACATGGCCCCAGCAGTTGATCACCACTTGGGTGTAGGAATACCGGCCACAGCTCCGAATTAGTTTCGAATCGGTTGCGATAATGGCTAGAGCTGACTCCCAATGGGACGTGAGGGGCTTCTGTACTTTCTGCCGACGCTGGCAGTGCTTTTTTCTTTCTTTTTCTTGCATATGATAGTTTTGCAGAAAACTTGATAAAACATGTGAAAAATGATGTCGTGGTTCCTGTGGTACGAGAGAGTTGCAATATGCGGCTTGGGTAGGGAGCATACTATATTCATGTCGTGTTAGTGCCAAAAACAAGTTGACGACACTCAGGTACACAGCATGGAACTATAGGTCCTGATGGGTGGAACATGAGCATTAACCAACGTGTGTAAGCGCATCGTGGCCAAGCTATGATGGCGCAATAGGCGAAATCTAGCCCACATCGCTCAAGCATGTAGTTTGACCCTAGCCTATGTATGTATGTATGTAGTTGGCAATGTCGAAGACTTGGTACACAATACTATAGACAGGGGAGGCTCTTTTCGTTGCGCTCGTTTGTTACCGCCCCTGCTGCCATGTGCGAGCATCTCGCTGCAGGCCCGGGGGTAGCGGCAAAATAGATTCTTGGAGAAGCATCGCATAGACGAGTTCGTAGCATGACAGCGTGCTCCTAGGCTAATAGTTCCTAACGGACCTAACAAGAGATGTCTAGGCCCTTGAAAGCCGATGTTTTAGTTGAATGGATAATTCAAATCCTATTGATGACAATCATAATACGATAGAAAATTGTTGGTTCTTAGGTGGTAGTAGAAGACAAGTTGGGAACGGACAGAACATCTAACTTAAGTGGTAATGATGTTCCACCACGTTCCACCGAGCAAGTTAAAGATTATTGGATGGAAACGACGACGCTTTTTAACTTCTTAAAGGTTCTTGGGACGACGCTCTTTCCTAGCTTCGGGATCATTAAGCTACGTACCTACCTAGGTATGTTATGTAGTACCTACCTATATATACATATGAGACTTATATTATTAGAAGGCACATACGTAGTAGACAAAGTATACATATCTTGCCTAGGTAGGTGCAGTGCATACTCAAAGCTTCGAGGATGCCCCGATTAGGAAATCCAAGCTCCGCTTTTGAATTCCATTTTCATTTTCGTTTCCCTACACCTTCTCCTTACCCTCAATCACTCTCACTCTGACATGCTGTAAGACACCTATTCTGGTCGATTGCATGGACTGAGGGACAGTCCCGTATGTTTGGAAATCATATATCCTTGTTTGTATCGGACTAGCTCGATATCCCATGATTTCAGGGTCTTCCCCAAATCTTTTAATCTAATTATCTCATGAATTTTTAATATCAGGATGACGGCGAAATACCTCCCGTCTTTTCTAGTCAGTCTCTCTAGAACCAGTCTAGCCTCTCCTGGCGCAGTGTTAGTGGAGTTATCGATCCCGCTAGCCCTCTTCGAGTCCTGTCTAAGGAATATTCAGTCCCTGATCCGAAGCCAGTACTGATTCAATCTCGACTCAATACCGCGCTTAGGAGACACTTCCGAATTCGCCGCATCGAGGGCTGTTTTTCACTTCCTAGAGTAGATACTAGATGGTATCGATACTTACCTAGGTATACTGCACACCCACCTAAGATGGACAGATTACCGTATATCCAGTTTTTCACGGAACCATAGCTATACTACCGTTTCAATGGAGCATCTCAGCTACTTCTCTACATACGTCGAAAAGCAGGAGGAGGTCGATGGTTGGCATGGTGTGAAGTGCAACCATGTGCCGTAAATTGCGATTTCATACATACGTGATGCCACGTCCTAACTTGCCAGCCTTGTCCGCAAGTATAATTGTTATTAGATGTATAGGTACAGGATATGCAAGAATGCATGCCTACGACTACACCACACCCATACGCGAGGCGCCATCAGGGATCTCGTTACCGAACTTGATATAGTCGCATCACTGCTAGCTTCTTGCATATGATTTCCCGAGATTGTGAAATCCGCTCTATGCTTTTTGAGATAACTTGTTGACGTTTGACTGGGTCTGGAAAAATTCATACAATGCCTTACACGACCCTGGCTTCTACTCTGGCACCAGGATCTACCCTAAGGATAATTAACATAGATGTACGCAAGTAACTTATTATGATGTTTCTTCATACCTCAATACATAAGGAAGTGGGGGTCCTTGCGAGTTCTTGAAGTCAGACTCGCTGACATCTTGATCACGAATTCTCACCCTTTATATCCGGGGTTTCTTTATCAAGAGAATCAAAACGCGCCGACTGGGCTTGGTTCGACTTCTTCAATTTTTCATATCATCCCACGAGCTACCTGGACTATCTACCCTCTAGAGCTCAAGCTCCCCTGTTCACTTACCCCCAAATTTGCTACTCTCCTCCACGCTTTAATCCCGTGCTTCATAGTCTAAAACATCTAAGAGGCCCTTGATTAGTTTTAACTTAAGCCCGTATCCCACTTCATCCCACGCTACTAGTAGTTACTTAACAATGGCGCCCTCCGCAATGGCTGATGTAGCGCCAATGCAGCTACCCGTCTATTCAAAACACTCAAACAAGGTTGCTGCCTCCGTCTTGTACGGGCCTCGAGATTTGCGATTAGTAAGTTGTTTCCAATATCTATCACCCTCTCCTATACTATATCAGTGTGGTTTATGAAGTGAATTAACCTAATTCGATAGGAAGTAAGAAGCATCGAGGCGCCTGGTTTTGGTGAACTACAAATTGCCATCAAATCCACTGGTATATGTGGCTCAGATGTCTCATATTATAAAAAGTTCGCCAATGGCGACCTATGTGCTTGCGCTCCTCTGTCCCTTGGCCATGAATCGTCCGGTACGGTCGTGGCTGTTGGGCCCCAGGTCGGTGGATTCAAGGTTGGTGACCGTGTTGCTCTAGAAGTTGGCGTTCCTTGTGGCCAGTGTGGTATCTGCCGAAAAGGCAGGTATAATCTGTGCAAGAAAATGCGATTCAGGAGTAGTGCCAAGAGTGTCCCTCACTATCAAGGGACTCTTCAAGAGAGGATAAATCATCCGGCAATCTGGTGTCATAAGTACGGGCGAACCCCTATTTGCCCAGCTCATATCTATATACTGTTGCTAACTATTTTATTAGACTACCAGATCAAGTTTCCTTCGAAGCCGCTGCCCTACTTGAACCCCTCTCCGTTGCTATCCATGCTGTAAATCGTGCTACTCCCACGCCGGGTTCTACAGCTCTGGTCATTGGCGCTGGGACAGTTGGACTTTTGACTGCTGCGATGGCACGTCAATCTGGTTGCACGTCAGTCACTATCACTGATGTGGACGCTGGCCGTGTTGGATATGCACTGAAAAAGGGCTTCGCTACCCATGGCTTCGTTGTTCCTAATCCGTCAAATACTTCATCCGGCAGCTCGGTATTCACAGATTCTGGAAGCTCCACCCCCTTAGATCCTGGTGCGATGACACCAGCAAGTTTGTTTTCCAACTCAATTCACGACCGTCTCGAAACCGCGAAAGGTCTCGCGGCTGATATACTTTCCTTGACGAGGCCGCCGTTAAGCCTACAGGACGATGATGAAGACGAAGGCGTTGACGTGACGTTTGAGTGTACTGGAAAAGAAGCTTGTATGCACACTAGCCTTTACGCTACTCGTCCGGGTGGTAAAGTCATCATGGTGGGCATGGGTACACCGATTCAGACAATTCCAATGTCTGCTGCACACCTAAGAGAAGTAGATATTCTGGGAATATTTCGATATGCGAATACATACGGAACCGGCATAAGACTACTCTCTACTCAGGGGCAGGGTGGAGCTGGCTTCACCTTACCAAGTCTCGACGACATGGTAACCCATCGATTCAAAGGTCTCGGCGCTGCAAAACATGCTTTCGAACTTGCTAGCAGGACTATGGATGATGACGGCAATCTCGTGCTAAAAGTCGTCATCGAGGCTTAATTTTCCTCATCTACTTAATCATCATGGATCCTCTTCCCCTATCTCCTTTCTTTTGAAAAACGAACTCAGGCAACAACAACATAGAATATTGACGAAGCAAAAGAAAAAAAGCATTTAGAAGCTTGGGCGACATTGTACTGGTGATTCGGGAAGCAAAAACTTTTATGAACGGCTTCATGGCCTGGTAATGAAAAGTACTGCAATAATCTTCGAACTGAGAAGCACATCTGACATCAGTTCACCGGCTGCGCCGAGATATTTCCTTACATGTCTATCTTTTTATTGTCATTTTATCACTTTGCTCCATCACAACAAGGCATGGGATGGGTAGACTGGTGCCATTGAGGCTGGGTTGGTGTAGCGCGAACTCGAGACTCGCAACATTCGCATTGGGTGCAGATATTCTGTCGTTTATATCCTGGGGGTGCCGACTTTGCGACTCGGCTGGTTAATCTCAACTTTTCTTTATTTTCATCCCCCCCAGTCTCCCCAACAGAGGGGTAATGCCATGATGACTAGCAGAAGCGGATCAATAATTGTCACATAGTATTAATGGGCCCGAGGGTTTCATAAACTAATCTATTAATCATTTGCCTCTTACTTTTTGAGTCCATCGTGAACCTTAATAAGCCTTGTTGTTAACTTAAAGACCTATTGATATCATAATCCCGTCATAACTCGATTTTGGGTTGTTTCCCAATACACAACTTGCTTAACCTAACCTCTAAAACGCCTTCCAGATGCGGAGAATCATATCGCAAAGTGCATCTCGTCTTGGATGGATGCCTATCCCCTAACAACTGTGCCACTTATCAAATTGCAAGGTCTCCCGGATTAGAATGACCAAAACCTAGGGGGGTGGAATTTTCCGTCATTCGTTTGTGGTGGGCTTTCGTGCTCTCAACAACACTGTGCTTCTTGCCGACATCACGGGCTTCCGTGACACTCTGGAGCACCTCGTTGAGGAGCTCCATCAGATGTACATCGTTGGCCTCGCTGATCATCTCCTCTTCATAAGCATTCGTGTTTGATGGTACTAATAGCGATAGTCTGTTGACGAGGGCCTGGATAGATCGGAGGATTGTATGTGAAGGGATCGTCTGTTGACCCTGGGAGAGATCCGTCGCGTTGTTCGGAGATAGGTAGGACGGGGGTAGTCGTTCGAGATATGTTGTGAGAAGGTCAACGCGAGATTGCAACATCCTAATAGCGTTTGCCTTGGCCGTGAGTGCTGCAATCAGCTCCTCATCCTCGCTTGTCAGTATGTGCTCTTCTGATTTCTCGTCCTTATCTTGAACTTCCGTCGCTTTCGCGGGCTGTTTGCCCTTCAGGTCCGACTCTGGCTTCTTCTGCTGCCTGGGCTCGACTACCGTGGCGTTTCCAGCACCCCGAGCCACGAAATCCATGCTTATCATCTCCGCCTCACCCGTCTCTACTGAATAGGGTAGTTCCCTGAATTTCAACTTTAGAGGGGGGTCTCCGTCCCGCATCTCTTTGTCTTCGCCTTGATCCGCTTTCGGTTCATCAACCTCATAGTTGGATTCGTAAATTGTTAGGGGGAGTTTGCTTCCTGCTGCCTGCTGGACGGCCTCTTCGGGGTGGAATCCGAGTAGTAGAGACGACTCATTGTGCTCCGATAGGATCCAGTTGTGAATAGGGAGTATGGATGGAGTCGGGCCACTCTTAGGCAAAACGGTATACCAGCCGACAAGATCGAGTTGGGGAGATTTGTGTATTGTTTTCACTATATATTTCACAGTCAGTAACTATAACCTTACGGCAAATAGATAGGGTAACATACTCTGCTCTAATCGCTGTGCAAACCAGTTGGCATCAAGAATGATATTGCCATCCTTAGCAATAGTAGCACACTCGAAGGCATGCTCAATAGTAACTTCCCTTCCATTCTGTTGTCCTATGAGAGCGCCAACCACAGGTCCCTGTTGCGCTCTCAGGGTATGTCGTGTGATGTAATCTGAGATTGTGAGAAGGACGAGAGGATGAAGAACGGCCTGGAGTCCAGAGTCTGAAGACTTCTGTGACGAAAGCAGAGGATTTGGATCCACCACACCCATCTTGTCGATTAGTTCTTAACTAGGCCAAATGGGAAATATAACAAGAAAGGAACTTGTGAAATTTATGTAGTTTGGTAAATTGTTTATTTGTAAGTTACAGGTTATCGCAAGGGCTGCAGCTGTACCTTTAAACAGTACCTGCCTCTAGTAAATGCCCCGCGTTGGCGTTGGCGTTGGCGTTGGCGGTGCGTTGTGGCTTTGCGTCACTTTCGACTGAGGTCCACACCTGAGTAGAGGTCCTTATCTAAGACAGGTACGTACTAGGAACAGGGTACATGTACCCCGTATAGACGTTAGGTATTAGAGGGGTTCAAGCTCTAGCTTAGCCTACAATTCCCTCCAAATGTTCTCTTAAATCACAACTTCTTCAACCTCCTGGGGTATTCTATGTTAGGTAGGTAGTGAGAATATCTAATTAGTTAAGTGAATAAGACTCACTTTCAGATACCTTTTATTATTTAGTTATCGCCTGTATAATGAAGAACATATTCATTACTTAGGAAGTATAGTCTCCAATTATTTCTATACAGATCTTTTGATCGTATTCTCATTTGTTTTATGGTATTCTTTTCAAGACAAACTACGTGAAATATCGTGCAAGTGCACAATATCATCCCTTATCCGGCCTCTCCTTGACTGCCGTTGACTGGATAGAGATTCGATCTACCTCTTCCCATTACTCTTCTACCATGTGCTTTTTGAAAGAGACAAAATGGTGTTCTGTGAGGTCCAACGTCCCTTTCGCCTTTGACTTTGACAGCTTTTTTGTCTTAGCAAACCCTACCTATTTTAATCCTAGTCAAATCTGCTCTGTACAAATACTTGGATGATTGGCATCGTTACTCTCTTCCTGGTGATTCGGGTCCTTCGAATTATTGCGAGCAACTAATATCTGCAGTTTCATCCACTACTCCCAAATTTATGAGCAAATCTTACTTCTGGTAATATCTATGAGTGTTCGGCACTAAGCTCAAGAAAGCACGCGGTATTCAGATATTCAGATATGCCGGGACCTCTTAGCGAATGCTATTCATTTCCTTCTGCTCCGAGGTCAGCTATACCTGCGAAAAGATCAGACGATGATGTTCAATTTATATCATCCAAGCCTGTTAAGAGGCGAAAGATAAGCGAGCAAGCTCCAAAACCTACAACCCAGCAACAGAATATATCGACAATACCTATCACACCTATGGCGCCCGTTTCTATCCACCCTACTGAGCTTAAAGACTCCGATAGACGGATTAGTACAGGCATGGTTGGGCTCCCTTCGGATATCAATACTATGGAACTTGCCTCTATACTAAGAGGTGTGTCTCTGCCTGTACTAGAAAGATTCGTCCTCAACCAACCTTCTCGCGGCCCGAGACCTCCAAGTTCACCAGAGCTCTCGCCCAAGCAGTTACCGCAAACAGTTGTTCCAGAAATGCTGAGTGCTAATGCCAATGCCAATGCCAATGGGAATAGCCTTAGAGGCTCCAGATTTGACGTCGCACCTATGGCATGTATGACAATGGGCGAAAATGCGACCCAACCAGAAGCATATTCTACAAATCCACTGAATCCTATCTCGACAATCGACCAACTACATGTTCTCAAGGAGCCAGTTGTCCATACACACCCATCATCTCCTATGTCAGATAGGTTACCTAAAGAGGCAGACCCGAAGAGTTCAGACATACCTCCACCCCTAGTACCAAACGCTGAAATATTGGCAACCCCTAAGTCTGCACAAGTTGGTTCCCCGTCGAGTAATGCTACTCATATTACTACCCGGTCAGATACAACAAAGCGGCCATGCCAAGTTTGCGCTAGGATGCGGCAACAAGCAGATATTGCGAAATTCCAAGGGTTTTCTATGTTCCCCCATAATATACCACATCACATGATTCCACAGATCGCCTGCCATCAGCCATTTAGTCAACATGTTCATCCTCAAATGATAGCTATGGGTCCAAACAGCATGCATTCCCTTAGTCCAGGCTTTGCACCAACCATGATGCCTATCAATAACAACAATTTCACTACCGCTCCAACTCATGTGACTAGCCCAGCACAGATGAAAGATCAAACCCACAAGAAGAGTTCTAGACCAAGCCGCACAAATATCAATGACCAAATTCAACCTTCGTCAACTTCAGCAACCGGTGAAACTCAGCCTTCCACGGCCTTGAACCCAGTCAAACCTCCAGCGTCTCTTATCCAACCTACATATCGCAAACCCTCGCCAAACTTAATTGTAGATGTTGCAGAGACGTGCCAGGAGAAATTCCCATTTGAGGATGTCGCGAAAAGACATAACGTACCCGTAGAGAAGGTTTTTGACGTATTCGCGGCCATTATTCAGGTCCCACTTCTACGGTGCCCGACCGATAGGCGAAGAGCAGGGAAACTTGCTACCACACGTGTTAAAGAGTATACGAAAGCTAAGAAAGCGATTCAAGAGGCCAGTAACCAGAATGATTCCGACTCTACAGATCGAGTAGCCGTGAAGCCTTTGGATATCGCAAATCGGCTAGGCCAAGTAAATCTTCCGGATGGTTTCAACCTAGGAGAATCGTGAGAAACTAGAAGAACGGAGCATATCACGTTTGAGAGTTAAACAAAAGTGTAGTGTTACAAGAAGTGAGAGTTTTAGTATGTATTCTATCTATCCGATGCTATGCGCACAGTATCTTATTAATCTACAAAGGCCATCTCATTTTACTACGCATTTCTCGGCTAATTGTAGCCAAATGTCTTCTTCCTCTTCCTCTTCCTCTTCCTCACTTCTTGGTGCGGCATATTTAGTATGCGAACTACGTACAATAGGACGTACCGTTTTATCGCTATCCAAGGACTCGTCGGATCCTTGACTAACAGAGCTAACGTGATCAAGCTTATTGATATACGTCTTCGATCGCCGGAGGCGAGGTTGCACTAACGGGGCTTGGCACTCGTCTTCCTCTCCGTCGAAGACTACTACGTTATCCCCGCGGGGGCCGGTGTATTTCTTGTTAGTCCGTAGACGTGGCGGTCGGCTCACCTTGAGTTGCTGCTCCTTCTGCGGCTGAATGTCTGATTCCGCTTCAAAGGGATCAACGTACTCTTTCTTCGTCGAACGCATTCTCGGCGGTCCCGAAATCTGCGGCAGCTCTTGTTGCTCCACCTGCGTCTGCTTTGGGGCAGCTCTTTTATTCCGCAGACTTCCCGGCACGGAATACGGTACGTCCTCTTCCCAGACACACTTGCCATTAACCCACCTGCTTGTGCCCCTAGGCATTATAGCATCGGGTCCACCGCCAGGGAACTCGACATCAGCAGAAGACGAGCACAAATACCGCATCTCACCCATTGCGATATTCGCCGCGCGCTGCACCACATCCATACGTTCCAACAGTCGCCTCACCTCCTCCAGGTGCCCCGCGCGCTTATGTGCGTAGACCTGGTTCATGAGCTCTAGGTGCCGGTCCCGATGCTCGCGGCGGACCAGGTTCGAGTTGTAGATGGGGTCGCACTCGGCACAGGAGTCCTCGAGGTAAGCGCGCGGTACACTGAGCTCAGGCTGCGGGCACGGCTTCCGGCGTCCCTCATCGCAGTATTGATTGTAGTGTGTTAGGACATGTCCACAGGACATTTCGGTTTGCGTGCCGTTGCACATGATGTATTTTTTTCCGCTTTAAAAAATTAAATACGATAAAACTACCTTTTTTCTAATTTCGAGTCAGGTTTCTGCTTCTGTTTCGATACGCTCGTATGCAAGTATGGTTCTTTCGCTTGTTGGGTTATGGAAGCCTCTGGATAGTCACCCTAGACATATTAAATAGGAGGCATCTAGCAGCAAGAAGACATTGTTTAGACTAGAGCCTCTCTAAGAGATAAAGAAAGGGGTTATCTTCGATTCTTGTTTCTATACTATTGTTTAATCAGACGTATTTCTCTATACAAACAAGTGTATTGTGGATAGTAGCTTCCAAGACAGCTTATACAAAGAATTTTGCCCCTATTGTCTGGAAACCTCACAAAAGAGTATTGGATACGGCTTTTATGGCAAGTCTTGGATTATACGCGCTGGTATATAGTCTACTTTTAGCTGCTTTGTAGTTTGCTATTGGTTGCTCTTAAGACAATAGGGTAGAAAGCCTTTCTAACAACTTTCGCTTTCGCAAGGCGCCAAATGCCCCCTGAAATGAAGGGTTTCCATTGTTTACAGTAGCAAAATTAACCCCAGTGTACCTAGGCATCTGACTAGAGAGCATACTTAGACCGAATTGTTGTCTTTTATCCAGTGATTTTAGTGCAGTTCGTTCGCAGCTTGAATACGCCGCCGATTCGTACCACTTATAGAATTTTGATTATTATATACCATATGAAAATGCGCTGCAGAAGCATCGAATTTACTTATACGAATAATAGCATGATGATAGACGATATCTTCATCAGGTGAGCCAGGGCTCAAATTTTCCGCCTACTAGACTAATTGATCTCGGAGCCATATTGCGCATTTTAGAAACAGGATTAGCTATAATATAGCATAAAGTCCCATATCAGATTAGGCATTGTCTAGATTCGCGGATGTGTAATTGATAAATGCTCTACGGAAAATGCCGTATGGCCCTATACGCAAGATCCGCAAAGTATGATAACAACTAAGAGGTTAGAGAATGAAAACTTTGTTCCTATAGGACATCATATTATATATTATACGTCAGCCTAGCGATTTTTGAAGCCGGCAGAAATAAAGCCATGTATTTTGGAAATCCTGACGGACGATCTTGGAAGCTCTTGCAAGAGCACCGGGCTAAACATTATATTAAATGGAGAAATAAACGTAATAGGGTAGTTCGTGCTTTTAAGCGAACAGACTATTAATTCATCAGTAAGCGGCTCGACTATATACAGGGCGATTTCGATACGCGAATGGGAACTACAGATCTAGGTAATACGGTACGACGGCGCGGAGAATCCGCGGCATAGTCCGGTCTAAGGGAACGCCAAGAAGATGAAATATCAAATTGTTAACTACGAGTGTAGTTATAGGAATATATTGTTGACGTAGTAAGAATCTAATAGATCTAGAAGCATGACGTGGCCGGGGATAAACAGGGCGAAGCGAGGGTAGCATCTTGCCGGTAAATTCAGTCTCATAGTTTAACTGGCAAAGTATCAGAATCCCGACTTCGGCATCGCATCTTGCGCCAACAGACCATGTCTAGATGGATAGTTAGCTTGGCATCCTATATAAGACCCGAATATAAGTTGTCTTTACTAAGTGACGTGTCCAAGAACTTGAACCGTAATCGGCGCTCATGATCGTGCCTCAACGGCTACAGCTCTCTAGATACTATATACTAAACTAGCTATAATCCATCTTTCGGTAATGAAGCCGGTAGTCCGGAAAAGTACTCGTTGATTCGGGGAGCCGGTGATCTCTCTGTCGTTATACATATGAGTGCTTCAACAGGGATCATGACCCCCACGTAGAGGATAGAATACAGTACGCCTTGTAGGGTGAATGGTAGTTGTTATCCTGTTTTGGAATTATTTCACATTTGTTCCATGAGTGTTCTTGTCCCGGTTGCGAATCTAACAAGGGCCGATATGCCTGATACGCTCAGGCTGGTTCCGAAACTGGGTCCAATATCCTAAGTAAGGCCGTGGTTCTGTTCTGCATATAGACGTGCGTCTCCCGGCGGCGAGTTCGGGTGTAAATAAGAGAACCATTTCGTCTCATTGGCATACCTTTGATCCCCAGGCGAACTATCATAGAGTGTATCCACAGATTGGCGAAAATGCCAAGGCTCGCCAGGGTGAGATTCCGTCAATAGCTAGCCTTGCATAATGGGTCTTGTACAGTGACTTCTACGACGATCAAGGAACATCCTGATAACCCCAGTTTCTAAAGAGGCAGAGAGGGTAGGGCAGATTGCTGTAACAGCGGGCCAGGGTACCAGGTGGCAAGATTGCCAGGATAAAGGGCGGCTCGCGGATGCGAGTGATTGCATGACGTTACTTAGCTTCCTGCAAGATGAATTGGAATTGGAATATTAAACGTGCATGGAAAACGGAAGACGGAAAAGGAAGAAATTTAGTAGAGTCAGTGACGGTTTTCAGGGTTGTTGGTGTTGGTTGAAGTTAAGATATTGGAACTGAGTAACGGAACCTGGGGCTTGGCTGTGGCGTCAACTGGACCCTGTTAGTCATCTCCACCCGGGGCCCCGGACATGCTCCCAGACTTACTAATTTAGAGGATTCAAGATGGGACCAAGATGGGGACCAAGATAGGATACCCCTGTAAACCTTATCAGCTCACGGCTGTCTCAGCCTCAAAATCAAATTTTCGCAGCCTCGCATGACATGACGTCTCCAAAATATTGGTGCGATGCAGTGCGGTGCGTATAAGGAATTAAGCACTTGAGTACTACCTTAGGTATATCAAAAAGATTAAACCCACGTAGATGCGCCACGATACCAATTGATACCGCACTTTGCATCCCCCCCCCCTTCCCCCTTAAAATGGCGCACATGACCAATCCCCTCGCGACTGTCGACCAGCTATACCAACGGACCTCCTTCAGCGCGCTGCCCTCCGACCTCCAAGACGCCATCTTCTTCGCGACCCAACGTCTAACCCAAGCCGCCGGTATTCTACTACGGATCCCCCAGTCCGTCACAGCGCAAGCTAATGTTATACTTGCGCGCTACTGGCTCGTCGAATCGCCCCTATCCTACGAGTTCAGCGACACATCCGCCGCGGCGCTCTACCTCGTCGCCAAGCTCGGCGCACACCCGTGTCTACCCCGCGATGTCTGCAATGTATACGCGTACCTCCTATCTCCGAACTCCGTTCTCTCTAAGGGCGGTAATGATGGAGGAGGAGGAGGAGGAGGAGACGTCGACGACAAGGATAAAGGGGACCCGTCATCATACTACCTCTCCGAAAGCGCGTACGCCTCCTTCCGATCGCGTATCTTAGCGCTCGAGGCTCGCATATTGTACTCCTTATCCTTCGACACGCATGTCGCGCTGCCACACCCCTTAGCCATCACATACCTACAAGCGCTAGACTTCCTCGGCCTACCTAGAGCTGAGATCGCGCGACGCGCCGTCGCACATCTCAACACGGCGCTCTTATCGCCGCAGCTGCTGTATCTCACGCACCAGCCGCACGCGCTCGCCGTCGCGGCGATATACTCCGCGGCGCGCGACGCCGGGGCCAAGATGCCGACGTGTGCGTGGTGGGAGGTGTTCGACGTGGACCGCGAGGAGCTCGGGTTTCTGGTTGTAGGCATGCGCAGCCTCGAGGGCTGGGTGCGGACGCAGCAGGAGGATGGCGGTGTGCTGACGAGGGGGATGGTCACGAGGGCCTATGTGGAGGGGGAGATGAGGAAGAGGGGGTTAAGGATTGGGAATGGGAGTGCTGGGGCTGGTGAGGATGAGATGGAAGATGAGGAGACGGCACTTATGCGACAGATGGATGAGAAGGCGGCGCAACTAGATGGATGAGGACTAGAGCTAACTCAATGTCCGGATAGACTGAATGGAGATTGAAAGTCACAGACTGCTAGTCTAGTTAGCTCCTATAACTTCGTACCATCTATCTCCGAGAGTGATGGAATAACTATGATTCCAGCATCTTAATAGAAGACCAGCTACAATCGAGCTTATAATTAAACGTCTAAGGCTGAAAGTACGAACTTTAGTCGCCCTGAGAAGTTATAGGAATAGGAGAAGACAACAATGTATTAAATAACAAGGACAGTTCCCGTTGTAAGTCCTATGTAACTAATTATGGCCTCTCCTAGAGAAATTTACAAACCACCCCCCTTTCCCCCACATACGAAGGCAATCCTGCCTGTTTAGACTAAACTGCCGTTAAGCGTCGGGTTGATGATTTCCATAATATTACCCTACTCAATGAATAGACCACCTCTCGCAACGATGCAAAATGAAACATTATGGTTTCTGAAAATGCAATTTTTAAGAAATCCTCATTCGGATATCCACCCCGTCCTGTTGAAGGAAGATCAATTATACGGAATGAGACATAGGTTTTCCCTAGATATCTCATTCCTCGTATAATCGAAGTATGTTCGTGGAGCGGCGCCCGGGAAATCTGAACCGAAGATTAAGAAATAGTAGAACTGAAAATCGGGCCTAAGATTACATTACGGTTGTGATGGCTCACTTAGAAAGGGGCCTAGGTGAAAGGTAGGTGATGAAGTTTGAGTGGCCAGTAAAAAGAGAGCGTCAACGGCGATAATATGTATCCCTCTATCAAATATCCTTAAGTAGACTTGGCATGTGGATTTGGCATATGTATTTGGTTGATGACTCGTGAGGCATGAGCTGATCAATAATCCAATAGCCTCCGTTACAACTTCAATGACGGCGTAGAAACGTATGATATAGTCTCACAAGTTATTGTTGACTCCAAACGGGTCGGAGGAGTCTAGCAGTAACTTGACTTGCTGCAGAAGCTTGATGGTGAACTCTTGCCGATGTATTTCGAATTCGACGAGTGCTGCGTCCAGCAATTCTTCCTCCAACTTATTTCTCTCTTTCCCTGAAAGAGAGAGATTGTTCAAGTTGCGAGATAATTTCCTCTGCACCTCCAGTTCCTTGCATCCGAGGCCGACAGGAAGCCACTGGATGATATCTTTTGTCTTCTTAAGGAGATCTGTGCACTTCTCATTCTTGAGTACGCGGCAGAGAATAATGCATTGATCAAAAACCTCCACGACATTGGACATCTTGAGGACGGGGTACTTCGAGTAGACTACTCGGCAATTGCGGTATAGGTTTGCCAGTGTCGTACCAGTGCCTTTGATGTCCATCGCCTCAGATGGTACCATATATAGGTTGTGCTTGTAGTTGTTCTCGACGTAGTCAATAGATCGGATCCAGTCGAAAATCAGCGCGAAGTCCATGTAAGGACACCATTTGTGTAGCCATTTCACCGTTACTTCGTCAGTAACTTGCAACACAGACTTAGCGGCTAAGTCAATAATATCTCGGCTGATGCCTTCAAATCGCTTCTCCGGGTGGTCCATTAGGACGTCTCCTAGGCTTCTTGGGGCGGGAGAAACAGTGGCGGGCTTTGTCACCAACTGCAATTTTAAGAGTCAGTTACCAGCTTCACGTAAAATTCTGATATGGCTAGTAGAGCGTAAACAGTTTACTTACAGTGGGCTTCGTGAACCGAGAATCGCAAGGACTAGGGTGGCCAAAAGGTTGTTTTTTGCCGGTCTGTTTTGGTTGGATTGCCAGTCCCAAGAGTCGAAATCCAGGTTGTTGACGAAAAGCTAATCTACTAGTGCAGTTATTGAATCGAAGCATATCAGGCGCGGTAGAATAGCCCCTCCATTGATCTTGTTGGGATTTCCTCCTTCTACCATCACGTCGCTTTTTGGTCCTATTAGTTCCCATGTTGAAACGGTTGATAACGAAGGGAACGTGATACAATGAAAGGGGAACTAAGAGGAGAGAGAAAGGCACAAGAGGAATTTTAAAGGAGTGAGCCGGTTAAAAAACAATTTCATGGGAAAAAGGAACGTCTAGGCAACGCTTCTTAGCTTCACGTTGTGTGGGTGACCGGGCGATGTACTCATGGTGATATGGTCTCCATAAAATAATACTATATGCACATACTCTTTTTATTATAATAGCCACCTTCCCAGATTTATAAAGGGGGAATCATAGATCTGGAAGGTGTAGTTAGGGAGAGGGCTACTTCCTACATATCCGTATGCTACTTCTTCACATACATCTAGGGAAGGAGTATCTGCTTATAGAACCTGTCAGATGCAGATAAAACATATACCACATCATTCCTTAACTTAAAATGTGTATGGACAACTTAAACAGATTAAATAGGTTCTTAGCAATGCACCTTCATCTAAAGCTGATCCTAAGATTCTACTTCAGGAAAGGAACCCTCTATTTCACTCCAGCTAAATTCGGGAGAATATTTAATCTAAAAGCTCCGCTAAGAACGATCCCTCCGGAATTAAACGAGAACAATGGGCTTCAAGTAATATCATCGGTAAATTTATCATGAAGTTGGTAAATAGAGATCTATAAAAGGGGTCGAACCAAAATAGAAGCGGAGTGTACTCACGACGAGGATCTGGGATCAAAGTACCACGATAAACACTAAAATATCAAACTATATAATGGCAGAGCGCCTATAACTAGTTCTATTTCCCAAGACGTATAAGGTATCAATCTCAAGCGAGTAAAAAGCCTCCCATATCGAAACCAACCCAGTCCGATTCGTGCGCCACGCTTGTACTCCCCTTTAGTATTGAAGTTGCCTTATACCCTATGCAGATCGTATACTCTAGATACCCCTTACTTTAACAGGCTTCCCACATCTTGCAGCCGTATATTATCCATAGCAAGAGTGTTCCCTCCTCTATCTATCCTACCCCAGCCAGCACCCCAACCGGGCAACACGCCTGCGTTAGCCACCATCGTCTCCCCTGACGTGGCGAAACCCGCTGTTGAGCTCGAACTAGCGGCGTAGTTGCCTGCGTTATTGCTGTTGGGGCCACCATTGCGTCTCCAGAACCTCCACCTTTTTTTCGGCTGAACGTTCTGAACTACCGATTCAGGTATAGTCATGATACCTGTCCGACCGCTCGGTGCCATGCGCGGGTAGAAAAAGCCGGCTGGCTGACCGCCCGAAAACGGGTTCCACCATCGGCCTTTAGACCGTTCAATGATGCTGCCGTTGCGGCCCGAGTTGTACGATGTCGGAGGCTCCCCCGCTAGCTCTTCGAGGGTATAGCCCTTAGTTTCGGGGATAAGTAGCGACGAAAATGTTCCACAGAGCATGAATAACGCGAATATCTGCATCAGCCGGTCGAGCCAGGGCGTGCATGATTTCCCCGAGCAAGGGTTGGGAGCGCCCTTTGTGAGGAGCGGCAAAGAAATGACTTGTGCGACGATAGCACCGACTTTCCCCATAGCTGCCGAAAGTCCGTGTCCGGTGGAGCGGTATCGTGTCGGGAAGCACTCACCGGGGACGATGAAAGTAGTGGTATTTGGACCGAAATTGAAGAAATAGTTTGCAATGACATATAGGGCCAATAAAGCACCCTTGCTGAGGCTATTGTACATAAATCCTAATACGCAGAAGGTGATAGTAAGTATAACGAATCCGATAATCTGGAGTGGTTTGCGACCAATACTATCGATCGTCAGTATGGCAGTCCAATATCCAGGCAGAGAGCCTGCGACGACTAGAATGATCGTGCCGACTGCGCTGTTGAACAATATTGTGTAAAGCGAGTCCCCATCGGCGTAACCGATTGCTTGTAATATTATCTGGTTGTTTAACCCTAAACCATAGAAAGCTAGGTCCTGCATCTCAAGGTTAAACAGATTCGATCAAAAAGTTAGTTAAGGGATACTTACTAGGAAAAACCACGACAGAGTTGTTCCCAGCAGGACTTTGGCGTTCTTCCATTGTGTGAAGTAAATATATAAGTCGTGCCAAGACGCTGAGGGTATGTTGAGTGCTGGAGCGGCGACTTTCTTCATCCTCGCTTGAGTGATTTCATCTACTTCTCCTTCTGACCGGCTCGACATATATGCCTTGATATCGGCCGCCGCTTTCTCGACATCCTTAGCCACCTCGAAGGTATACCTAGGCGTTTCGGGGATCGTAATGCGATAGTATAGAGCAAAGCAAGCCGGAAAAGCTCCGACTCCTACAATAATACGCCAGCATCGATCGGCGGCTGTCTGACATGCGTAGTCGCATTGGTCGACGCTCGGGGCGTTTCCGAAGGCGTTCTTGAAAGATGCGGTAACAATAAGGGCCACGACGGCAGCTAGTAACTGTCCCATCCCTTGCATGGAAAACACCGCGGCCATCATAGCGCCTCGCCATCGTGTAGGCGCAAACTCCGAGGTGATGACAGCGCTCAAAGGATAGTCCCCTCCTATACCGACTCTGTCCATGGCATTAGCAAAAATTCGCGCGTAATATTGTTCGTCGTCTTACCCCATCATTACCCTCCAAAACGTCATTAGTCCGGTGAAGCTTATAGCTTGAGAGGCCGCAACTATGTAAACGTTAACTTTTGTAATTCCAAGCCCGATTAATAGTCTCCCGTGTTTGGAAGTTTAAGTGAGCCATGAGAACCGTAGAAGGATATAAAGAATTGGGTTCCAATTAAGGATATTTCTATACTTACCCAAACAACAAGAAAGAGTCGAGAAGACGATGATGCCTAGCTCAACTCCGTACATTCGCCTTCTTCCGTACTTATCTGCCAACCAGCCAAATAGGACCTGACCTACGATGATACCCGCGCTCGTTGACGCCTTCAGAGTCTGGCTGACCGGGGTCGGTAAGTGTCCAAAGTTCCCTCCATACCCATTCTTCGCATCCTCCGGGGCTCCGTGCCAGAACACAACACCGAGCAACGTCGTTACGAGATTGATAGCAAAGATATCGTACGAATCAAGAAAAAATCCTATACCAGCGACTAACACAGCCCTCACATGGTACATCCCAAAAGGTACTTTATCGATTTCTGATAGCGCAAGCCGTCGTCGTAGGTTCGGGTCTTGGATGTGATTGAAGTCGTTGAAGAAATTATGAAAAGCTCGATTGCCGCCATACGTCCGGTCATACGTTGCCGGCGTTATAGGCTCCGGCGTGGCCATTATCGAAAGCTCGACAAGCTTTTGCTTTATCGTAAGTGTTTCGCGATATGGGCCGCGGAAGTAAATAGATACATAATTACTCAGCAGGAGATTCGAGCGCTATATTCGACGAGGCTACGATGTGTTCATGGTGCTATTTGTTAGACGAGCCTTCCGTCTACGTGGGAATATACAATGCGGCTATACCCGTCAGTACCGCGCGTCCTACGGCTGTCGATTCGGTGAGACCGACTTGTTATCGAAAAGATACGGATGTTACGGGTAAAATGCGCTGGGTATGGAATAGAAAATAGTGATAGATAATGAAAAGTGAAAGTAGCTAGGTAAAACGAACAAAGTTGTGTAAGCCCTTCAAGATCTAAGACAGAGCCTCGATGCGCACCAGGGTAGGGAGGGATGTGATCTGACGCACTCCGAAGATCGTTACGGTAATTAAACCTTTTTCTGTGTCTGACAAGGTCCCATCGACCCAATCGCGTGGGTGGACGGATTGCTCGGGAGGCTCCTAAAGGAGCTTAGGGGTTAAACGTTAGACACATGGGCTGAGGGGATCTTTCGTTAGGATGACATCCAATGTAATATGGCGAACAAAGATGAATGCTGAAGAGTAAAGATATAAGAGGCGTAATAGTCTAGACCCCAGACACGCCTCTGGGGTGATGTTCTTAAACTAGCCTCAAGTATCCTTGACACCCCGTTCCACGACCTACCTACCTATTTGTGTTTTGGTGCAACGCTTTGTCGGACGACACACAAAAGTGACATGGTGTCGAAAGGTGATGTGATATGTTAATCAAATATGTTAGGCTTATGACTATCGTAAAACTAACAGCTTCATCATCACGCTCATCTACCTAGCATTCGGACCGGGGGTGGGCATCGTGATTGGCTTATACTTCCTAAAGTTCGTCGGGTTCAGGGTTAGGAAATAGACATACATAGTAAGGTAGGTAATAATTCTTCTACATGTAGCTTGTTCAAAACGTGGGCGTGGAACTGGAGTTGCTCATTGCCATATGCATGAGCTCGGTGAGGGTTCAAGTGGGACTCATCCCTTCCAGACTACATCATAGAGAATCTGGGCTCGCACCAAGGGTGAGGTGAGCCCGCTCATCTGGCTCTAAAAACGTGGGAGGTAATATATTCTACGCGACGATCAAAATCCTCGAAACTACATACATGTACATACCTAAGTAGGTCGTAGGTTCAGGGGATCCTTCGGGCTTGGCAGGGTACGGCAAGGATACGGCAAGGATACGGACATAAGGTACAAGATGCAGTCGCGAATGAGCCGCGTTTATGGGTGCGAGTGGGATTTCGCGGGGCGAATCGAACGCACATACCCACCGGCCCGCGATTTAGAGTTTAAAGATTACTTAAGCACCTTATCAACTTAGTCCCTTAGTTTAGACCCTGCTAGGTACCTTAGAGGTATCTATTATTTTTTCCCATCTTAATATCGATGAAGCTGATGTATGAACATTACTTGACGCGTGGCAGATGCTTCTTAATCTTAGAAGTATCAGCTTCGTCTTTCTGCAGGAGGAGAGGGAGGAGAGGATCTAGGATAAAGCTGTCCAAGCGGTCTAATAAGAAACCATTTAGCTTGGCGACAAACGCCTAAGAAGCCATCTTATGCAAGACAATATCGCCAATCGGAGCACAGAATTTCAGAACGTGGTCTAAACTATTCGATCTCAACAATACATGTCTACAAGCCACCACGCTTCCATGTGTTACGCGCTACGATGCAGTACCTACATAGGCTAAGTAGAGGTAGTCATATTTACATTATGTAGGTATTTCAATTCACAAGCGTCAAACAGAAACACCATTCACCTTGAACCATAGTTAACTGTAGCTATTAAGCTAAGAATACTTAATATATATCCGAGATTAAATAATCCAAACTTATCAAGTCAACAACATGGCTGTCATTAACCTTTTTAAAGGAGAGATGGGGGCAGAGATCTTCATGGGTGTTTGTTACATGGTAACGGATACCTACCTTATAAGCACGTGGTGGCTACCTCCTATGAGCCATCAAGGATATATGTAGGCATTACACATGTCGTGCAACTGTAAGTTCTAGAGTTTTTGTGTAGAATTTAATATTCCTTCTAGAAAGGGGGTTTCAAAATTATGTCCCGATCCTACAAACACTTGGAAAGAAATAGTGTTTATCACTGGCAATTACCTGTTATAATCTATGTTTGTTAGAACTTAATCTTACTTCCTAAGAAATGCATAACTAGTAGTTATAAGTTATAACTTCCAGTATTCGTTGATATTATCATGCATCGGAGTTACCGATGCTCACCGAAACCCCAAAATTGCACGTACGCAAGTTTATTTGGCTCGGGTCAACGGCACCACACGCTACCGCAACAGATGCTACTTTGGGTGGTTCAGTTAGGTTCGCATGTTATAGTTGGGATGTATGATTTGACGTTGGCTATCTTTACCAATAACTCGGGATGACTACCTAGACATGCTATGCTCTGTATGTCTCTCGATCTTGGACATAATCCGGCACTGCCAAATATTGGCTCCGGATTTCGAAGCATGATTTAACTATGGTAGGAATAAACTCAAGGTAGATATTTTTTTTTTAATTCAAATAACTCAAATAACTTAAACATCAATTCATTTATCGTGGTCCATGCGCACGAGCTATTCACCACGCCGTGATATCTTCTACTTCTACTTCTGCCTCCCCGAAAGTGCTCGATTTAGTTATCCGACCGACGTTAGCCGCCTCCACGTGCTCACCTTCTCTATTCATAATATCCGGCAGCGTCTCGTGTAGGAACTCTAGGATATACTTGTTGACTTGTTCAAACTGCAACAGAAAGGCATCGTGGCCTTCTTGGCTGTCTATCTTCTCAAGCCGGGCATTCTTGATGTGCTCCGCTAACTCCTGTTGCTCTGCAAATGTGAAGAGCCCGTCACTTTCAATCCCCAGAACTAAGGTAGGCTGCTCAATGAGAGCGAGTGCCTCGGCGATGGTACTAGCGCGGTATCGAGAGACGTCGTGCGTGTCTAGTTTCCGCGTAATCGCAATATAACAGTTACTGTCAAAGCGCTTGACAAATTTCCCGCCTTGATAGCGAAGATATGACTGAGCTGAAAAGTAGGTTGTCGTTGGCAACGAATCACTTCCAGTAGAAATGTCTATCTTCGGGCCGGAGAATTGGGGGTCCAGGGATTGACCATTGGTATCATTATGGATGCTCGCATCGGCCTCGCTGGCGTGGCTATTGTTCCTTGATAACCGAGTTGTCTTGTGTCCATCATTGTGAATATGAAAATGAGCCTCGGATGGAGTGTTCGGGCGGGGTCTTTCCCTGATGGTCTGGCGCCTAGCCGGGTCCGGGATATTGCGCCCAAACCGTGCCTCAAAGGAATTCCGACTCCGGTAGGTCAAAAGGGCGGACATACGTGCGGCTCCAAGGCCAGTTGTAGGTGGATCGGAGAATGAATAATATCCATCATCATACTTTGGGTCCGCATATATGCTCTGTCGTTGGGCTTCGCCCCAACTAATTCCCCAAGCGCTATGGCGGCTTGAAGTAGCGATCGGAACAATACTCCGAACATAATCCTTACCGAAATACGCCCACTCAAGCACAAGCATACCGCCCATGGATCCACCTATGACGGCAGCTACCTGGCGTACGCCTAGGTCGTCGAGAAGAAGCTTATGCAAACTATCTCAAGTTAGAAGTGGAGATGGAGTTCGGTTGAGGTTCGACCTACTTGACATCGTCTCTGATTGTAGTAAGAGGAAATTCGGGGCCGTATCTCTCGTTGCTCGGGTCGCCATCCTTGACGGTTACTGGACTGGCCGTGCCATAGGGGCTACCCAAACTGTTCATACAGACAATGAAGAATCTAGAAGTGTCAAATGCCCGGCCAGGACCGCCGAGAAGAGGTCCCCACCAGTCACTAACATCAGCTGAGCCCGTTAAGGCATGACAGATGACCATAGCATTGTCTGCATTTGGAGACAGCTTTCCTCGCGTTGTATATGCCAACGGTACATTCTGTAGAGTAACTCCAGACTCGAGAGTGAAGTTTGGAATAATGGCAATTTCCTGGTCTGGAATCAGACTCGCGAATGGGTTCTCAGGTTGCTGCTGAGTTCTTTCTTCCAAGTATTCAGTCACTACTCTATACCACAGACGCTTGGGAGTAAAGAAGTGACTGCATTAAAAGTATGCAAATAGAAACCATGATAAGAAATGAGTTCTTACTCACCATATTTTGGCTGCTTGCCAGTCATAGCTTCCTTTGCCATTTTGTCGTATAACAGATAATTATATATGTATAATAGGCGTATAATAGGCAAGAGAAAGATATATTAGTTAAACGAATAATAATTTAAGACTGTATCAATCTCTCGTAGACGCTTTGATATAATTCGCTAGGTAATCTGTTTCTGGGAGATGTAACAAGATCACTGCGTATGTCTTATATGGTTATCTGTATTTATACCGGATTTGATTCGCACGTCATTCGGTTACATGCGCAAGATGCAGATGGTGTTCAATGATGACTCCTACTCCAGATATCGGGGGTGTAATGTACCTGACGTAGGCGGTAGATACCAATAAATTTTCGCTTATGTAAGTTAGTACCTACCTAGTACAGATCCGTACCTAAATAGCGACTTTGCTAGCCGTATTGGTAGTGGGTCCTAGCGAGAATATATCTATGTTAGGTACTTGAGGATGTATTTGATACCTTAGGTGGTTAGATAGTACGCAGACAAATCAAAGTTCTTTTTACAATCAATTTACCTACATGCAGCCTTACCTTTTGCAAGCTCTGAGGCTGCATCGTCCAAAATCCACCACGCGATAGGTAGCTTCTTCATTCAACGCGACTGCCATCCTGCCGAACGGGCATCATTCCTTCATAGCCAACTCAACGTTCTCCCCTTCTCCCAGGTAATCATCGCCTACTATTCACCATTAACGATCGACTAGCCATCTATAGGAGGGGTGACGCTGTACAACATTCAAACAGTCACGCTTTCTTTGTTCGCATTCATAGAGTGCTTCAAACTCTTATCATCAATTCATAGTTTTTTGATTTCTCTTACTTATCACTATTTCTTTGGCAATGCTGCACGGTTACTCCGACTACTTGTCAGAAATCATCGCGGCCCCCTCTAGCAACAATATTCATCTAGGTTTACACTAAGTATGATACGCTGAGGTCTAATTCTCATCGCCTTTTGAACATATCCACCACCACCTCCACCACTACTACTAGCCTTACGGTTTCTAGCCTCATCTTCGATGCCCTTTTCTATGACATAGAATCCGTCGCACACAATAAAAATGCCTCCAAAGCGAAAGAGGAACGAGCGGCCATCCGACGCTGGAGCAAACCGGCCGGCTCCTCATCGTCCTTCCGACACAAATCTCGCTCAGCATGAACGAGATTTCCAAGATAGTCCTTCATCGCAGAATCGTCGTGCATCAAGCGGTCGCAATACAAGGAGAAATGCCGACCGTCGCGATTCGTCAGGCAACCAACTAGCCGTTACAAATCATCGAGGCCCCGTCTCTCCATCAACTGCTCGACCATCTAGTTCATCGTCGCAGGCTGCTCCACCCACGATACCTTCTACGCCATCCGCTCCTCCCCAATCTAGCCAACCTCGACCTTCCATTCCCTCTAATTATAACTTCGCTGTATTAACAGAATCGCGACTCTCCACGTGGCAGCAGAAAGGCCGCCAGGATATTGTTGAGCATGGCATCAAGTCTCGTAACGACGAAGACGTTGAAGAAATCTCAACTATATCTCAAGAGTTCACACGTGCTGTTCTTGAAGGGCGCCTTAACCCAACTGACGCAGGAACTTGCGTGAAACAAATCCTGGGGCCAGCGGTCGAGAATGCCGATGGTCCTGGGTTCGGTTTTGATGCACAGAGACTATTCCTCGACACGCTCTCGATTTTCATCGACTCTGAGGATGGTGCATCCAGGCCACAACTACGAGACTTTGTTGTTGCCACGGAGATATCTCCCAAGATTTTGCGCGAAGTATTGGACGCGCCAGCCTTACAGCAACTTGGGTTAATCCGCGAGACCTTCGTCAAATTAGGCATCAGATATGCCACGAATCAACTGTACCGACAGGCCAATTATAACCTGCTTCGAGAAGAGTCTGAAGGATACTCTAAGCTTGCTGCAGAACTTTATCGCACACCGTATTACGCTCGAGACCACCATGACTTTGCTCTTGTACAAGCTTGTTGGGAGCGCGTGAAGGGATTGATTGGAACGTTCGACCTTGATGTTGGCAGAGTTCTGGATGTTGTCATTGACGTTTTTTCTGCAACGATGCTGAGAAACATCGTATTCTTCTCGAGATTTTTGCGAATTAGTTCTTGGTGGCCTCGCAATCAGGTCGAACATTCTGAAAGGGTATTCGCAGGCGGCCTACCAAAATGGGCTTTGCCACAATATGAAAACACTAGTCTCGAGGATCTCAAAGCCGAGCTTGTCGAACGGTGCTATCAGCGTGATCTGACGTTCTGGGATAGAGCTCGAGAAATTCACCTAGATGCCTTTTTTGAGCTTGGCGGAAGACGTGTTGAAGATATCGATCAATACGACTCTGCGAAGACTACTTCCGGTCCTAACTCGAATAACGACTCAACTCTCGATTGGATAAAAACTACGAAGACCCTCCCACCATGCGGCAATAAGATAGCTGCGCAGTTGTTGGGCTTCAAATTTCGATTTTATGCGTCCGACGCTCGAGCTAAGCTCGAAGCACTACCAGCGAATCTGTACTATCTTGCCGCCTTCTTCATCAAAATTGGTTTTATTTCTCTGCCTGATCTTTATCCTCACCTCTGGCCGAGCGATGCTCAGATGGAAGCCTTGAGGGAACGACGAGAAAAGGAGCTCGAGGAAAAAGAGGCAGTTAAGAGACACGGTAACGAGCCAAACGCTCTTCTTACAGCTGGAGCTCTTACCGATGACACCTTGCCATCCTCTTCCAAACTACGGGAATCTACGGCTGCGAATGGTGACAGCAACGAGCAAGATGCGAATACTACAAAGGAAGACGATGAGACAAGTCTGCCCGACCCACAAGAGGCTCATAAGGCAGATCTAGTAACCCACTTGTTGGTTGTGGGTGCCATCCCTGAAGCTTTATTCATCATCGGTCGCTTTCCTTGGCTTCCTGAAGCATATCCCGATGAAATATATCCGGCTCTCAATCGTATTCTACTACATTCCATCAACAAAGTCTTCGAGGAGACCCGGCCTGTTGAAATTCGACCCATGACCAACCACCCCATCAAAGCAGAACTAGCTCAGGATCAATCTGGGATGACAAAGGGTAACCTGAAGCTTACCGATGGCTCTCCCGTAAAAATTCTGAAATGGCCTCATCCCGATGGTAGCCACAAAGGCATCATCTATCGTTTTTACCTCGACGAATGGGCAGATAACGTTCCTATATGTCAAACAGTCGATGACGTTTTCACGCTCTGCAGCACACTCCTCAACGTATCCGGTGTTAATATCGGAAGGGAACCTTCTCTAGTCAAGAAGTTAGCCGCTATTGGTGTGAAAAGCTTCTTACAAGACCAGTCGCCAGAAAATGTGGCGCGTTGGCAGGATCTTCTTCGACGTACACTTGTTCCGTCGCTATGCCTTTGCGATGCCAACGTCGATGCCGTAGGTGCGGTTTGGGATCTTCTTAAGTACTATCCGACACAGGTTCGCTATAATATTTACTCGGAGTGCTATGAAGGGCAAATATCTCGAATTCCCGCCATGGCTAAAGCTTTCAGGCATGCTAAAGCAGGCACTATAGCTACTTTAAAACGGCTTTCTTACCAGAACATTTCTAGTTCTGCAAAGAAACTTGCCAAAGTGGCATTATCGTCGCCCGGTATCGTATGCAAGGTCGCCCTTGAACAGATCGAGGCCTATACCAACCTCATCGAGGCATTTGTAGAGTGCACGAAGTACTTTACGGAAATGGGCCACGACGTTCTTGTTTGGTCTCTCTTGAGCTCACTGGGTGGCAAAGAAAGGAGCAGAACCCAGGAGGCATCTATACTCTTGACCAGTCGATGGCTGCAAGCTCTATCTAAATTTTCGGGAAGGGTCTTCCGACGGTATAGCAATATGGATCCGACGCCCGTCATTTATTACGTGAACGATCAAATCACCCACGGGAATCCTACCGACTTGATCATTTTGCGGGAGCTCATCACTTCCATGGGCGGAATTGTCTCGGACGTCGATTTTACTGACGCCCAATTATTCGCCCTGAGCGGTGGTGAGGTTCTACGACGGCAAATGCTGGTTAGTTTAGGTGACAAACGGTACGAGTCCGCTAAGAGTGCTGCTCGTCTTATGAAGGCTCTAGTACAGACGGATCTCGCTTGTCGACTCCTAACAAACATGGCCCAGTATCGACAAGCCGCCATCTATCATCTACCGGAGAATGAAACACATATCAAGTACTTAGCAACCGTGATTGACGACTCACAGCAAGCTCTCGTTCAATATGTAGAGCTGCTGCGAAATAACCTAGCCCCTGAGCAATTCGATGCACTTATACCTAACATCCCACGATTGATGACAGATTTTGGCCTTGACGCTAATCTCGCCTTTATGATAGGCCGAGCCAGTCTCCAGTATTTCATCATGGGTCCTGGAGAGAAGCTCGCTGTTACCACATCCGAATCAACTCCAGGTTCAGAGACCGATTCATCCAATGAAACAAAGGGCAATGACGGTGCACCGGTCACTGTTGGCCAAGACGGCGAAGATCATATGGTAGTAGACGTGCCGGATGTAGATGAGGCAACTCAGCCTCAATTGCCACCAGCAGTAAACGGTCAGAAACCTGACCGATTCTTAGAAGTACTCAGCCCCATCGTCAACGCTGTTCGGACTATATTGCCTGCAGAAGTGTGGGGCAAAATCAATCCCGAATTCTTTGTGCTCTTTTGGTCTCTACAGACGGGAGATCTCGTGGTTCCGATGAACAGCTATGAGGCCGAGATTACCAGGGTAGAGAAACAGTATACCGAATTAAAACGAGAACGAGGTGATATGAGTACCAAGAAAAAGTCCCTTGATGCTCTTATTCAGCTTAACAAGGATCTCTCTGCTGAAGCTAGTACTTGTCACGAACGTGTGAGCAAGACCAAGATATTACTTATCAAACAGAGTCCACGGTGGTTTATCTCATCAGCAAAAGCAGAATCTATTGCCGATACATTCATTGAAGAATGTCTCATCCCGCGAATTTTACTATCGCCTAGCGATGCAGACTTCTGTCATCGAATGATCCGGTTTATGCACTCGAGTCGAGTGCCAAATTTCAGGCTCATGGACTTATATGACCGATTCTTCGGTGTAAATAGGCTGCGTCTGATGATATTCGGCTGTACGGTTCGGGAAGCCGAATTTCTTGGTCATTTTATTAAGCTTACGTTGGGCGACCTTGCAAAGTGGCACAAGGATAAGGATATATACGCCAAAGAAGCAATACAGAACGGGAAAATTGGGTTTGCAACAGCCTTTGAAGACAATGGTAAACCGACAGCATTCATGGAACACGACCAATTTCGCGATCTTCTCTGGACATGGCATCGGAACTTAGCTACAGCCTTACGAGCCTGTCTTACTGGAACGGAATGGATGCATATCAGGAATGCCATCACAGTTTTGAAGGCAGGACTCGAAAATTTCCCTGCTGTTGACTTCATGGGTCGGCAATTCCTGCAGATACTCGGAAAGATTGCAGAACGTGAAGATGCAACGAAGAATGGAGGTGACGATGGACATAGCCACAGGGTAGATCTCTCAGTCACTGCGAATACCGCAACCTCAGCCCTTAAGAAGTACTCACCTAAATGGGTCATGGTCCAGGCTTTTCGGTCTAATACGGTAAGTTTTCGCCGTCATACTGGGAATCGTACGAGTGCTAATTCTACCACAGAGCGGTGACCCTGCAGAAGATAAAAAATCAGCGGAGCCTACTAAACCCGGCCAACCAGGTCTCCGGCCAAATGCGCCAGACTTCAAGCCTACTACGACAGGGTAAGTTTAGTTCTGCTTAAGAATAACTAAATATTTGCCTAATATATTAGCAGCATGCCAACGCGGATTAGAGCAAATGCCGAGGAAGAAGATGGCGAAGTAAATGACGTGAAGACATCGGTTGGTGCCGAATCTATGAAGAAAGATACGAATTCTCGGCAGCATACACCTACCAGCAGGGATACTGCCCAAAAGTCAACAGCCGCTCCTCAAAAAACCGACTCAAGACCAATTCCAAGTCGATCCTCGACTCCAAGATCTATACCCCCCGCGCCGCCCGCCTCGGTATCCAACCAAAGGACAGAGTCGTCCCGTTCATCAACCCTAGCTCCTGCTCCCGGACTCCCTAGCCGACCAGAAGTACCATTTCCTGCGCACTTCACGCACGACAAATTTGGACAAATTACGACTTCTACACATCCTCGCGATCATAGAGAGGGCAGAGATCCAAGAGAAGTACGAGGTGTAAGGGATTCGAGAGAACTACGCGATTCTAGGGAATTGAGAGATCCTAGAGATCCTAGAGATCAGAGGTCGTCTTTCCGAGCTCCAGATGATTCACGTTTAACTCGAGTACGAGACCAGCCAGCTGGGGACCGTCGCATTCCTGAAAATATTCCAAGGGAGTCTCCAAGATCTGAGAGAGATCGTTCTTCACACCGACCAGAACCCGGCCGGCGAAACGAATCAAACACTCCCGATCGGGATGGTCGCGGCCCGCGTGACCGCTCCGTGCCTTCAGGCGGTGCCAATCGAGGACCTGATGCAACCAGAGCGCAACGTGACAACATAGTGACCACGAATCCCATGCCACCTCCTCCACAGCCAGAGCTGCAAGGCCCAACAGTAAACCCGGAACGCGCACGCCTCATCAACGCAGATCGTCCAGACGAGCGTTCAAATATGGTAAACCCGGCTCGTGCAGCTCTAATCAACGAAGGGAGACCTGGTAGTCGTCAAGCCAGAGAAGATAGCCGGGATCGTAATAGTTCCCGCCCGGTATCTCCTCGGCGAGATAACCGTTCGGATCCTCGACCTAACGATCCATCTCGTGACCGGCCTCATCGTATAGATCATCCGCCTCGAGATCATTGGAACGAGCCACTGCCAACTATTGGACCAAAAAGCAGTAGGATAATTGATCACGAAGGTGAACGAGGCATAGCCGATAGATCTCGAGACCCTATCGCATTTCAAGGGCCACCTCATACATCCAGGGGCGATTCTGATCATGGCCGACTAAACAACCAAGATCCGGAATACGGCCGCCTAAGTTCAATTCCCTCGATTAGTGACACAACTAATCCTCCCGAGGGTCCACGTGGCCGTGGTCGTAACTCAACTCGCACCCCAGCAAACAACATTCCGGGACGACCAGATCCCAGGTTTCCGAGCAACGAGCCTCACCGGCCTACTTCACCAGACAGACATCACCCCCCTACTGGCCCCGCATCGTCTAGGCCACGTCGAGGTCAAGCAGGAGGACAATACGGTCATGGAACTGGTCCGGCTACTTCTCCAACGACTACTAATCCGTCAACGGGAATACATCCAGAAAGACTAAGACACTTGAACCCAGGTAGTTCAGCTGGGCCGGTACCACCCCCTCAGCCAACGTACCCAGTTCCTACTCCAAGCCCGGTCTCTGTTCATCCAGATCGAATGGGCCAGATTTCAGCATCCCCTTCCGGCTCTCACCAAGGCAATCGTTCCGCTCTACCTCCTTTGCAAACCTCTGATCGAACTCCCATGTCTGGACCGACGAGTCATCGTCAATCGTCTGGAGGCCACCCAGGTCCCTTCGGGTCTGATGCTAACATAATGGCCGCGCCTACGGGACCAGCAAACACTAATGAACGTTCCAGAGCTGGTGGTGGGAGACGGCAGTTATCAGGTATCAATACTATACTTTCTGGGGGGAGCCCCACTGTGCGTTCGAGAGGTTCTCGATCTAATCTGGCTGGATCTGACGCTCAGGTGCTCACGGGAGCATCCCCCGTCTCTACGCCTGTTCACGAACGTCCAGACCCTAATCTATTGTTAGGTGAGCGCGGTATGAACGGGGGAGAACGCTCTGGGCGAAATGATCACGAACGAGGACGAAGGGATCACAGTAATGCCGACCGGTCTCTACGCTCCTCTCGCCGAAGCAGCCGGGACCGCAGTACAGAAAGGGATCAGAGACCAAAGGAGCATCGTGATTACCGAGATCGGAAGTCTAATGCCGGGCTTCCCGGCCATGGAAGAGAAGGCGAGATGGAACCACCGCGCCGATCCGGCCGGGATTCTACGGGCATTGGTAGGGAGCCAATGCCTGGTGCTGGGAGAGGTGATTTGATGGGTAATCCTCGTGATGGGCCGCGAGAGCCGCGTCATCGAGGGGATGGTGGTAGTGGCAGACATGAAGATTATGGACGTGGTCGAGGAGGTGGTGGACCAGGTGGAGGACAACGTGGAGGTGATGATCGTCGTGACACAAGGGGAGGTGACGATCGAGGCCGCAAGCGTCGAAGCGATGATTTCGGAGGACCCACCGAGAAGAGGCAGAGACGTTAGGACCGGGGTCAGGATGACCAAGCTCAGCCGCGCTATGTGAGATTACCTCGATAAATATTTTTTATTTTTTTTTAACTCGACCATGTATTATGAAAAATCAGCTCAGGGGGGC